GCCGCTGCGGGCGTTACTGGCGCCGGCATTGCTGGCGCGTTGCTAGTTGTCGATGATGTTGTCGGTAACCGTTTCATGACATCGCAAGTGTCGTCGGAACTCCATCCAACTCTACTTAGAAGGATGTTTCTCCCAACAGTGCAAATCTCGACCATATCGTGTCTCTTCTCTTTCCATCTCCAAGCCGCATGCATCCAAGCCTCCTGCTCCCTGGACACCGCATGTCCCGATTATATCTCCGGGAGCCAGGACGAATCGGTGGGCTCTCAACACTACAGCATCCAATCGATGATCAGCCCTCTGCGTCAGCCTCCCTTGAGCAGTTTCCGCTTTTGAGCAATTTGGCCGCCGATCGTACCTTGGGCTAGTGCTTGTGAGCCCGCAGCGATAATCCGAAGCAGGCCCTGGGAGTCGTTCTCCACTCCATCCTTGCTGAGTCTTGGGGCACGCATATTGTATTAATTGTAGAGGCACAGAGGTATTAAGATTAGCCGTAAGTCTGCTGTTGACGAAATAAATGTATAAACTTCACACAGGAAGAAAGTGGGTTAATTTAGGGAACTGCAAGGAGAGTTAAGAATCAGCAACAACTATAACAACGTTCTAAGTATAAAGAGTTGTCGTTCAGATTCAGCAAGTTTCATAATCATTCGCAATGGTGATTAGAGACTAAGAAAACAAGGAAATTAGGTCTGGTAACACAGACAAACTAATTGCCTTGTATCTCGTAATCAAGTAGGTACGCGATGATAACCGTATAGCGAACTCGAGACGCTCTAGTCACGGGTTGTAAGAAACAAGTAAATTTAGGTCTAGTAACACAGACAAACTAATGCCTTGTGTTTCATAATCAAGTAAATAGTATTACTATTTCAACATGCAAACGAATACGCATAGCCGGTCAACTTATGATAACCGTATAGCGAACTCGAGACGCTCTAGTCACGGGTTGTAAGAAACAAGTAAATTTAGGTCTAGTAACACAGACAAACTAATGCCTTGTGTTTCATAATCAAGTAAATAGTATTACTATTTCAACATGCAAACGAATACGCATAGCCGGTCAACTTATGATAACCGTATAGCGAACTCGAGACGCTCTAGTCACGGGTTGTAAGAAACAAGTAAATTTAGGTCTGGTAACACAGACAAACTAATGCCTTGTGTTTCATAATCAAGTAAATAGTATTACTATTTCAACATGCAAACGAATACGCATAGCCGGTCAACTTCCGACCAGAAACAGGGATGTCCTCTATACGGTATCGAAGAGTCACGGAAAACAAGAGGAAAAAGGAAAAAAGATGCCGAGTGCAACCCGAAGAAAGTCAAAAGTTACGCCGTTGCCGAATTGAATACTACTACATTGCGTAGCAAAGAAATACGGCATTTGATTTGGAATCTTTCCTGTATTAAGCCAGTTTAGCAGCTGTTATTTAGGATAAAGTAGGTTTAGCTATCTTCAAGGTCATGACATAATTGTTTAGGACTTGTAGCGAGAGTCTATAATTTCCTAAAATAGTTATTGTAAGCAAGTAGTGCTGTTGTCTCTGACATCACAAAGATCAGATTACCCTACAATTTCATAGCAACAGTCCTATTTATCTAGCTGCGTGTAAATAAGACTACATTTGTGTTGATCTCAGCGATGTATTGCTTTGGTCCCAGTGAGATGTGTTTCTTTGATCTCAGTGAGATGTGCTGCTCCATAAATGATGGACACTCAAACACGAAGATCAATAAGGTGTAGACGATCGGAGAAGGTTTCCATGAGCCGGATCTTCAGTAGGTCGCTTTGTAAAACACAATCGGCATGATTCTTTCCTCTGCGGGGAGACGCGATGCCCCCCCTCCCCTCTATTTGGCCCGAGCTTCACTGCCCGAGCTTCACTGCTGATACTCTCTACACGTGTCTAATGGCTCCGCTTACTTCTTTTACGGCTTTTCCAAGTTGTGGAGCAAGCCACTGCGGATAAATCATGAAACAAATACCTATAAATACCATGACATGCCGTCTTCATTTCTTCATCTGGGCTAGATAAGCCTCCACATCAATCTCTCGCAGCTTATTGGCCTTTTCTTCGACCTGCTTCTCGTTTTCGAGCTGGTAGGCCTTCATCTTGGCGTGGAACTCGGGGATAAATGCACCGAGACATCGGATGGCGAGGAGAGCGGCATTGGTCGAGTTGTTGATGCCGACAGTGGCGGTCGGTACACCTCGCTGATTAGTAGTCAGCACGCCGATGGACCACTCACTCATTTCCCCCCATATAAGTAGTGATCACAGGTGCGGTAGAACTTACAGGCATTTGTACAATAGAGTACAGAGAATCCACACCGTCGAGATGTGTGGCCTTGACTGGGACACCAATGACAGGCAATGGCGTGTAGGCAGAGACCATTCCAGGCAAATGAGCGGCTCCTCCTGCGGCTGCGATGATGACTTTGATGCCACGGGCAGCTGCTTTGGTGGCCACATCGGCCATCTTGGCTGGTGTACGATGCGCCGAGGTGATGTCGACCTCCCATGGCACACCAAACTGGTTCAGGATGTCGATGCCAGCCTTCAGCACAGGAAGATCTGAGTCTGAACCCATGGTGACGAGGACGAGCGGTGCTGCCTTTGGCTTGGAGACTCCCTGGTCTGGTCGGAGAGACTTGCTACCGGCCTGTAATCTCTCTTCTCTGACGATGCTAGCCATGTCGACGAGGGGCTTGGCAAACTCTTCGAGCTCGGCTATGCTGGCAACGACGCCAGTGACTGTGATGTGTCCGATTTTTCGGCTGGGCTTGGACTCTTTGCCGTAGAGGTGGACGTAGACTGACATTTTGTTGCCGTACATGGACTTGGCCTTTTCGACGAGGGGAAGATGAGAGTCAGGGTTGGCGCCTCCGAGGATGTTGATCATGATACTTGAGGCGACATAAGGTTCGATTTTGGGGGGTAGAGTCTCGTCGAGGATGGAGGTGAGCTGTGCCTTGTACTGTGACCTGTAAAGCGACATTTAGTCAACACACCCCAATGCATCAAGTATAAAGTAACTGAAATGGACACTTACATGTACGGCACTGCTTCGATAAAGAGATGACCAGAGTTGTGTGGCCGAGGCGCAATCTCATTCACCAAGATCTCGTTGTCTTGAGTCACAAACATCTCGACGGCGAAAATGCCCCTGCCCCAGAGCTTCTCTACCACGCTGCTTCCAACCTGCTGAGCGCGCTCACACACAGAAGCAGGAGTAGCACGAGGAGGCAGGTAAACTCGCGAGCAGATGTTGTCCTCGTGGACCGTCTCGACTGCCGGGTAAGGCAGCAGCTGCTTTGTTCGGCCTTCGTCATCTTCTGTTCGGATGACCAGCACGGACAGCTCGCACTGGAAAGGACAGAATTTCTCGGCGTAACAGCTGAATTTGCCGAATTCGGCGACGGCACGCTCTAGGTCGGCCTCGCTGGAGATTTTGAGGTTTCCTCGGCCGTCGTAGGAGTCTTTCCTGGCCTTGAGCATCCAGGGATAGCCAAACTTGGCAGAGACGGCCTTGAGAGAGTCGTGCATAGCATCGCCACCCTCAATGGCCACAGACTCGGCAACGGGAATTCCTTTGCTAGCCAGGTATGCCTTTTGCTCGTACTTGTCCTGGATCAGCCGCAGCGTCTTCCATGACGGGCAAACAGAGACTTTGGTTGTCGTCGCAATCTCCTCCAGCACAGTTGTATCCACGTGCTCTGTCTCGACGCTGAGGACGGTGCAGTGAGAGGCCAACTCTTTGATCTTGGCCGCGTCCTTGTAAGAGCCATTGATGTTGCGGCTGTTGTCGTTGATCTGCTTGGCGGGCGCATTCTCAGCGTCGAGGATGGCGATTTCGACGTCGAGGGGCGCTGCAGCTTGGCACAGCATCCGGCCAAGCTGGCCGCCGCCTAGAAGGCCAATCACGGGCTTTGGGCTCATCTTATCTTCGGTTGGTCTGTGTCTGTCGTTTTGATCGATTATTCGGCGGCTGGTTCGATTTTCGACAACAAATTCGTTGAGCTATTAAGAAAGGAAAAATGAGCAAAAGTCTGGTTGAAGTTTTTGGCGTCACTGCGCCGGTATCGTTTCCCAGATTGCCCCGCCAAATTTTTTCAGCCCCGCCATGCCGCTAAAGTGAGCGCTGTTGGAGCTGCTGGGGCGCTAAGTTTGCGATCGACAAATATCGCAGCCAAAATGTATGCGCGCAGTGCGTGGCTTACATTTTATGATGGTCGCAATGCAGAAGCGACTGAATGCGCAATTTTTTATAAGCTGAGAATGAGCAATCTTGGTGCAAAAGGCGTTGAGCAGCTACAACGTGATGGAATTTGCAGGTTCAATATCGATATCGATAGGTACAGGAACCGATAACCGCCCCGCCATGCTGGGGGTGCTTATCTTATCTGCAGATCAGTACCAGATGACGTATCCGGGCCGTCGCTGTTTGGGATGCTTGCGCTGTATTTTAGGGGACAGTTTGCTGGAGTATAGCGCATAGCGCCCCTACCATTTTGTTGCTCAGCGCATTAATGGACAGGCGGCTTGCTATAATTCACTGTAGGTACCGAATCGATGTGATTCTGGTCAGGAAGCTCAGACATTGAGATTTCTGGCGCACCGTCTTCTCTTTCACACAGACTCTTGTTGCTAGGATTTCGGTTTTCCATTTTGCAGGCAGCGAGACTATAAAATGGACCAGAGCTTTCTACTCTTTTCCTTTTTCTCCTATCTTTTTCTCTTTATTTCCTCTTCTTTTTTCCCTGCTTAATTTGTTTGATACAATCCCGGTCAGCTGCGGCCGAATCACATAAGTCGCCCAACAGAAAACATATATACAGCCCCACGCTGATGGTTCGCTCTCTCGCACGATTCACTGCAAATATTGCATTTGGTGAGCTCCTTTTTTTCAGCTTTTGCGTCTTTAGCGGACTGCTTCTAGTGTCTTTCAGTCAGACCATGTTTGCCCAGTACATGCACACGAGTGAATAATTCCTCAAGCCTGCTTCGCTTCCAGTCCAACCAGCTTTAGAGACTCTTCCCATAGGCGGTCTTCCTCATTGACATTATAAGTTTGCTCAACCCAGCCCACGCCAAAAACTTGTCCATCATCGACGCCTCGTTCAGCTTCTCTACAGTCCTCGAGGTATCTGCCGCCTCTACTCTCCCAGCTCTTACTGACTGCTGCCCAGACAGTTGTTGCCGCCCCTTGCTCGGCAGACTTCATTATCTTGCGGACATATGGATTCTTCAAGATGGCCTCCAAAGACTCTGGTGGTAAATGCCGGGAAATGTCAGTGTGGATAGCTCCAGGATGCACGCTGGTAGCGTGCAGTCCTTCAGAGCCGTACAAGCGATCAATCTTGTTGGCCAGATACACAGCTGCGAGTTTCGAGTTGTTGTACGCAGTCTCGTGAGTGTATTCGCTTCTTTGCAATTGGTAATTTCCAGTTCTTGGGGCGCTGGTAGCTCGGTGAGCAGACGAGGCCACAATCACCACACGAGAATGTATGTCAGGGGTGATGCTGGTAAGCAGAGCCTGCTTCAGCAGCTGGAAGAGGAGGAAGAAGCCTAGGTAGTTGGCGGAAAATTGTGCTTCAATCCCATCTTCGGTGAGTGAATATTCCTGGATGCCCATAACTCCCGCGCTGTGGATGAGGATGTTGACCTGACCCTTGGAAGCAGAGAGAATCTCCTCGGCCCCAGAGCGCATGCTTTTGAAAGAATCCAGATTCATCTCCACTAGCGACACGCGGTCGGATTCAAGTACTCCCGCAAGATTCCTCTTGGCTCTGAGTAAATCGCGAGCCGTGAGAAATAGAGTTGCTCCTGTTGCTAACAAGGCACGAGCTGTTTCAACTCCAATGCCCGAAGTGGCCCCAGTAATGACAATGACTTTACCGACAAGCTTACTCTCAGCACCCTCGCCTTGAATGATTTGGAGGGCCGTTGGCCGAGTATCTCCAGCGCCATTGGGATCTGCATGGGCAGCAGCGTAGGGATTTGGCGAGTCCATTTTTATTCGAAAAGATTCGGGGTAAGAATCGGCGTCTTGAGTTGTGGAGGAGCGAGCTGCGTCAACTAACAATCGATGTTTCTCTTCTTCTCTATTTATTGTTTTGACTTCCAATATCCTTTAACAGTTCCTTCTTCTTCACTTTATATCTTTTTTGTTGCTCAGAAGCAACACTTCATCTCGCCATCGTCTATCCATGCTCCTCTCTCCGCTTTACAATCCGCCTCAAAAGCCGACAAAACGGCCGCCTCTTCTCCGCCAATTTGCGCCAGTCTCTCTGCCACATGCCGCCGACTTCCCCGCCACTTGTCGGCTTCTTTTGCGCCCATACACTCCGCCAGAGTCCGTCAAAGACCGACACTCTTCATCCCAAATCTGACCTCTTCTCATCTCCTTGATTCATCATGCAGGCAATTAACGCAAAGTCTAGCCTTGGAAAAGCGCCGAAAGCCTGCAAATTCTGTAGATCACGCAAGAAGAAGTGCGATAAGGCGCTTCCCAGATGCGGCCTCTGCGCCAGGTAAGCGCCGCCATCTACATGGATTTTCCAAAGCTGTTATCAGCGACGGTAACGTCAAGAGAACTAACACAAGGGTGAACCACAGGAAAAATCGTCCATGCGAATACTGGAAGCCGAATCTATCGACAACTAGTCACTCTACTATCGCTTCGACTGCTGAGACACAATGGCACTCTTCCCTATTGGACCAAGCGCAGCCACAACCCCAAGTTATCGACCTTGCAACTATCCTGTTCCTCGATCCCGATCTGTTACGGCTTGGCCAAGTAGAGACTCTGCACGCTATACCGGCCATTCCGCAACACGTGCTGCAACTGCTAGGCAGCTTGGATGAGATCCGACTCACCGCAGACAAGTTCTTTGGGCACATTCATCAATGGATGCCTTTTATCTCGAAGAAGCGGTTCTATGACCTCTACATACAACCTCCGTTCCACTCTCGACCTGATGTAGCCTTGCTTTTACTAGCACTCAAGCTCATCACCACGCTTCCACTTGCTGACTCGCCGAATCCTCGCACCACTTTGTATCACACAGTCAAGCATTTCTACCTAGAGGTTGAAGGCTCGTTTTCTCTCCTAGTGCTGCAGGCAGGCATCCTCGTGGCATTATACGAACTGGGGCACGGCATCTATCCAGCCTCCTTCTTGTCAATCGGCCAATGTGCGAGATATGCTCATGCCTTGGGGCTCAACATCGGCCACATGGTGCCAGCTACAAAAGTGCTTACTCTGGTGGAAGTCGAAGAACGACGGAGAATCTGGTGGGCCATTGTCATCTTAGACCGGTAAGTATGGATCAAGGTTGACCCAATTTGCTGGCGTATATTGACAACAAAAGATTCGTGAGCATTGGGTGCCCGGGACGGCCGTTTGTCACTGCGCATCCACGACTTGATGATCTGCTACCAGTCGATGATGCCGCATTTGATCTTGGCGTAAGTTATTCAGGCGTTTTGTCCCCGTATCTTAATTCCACTTGGATTCTGTGTTTCAGTTTGCAGCTGCTGACTCCCCAATCAGACGATTGAGCTCGACGACTTCTCCACGCTCTCATCTCCGAAAACAGGGCACATGAGTAAATTCTCTCTCCTATGTCAGGCTGCTCACCTGCTGGGTCAAGTGCTTCAGCACATCTCAAGGGATTCTACAGATCAAGATATCGCCTGGGTACAACTTGATCGCACGCTACAGTCGATGCTCGCTGCTGCACTGGATGTCGATCGCCCAGATTATGATCAAATTACATTTATCTACAGGTCTGTGTTTTTTTCTTTCTTTTTCAAAAACGATCATTCCACAAGCACTAATTGTATTCCGTTCAGCGCCCTCGTTGCTTTGTATACACCCTACCTACAAATATCCGCCAACACCAAAGATTCCAACCGCGCCTACTCCCAGAGAGCCCGAGACGTTCTGCACCAGATAATAGGCCGAATTAATGCGAATCTCGTCGATCGCCAGTGCTTTTTGGGCCGCGACTCAGAAGATGTGTCACCATGGGGTCTATATTTTGCTTATCGCGTTTGTGGAATGCTCATGCGTCCTGCTGAGAAAGCACCGCACGGAGCTGAGGTACTAAAGAGCCTGCGTGAAGCGTTCCAGACCATCTCCGTACGATGGCATGTAGCGAGCGTTTACCTTGAGCTACTAGAGGCGCAAAAGGCCCTTCGCTTGGGAGCCTGAGTCTCCTTCAATGCGGATTAAATTTTAACCCTGGGCACAGAACAACTGAAGACATTGAGGGTATCGAAAAATGCTCTCTTCTATATTACTCTGAAGCTATTCGTATTGTAACTTTACCAAAATGCTTCTGATCCCACACATATTGATATGCTGCCGGAACATCTGCAAAGTCAAAGACTTTTTCATCAATTACCGGCTTAATGTTGTTTGCGTCGATAAACGCGTTCATCTTCTGAAACTCCTGCTTGCTGCTGACCAAGACGCCGCGCGCTATGCACCCGTAATAAAGCGCCTCTAATAATTTGGGATCGTTGCTGTTTTCGCTGACAGCCATGAAGCCAACAAGACTGATGACACCTTGGATTTTGATGGCGTTGAGAGATTGGCGGAGCGTGCCTGGTCCTCCAACCTCAATGACATGATCTACGCCAGCACCGTTGGCGATCCTTTTGGCTTCTGCTCCCCACTCTGGGACTTCTTTATAGTTGATGACATAGTCTGCACCAAGTTTCTTCAACCGGTCCATCTTTGCTTGGCTGGAGCTGGTGGCAATTACATGGGCACCCATTGCTTTGGCAAACTGGTGGTGTATCTTACTGTCAGAATGGTTCATCAATGTTTTCTAGCCGGGAGATTAGAAATACTGACCTGAATGGCAAATACAGATACTCCGCCAGAACCTTGAGTCAGCACCCATTGACCAGCTTCGAGACGCTTGCTTGGAAGGCCAACAAGAGAATCCCAGGCCGTTATCGCCGCAATAGTCAAAGTGCTGCCTTGCTGCAAATCCAGGGTTTCGGGAATCTTGACGAGTCCGCTCCCAGGAACCACTCCATAGTCCTGTAGCACCCCGTCGAGTTTACCGCCAGTAGCGTTGCCAATATCTTCCGCTTTAAGGGTGCCTTCTTGCCATGTCTGCAGGTGGATGCCAGTGACTCGGTCTCCTGGTTTGAATGAGTGCACTTTTGACCCAATCTTGACAACTTCGCCGGCGGCGTCAGAGCCTACAACCACGCCATCAAGAGCTCCGAGAGGATATGTGCCCTGAGAATCTATTAGCCGCGAATTTTGCTGAACTCTTTGGGTTATTCTGAAGTACCTTCGAAACGACTAAATCACGATAATTGAGTGATGCATATTTCCAACGCACGAGGACGTCCAAGTCGCCGACTTCTGGGATGCCGTCTTCTTTGAGCACAAGTGAGTCAAAGCCTGTAAAGCCATTGAGCCGCCATTGTCGATTGAGTGTTTCTGCCATGTTGATTGATGAGGTTGCAAAGTAGAGCGTAGCGTTTAATGTTGTCGCTATTCTGACAACAATTATCTTACACCAGGACTCATTCCACTTTTATAAAGACAGCCATACAACTTATTCATCTTTTCTTGCTTCAATATTACCAATTCTACGAAAGATACAGATTCCAAATTCCAAATGCCGTTCAGTACATTCAACGCGAGTTGAATAGTAAGCATTTACTGTCTATTATTCATCGTAACGCTAGAACCTGTTGAGCAATATGCTTTGCGCACTATCTGCTCTTTTAGCACAAAGTGGCTGGCAGACGAGTCCGGATCTGGATAGCAGCCCCAGGCAGACAATTGGTAGGAAAATAACTATTGCGGTGTTTACCAAATGCACAAGATTGGTGGGAAAAGTTCTCCAAGTCCAACTCGGTCTATATTTATTTCATTCGTTGCGTGAGAAATGAGGCAATTATTACTAGAGTACGTAAGTGTTAAAGAAAAACAGATTCATTATGTCCTCCACCTTTTACCAAGTCACAATCCAATTGGCTCGCTGTCGTATCTCAGTAAATTTACTTAGACCAAGGTGACGCGGTTCTTCAGCACCGACAGGTCAACCTTCTTGAGCTGGTGGAAGTAAGGGTCGAAGAACTGGTTGATGCGCTGGAACAGCCACTCGGGGTTCTCGTCGGCAGGAAAGTGTCCAGCCTGAGGGACAACATCAAGCGTTGTGTTCTTTCCAATCGGGCCCCAGACAGGCTTCAATACAGAAGCAAGACTGGCTTCACCAGCCAAAGCAAGGAAGGGCAAGTCCAGCGGCTTCTTGTTGAGCACGCTGAAGAAAGCGGCGTCCTTGCCCATAATCTTGGCGTCAAAGGCGCCAAACATGGCTCGAAGGCCGCCGGGCTTGCGCAGGTCGTCGACGATGCGGTCAATGACGTCCAGGGGGAATCCCGAGAGGCCGGTGTAAGAGGCATGAAAGAGGAATGAGAGGACGGCTTCACGTTCGCGGCCGCTTTGGAAGCGCTCCGCTGCGTCTGGAACGGCCCAGACGGCAAGCGGGTAGAGTGAGTAAGTATCCCAGTTGTACTGCGGAGTCCAGGCCTGCTCATAGCCGTGGCCGGGCAGGCCATATTCAACGACGCCGAGAGCGTTGACGAGATACGGCTTCTTGATGGCGAGGGCAACGGCGGCACCAACGCCCTTGTCGTGTGAGAAGACGCTGGCCTTTGTGATGTTGAGATAGTCTAGGAGGCCCTCGAGATCAGAAGCCATGGCCTCTGAGGTGTAGTCGCCGTCTGGGGGAATGGTGCTGTCTCCCATGCCGCGGTTATCGGGAGCAATGACTGTATACTTTTGAGCCAACATGGGGCCGAGCAGCCGCCAAGTAATCTGTGATTGAGCCATTGTTAGCTGTAAACCATTTAATCATACAATTGTTGTGAGATAAGCTTACACTGGGTTGAGGATTGCCATGGACAAGCACAATTGGCGGTCCTGATCCAGCCCAGCGGTAGTGCATTGTGATGTTGTTGACCAGCACTCGGCCGTGTGCCCATTGGTCCCATTGTGGAACTGCGGCTGCTGCTGCGGACGCAATGAAGGCGGTCGCTAATGAAGCTGAGAATAGCATTTTTGGCTGTATTGGGTATCTCATTTGTATCCTAAATGGTTGGATAAGAGTGTGTGTGATATTGTGTGTGTGTGATGAAGTAAATCGCAAATGGTCGACATCTCTTCGTCTTATATATTGGCTGCATCGTGATTTACTCAACAGGCGTTGCCGTCTGTTTCTCTCATTCTGTCCGTTCATTGTTTCTACAAACAGCAATACCACAATTGGACATTTCCTCATGTAGGCCTAGCCACTACAGATTCCATTTGGCTGGGTACTGATTTAAAGCCGTTATTAATACGCCTAGGGAGTTCATCTATGTAAGCGCCCCGCCAGGCTCATGCAGGGTCTTTGGGCCTTAGGAGGCTGGAGTTTAGCTGAATGGAATCAGTCAAGCGAATAGCGGCATTAGGACAATGCTAACGACTTTGGTGATGAGTACGTAAGGCTCCTATACAGGAAATGATGCGGTTGTATTCCAAATGCCAGATGCAGGTACCGCTTGGCATTGCTCTCGATGACCAATCGCTGGTTCCTCTTTGGTTTTCTGTCTGGAGCTGTGGCAGCGTGCTGGGTTGGGAAGTTGCTTACAAAAGCGTGATGGCATAACTATATGGGGCCTCATAGGTGGCTGGGCCTTTGGCATTAGTCATTTTCAAAAGAAGACATTCAATGGCAAGATTCCAGCTTGTAGCTTATGGACTACACGGGCAAACACTACAGTTTTGAGCTTGCTTGAGGTACAGAAGCCCGGTTTTCGGTGTCCTCGGAAAGTGCTCTCTGGCTAAATTCAGAAACAGAGACGATTTATTGCGCCATAGGCAAAATGCTGGGGCATGCAAATCTAGTCTCGCATATATAATCACAAAATACCCACCTCCACTGCCGCATCCAGGCTTATACCCAACGACTTCCTCTCCGGCAATCAGTCTCTCTAGCTGCCAAACATTCATGTACCCAATACAGTTGTTCCAGCTTTTACCAGCAAAACGGCGCATCACACCGCCATTCTGGTGTCGCAACGGCGAACAATCATTTACGTATAAGTGGTTAGTTGATCAGTAGTCGCATTTCGGAGCGTGGGTTCCGTAACTAGCGTTTAACCGCATTTCTGGGACAGATCCAGCAGTGCTATTGTGCTACTACCAGTCTGTGCTAGTACTACTATAATGGGAGGACACATGTAAAGCCTATGTGGCTGGGCGCGCGGCTGGCTGCTGGCTGGTGATTTCTTGGCGAAAAAGGGACGCAGATCTCCAAAGGGTCATCACTTATACCGGACCTCTTTCGTGCTATTCGCTGTGTTGAGGTGATCAATTCTGTTCAAGCCAACCTACGTCAACGGCGTGACGAGGAATACGAGAGACGGTTGTTTAATACCGCTACAGGCACTGTAATAGACGACTGACCTTCGAATTTCCAGCATACAAGAATTATCCCATTACCATTTCACCAGTTTCACTTCATCCGAGATTTCTATACTACGAGGGACAGGGCGCAATGTGACGTTTCTGCAGGTTTATACTGGGCCCCAATGCTACTACAGCCAAAAAGGAAATAAGATGATGACGGCCTATAAATACGCGTAACGAATACAGCTATCGATTTGGCACTTGACGGCTAAGGTCACGTTTGGTGCTATGACGACGATTGGCATGTATGTACTTATATACTGTATTATGATATCTGATCTTCTGATCTGAAGGGAGCCAAATAGGCTTAATGGCCACACAGATCAGCCTCACTATATTTAGGTGGAGCTCGGTGTGGCAGATCTACAGTATATCGCCGTCACATTCTGCAGATTTGTCGTTTTCTAGACAGACTTGGCGTTTTATAGACAGGGTGGAAATCATCTCCGTCTCGTTGTCCTGTGTGAGATCTCTTGCCTACCCTAATTTATAACGCTGCTTTATGGCTAAATCCCTTCTACGTAATGTGATTCGACTCTTTCTTTCCTTTAGATGGCCTGTACTTTTGCCAGTCTTTGCTCCCCAGGTTTTGGCATTCTATTACCCTATTATAGTAGGATACGAGCCTGCGAATCCACTTGGGCGGGTGCTTGTGGGGTACATTAATGTATTAAGTATTCTTGTTGTCTATTGAGAGATATATCCACCATAAGCACGCCAACTATAGGATATCCTTGTCGCTAACAAACCGGGCGCTGCGTTTATACAAGGCATCCTGCCTAGCAGCTTAGTTAGCTATGTGCGAAATTAACTTGCATGACAAGGATAGGAGCACGAGACGCTGCAAGTAAGTGAGTTGAGCTACTACTGTACGAAAATGACCGAAATAAATAGAAAATTGATATACCAGGCCTGGCTAGTTAAGCTGTTGTAACTCAAACCTCTCCCATGTCTCACAGCATATATCTCCACGTCAACGCCTTGTCGCCTTTACTAGACAGCTCTTCCGCAGAATATCGATCCAGCTCTCCTTGAGCCACCTTGGCTTCACGCTTTCTGTTGATTTGCAAGTATGAGAAGACTAAGACAAGGGCAGCAATAATTCCAGCGCCGATGAATCCAAGCTCCAATGCGTGGCCGAGGATATAGCGAGGGCCGTCTTTCTGTCGGTAGAAGTTGGCTGCCATTGCCTATCCAAATTGTTAACATAATCCGAAATCCTACCAAGGACAGAAAAACTTACTCCGCCGAGATTTCCGATACCAATCTGCATCGCCATTCCGGCGCTCCTCTTGTAACTGCCGGACAAGTTGTTTGAGAGCCAGGAAATGACACCTGGAAAGGCTGGATAGATGGCACAGGCTGTAATAAAGACACCGCCGTAGACCACCTTGGGATTGCTAGTTGAAATACACCTGGGTAAGGGAAGAGTGGTTAGCTTGACGGACATGAAGCTGGCAAGGGTGGGGAGAAAAGCCTACATGGAGAAGCCAACAATCAAGAAACAATAAAGAGTAATGATAAAGGGGCTTCGCTTTCCAACACGATCAGAGACATATGCCACGATGACGGCGAGAATAGCAGCCGTGATGTAGATGGGAACCGTCATGAGCTGGGCCTTGTTCGCCGTGTATCCGAGATTCTTGATGATTGTAGGAAGAAACAGGCTGATTCCGTACAGGGGACAAACGACCTGTCCATGTTGTCAGAACCGTGATCAAGGGAAAAGAGGAGTTGACTACTTACACCCCAATACATAATGATGCTGACCCAAATCTGCCAGTCTTTGAAGGCACCCCAGACATACTTCCATTTGAACTCTTCGGCCTGGGCAACCTGCACCTGATCCGAATCAATGTTTCCTGCTTGGGCCTGGTACTTTAGACGGAATACCACAAAGGCTCTCTCCTCTTCAGTGAGGAACGTAGCCGTCTCGGGAAAGTCTTGTAAGACGAAAAAGGCCAGCACCGCTGCGACGACCGTCGCAATTCCTTCGAGGATGAAGATCCAGCGCCAGCCCTCTAGCCCAGCAATTCCGTCCATCTTGGCAATGCCAAAGGCTAGGAGGCCGCTGAAAGCACCGGCAATCGAGGCTGCAGAAAAGAACAAGGCTTGGCGGAATTGGATCTCATGGCGGCAATACCACATGGTGAGGTAGTACTAGGCGTTCATTAGTTAAGGTAGAGTTTGAAGACAGGAGTTACTGAGACATACGGCAACACCTGGAAACAGACCAGCCTCGGTGACACCCAGGAAAATGCGGGCGACGAGAAGACCGTGATAGTTGCGTACGATGCCCATGAGAGTCATGACTGTGCCCCAGGCAACCATGATTGTGGGAAGCCAGACGCTGGGACGGAGCTTCTTGAGAAGCAGATTAGAGGGCACTTCGAACGCTGCATAAGTGAAGAAGAAGACGGTCAGACACCAGTTATATTGGTCGGGTGACAAGTTGAGATCCTCTTGGAGGCCCTCGATTTTTGCGTTGCCGATGTTTCCTCCTACATGAGCGATATTAGTATGATAACAATGAGGGTGATTTGGCTTCACCTACGGTCTAAGAAGGAGAGTAGATAGAGGAGTGCAAGCATGGGGATCAACCGCAGATCCATCTACAGCACTTGATCAGCAACATGGACTTCGTGAGGGTAGAGCAAACGTACCTTGCGAAGAATCTTCTTCTCGTCCAGGTGGGAGAATGATTCTAGAGTAGTGCCTGGAACAGCTCTGACGCCTTTGCTGTCGTCATATTCTACTTTGCCGCTTCGGTCAGAAGCATTGACTGTCTCTGCCTCCATCACGTCGACCTTCTCAGTGGGAGACCTGTAGGACGCCATAATGTGGAGAGGAGACGATGCTCCCTCTGTAGGTGTGGTTCTTAAAAGGATGAGGGCTGGTATGGATTGAATGGAGATGATGGAATGAAGAATCAAGTCTCATAGAGTTCAGCAAAGGAGGAGCTTGAGAAGCCGAGAAGCCTGAGGAATTTTTGAAAGCAACATGTAGGGGCCATCAAGAGGTTGAAATATACTTGTTTCCACGCCACATATCCATATCCTCGGTCAACAGTACCAGTGGCTTGGCGTGCCGGAAACGCTCCGGATTGTGTTTGAGCGAATCAAAACGCCATCATCTGGGGAAATAAGGTGCAGAATCTGGGGAAAACGGCCCTAGTTGCATCCCCCGCACTTTGTTGGACAAACTATTGTCTGCAAGGGGAAAGATGTCTGGGTGTGTGGGTGTTGACTCGAGTTAAAGATTGCTGATGCTGATAAGTATCGGAACCGACGTGTTGAAGATGAGTTATCGTTATCAGTAGATGGCAAGTGGTACGTTGACGATTGAGCCTAGGGAGGCTTGAGTCATGCATAGGCGACTTATTGCACTGATTGTAGGTTAACGCCATCGGTTCCGCTGATCCCTGTTAACACCCCATTGATTCTTGAAGCGATTGGCCGGCAGTGAGATTCGGCTGCATCTAGTTGCCACTTTTAGAGATAGTCAGATAGACTACGTAGTCTCTATTCTTAATCTACTGCGCAGCCAAGACTTGGCGGCGTCTCTTCTCGCCTCTCTCGCTTTCATCTAGCAGGCAGTGGCACGTTGTGTTCTAGAATACCCCAGATCTCCCCAATTTTCTCATCCATCGGCCTCTTTACCCCGCATCTGAACCTGGGTGCAACAATACGACAGCAGAGACACGGATCCGATGAGGTTTTCTGGACCCTGTTACAACTGACTTCTCTTCAATACAAGCAACTCCATTAATATCCAGTCGGATCCGATCCTTGGATGACGCCGCAAATCTCGGCTGCCTCCATACGCTCCCCTCAACTCAGTCTCAGGCGATGCAGAACCGCGTCGTCACTCGCCGTACCCAGTTTTCGAGTTGTGACGAGTGCCGCAGGTCACGCGTCGCATGCGATTCGCAGAGCCGTCGCAGTGCTGCGGGTAAAGCTTCAGCTCCCTGTACGCGCTGTCGAAATCGAGATAGAGACTGCACGTTCAAAGTGAGATCAAGATCGAATTCCTAAGAGGCAATGCACCTGACCATCATGTGTAGTGGATCCAAGATGCTAGAGCAGGACCATCTACAAGGCATGCAGCTACTCCGCCAAAAGCGTCTGGACGACATAAGCGAGACGCTCGTCTTCTCCTTGACCAAATATTAGTTGAAGAGTCAGCTACTGCACCTACGCCGGAGACATCTCCTATCCACAGCTACGGATCTACGCAAAACTCACGACACGAATCTTTGGAGGAGGCACTGCCGGAGCAGGTATCTGCATCTCCAGACTCAGAGACGCATCCACTGAGAAACTCTCGCTCTGAATTGGAATGGCTTCAGACTCTATATAGACAAAACTTTGAAGTCGTGTTTGGGTCTTGGATGGGCCGCTATAGCTGTCCTTACTTGTAAGTCCACAATACAACCATTCTCCAATCTCCGGGATAGCTTTGGCTGACTACGATAGATTTGGACAAAATGACCTCGCCGAGAGGTACATCAGCATATCAGATCTGTGCTGTCATCTTGACAGATACATGGCTGAGACGTCCAAGGGAAACCAAGGTTCATCCCATGAACAGTCGACCCAGCAGGACAAGAAAAGAGACGACTTAATTGGACAATCCTTGCGCAATACGATTGCCGCGTTTGCCGTAAGATGGCTACCAATCACCTCATCAGATGGCCTCGATAACTCGCACCGAATCCAGACCATGTGGCGACAGGCTCGAAGAGACATGCTGAGAATCATCAACCGTCCCTCGTATCGATCGATGCTGTCCCTCTTTCTCTTTGCCTTGACTCCAATACCGATGGGCATCTCCGAAGACGAAGAGGCAGACGGTGTCTCTGGCCAGGTTTGCATCCATGCAGCTATGCAAATGGTCCAGACCCTACGAGCTCGCCACAGAAATCTGCAATTCAGCGGATCAAAAGTGACACCGTCATCGAGCTCAATTCCGATGAGTACTACTCCAGAATCGGCCGACACTTCGAGTTTTATCAATGCGGAAAACATTGCCTACTGGGCAGCAATCACATTCGACACATCGGCATCTCTGACGCTCAATTGCAGGCCGCTCCTTTCGTCGGGGCTCTTTGGCTTTGAGTCTGAGTTTACATGGAAATTAGTGCGGACTTGCTTAAATGTGTTTAATGAGTCGTCAAAGAGTTGGTGCCAGGGAAGTGCTGAGATGACGGATGAAAGGGCCAACGAGATTATTGCGGCCGCTGCTTGTTGGAAGTTGATGGGATGGAAACTGGCTGCTAATTTCAAGGAAGCTCTTCGGGATGGTCACGACGAGTCTGAGGTTCGAAAGGCTCTCTCGTATGTGAGCAATTCCTGGAAAGAGTTCGATGCCACTTTTCGACCTTTTCTCGATGAATGCTACAAGCGGATGCAGTTTCTTGCCCAGCAAACGAAGCTTCGTTGGTGTAAGTGTCTTCTCTATAGATAAACGTACCATGTTTTTGACTAACCATGGCGTTACCAGTCTCTCTCATGCTTCATTCCCATTTGAGCATCTTAATGGTGCTCGATACGATCGAAGTCGCAGATCGGTACGACTTGCTCGCCGATCTCAAAGATGCCAGCATTGAAGCAGAGAACACTGTCATGAATGCACTGGCATTTGGTCTCCATAATACTATGACCTTGAGGCGATCCATCGATTCCCCTTCACCTGGCCTATCTCATGAGAGAACGGCACGCAATATAACATTTACGGTTCCGCTTCTCGCCATTGATCCTTATCCGCATCATATAGTTGCGTCGGTGCAACTCATGCGGAAAGCCATTGATCGGGACTATAAGAATAAAAAGGTTACCCAAGACTTATATGATAGCTTAAACTCAACTTTGGAATCTGCGTTGAAACACCTTCCCCAGAGCTCAAAGTCAATCCAAGCAGCTCGGCAAAAGTTTTCGGCAGCGCCTGATGATGAGATACTAGATACCCAAATTGCGTATAGGGAGTTACCGGCGCTTTTGCACGGCTAATAGGGCGACTGAGAAATTAGGTTCAATGTAGTATTGATACAATAAATAAACGTACACGATAAAACAATTGTTCTATCTCTACCTTATAGACTCACTCCTCGTATAAGCAGCAATTACTCCTACGCTTGAGCGACAACTTTTGGTGCCTCAGATGCCTCAGATGCCGTACTTGACTCCAGCGTGACGCCATTGGATTGAGGGGGATAAAAGCCGCCGTGAGGAGATTTCGCGCCGAGCTTGCCCTTGTCGATATACTCGCGACGTAAAAAGTCCACCGTATCCGTAGATAGCCCACGCTCCTTGATGTAGTGGTCCTCGATGAGGGCAACAGTATCCAGTCCAATGACTTCAACATGTTAGTGAACGCTCATGCGGAAGGGAGAGAATACGAACCATCCATAAATCTACAAGGTCCTCCCCAGGATTTCGTCAATTCTATAGAGAGGGTGTCGATTTCCTCTGGTGTTGACACGCCCTCAGCGAGAATAGCCAGCGTCTCCCTTTTGATCGCCGCCCAGAGTCTGTTAAAAATGAACCCTGTGCATTCCTTTCTCGCGAAAAACGGCTTTGTACCCACTTCCCTCTGTCTGTCCATGAGAAAAGGGAAGATGTCTGGATCCGTAAAGCCATCTGTCATCAGCTCACAGACCATGTTCAGGGGAGGCATGTAGTAATGTGTGTTCAGGACTCGCGATTTTGTCTCGTCCTTGAGCTTCCCAAGCATCTCGGATGACTTGTATGATGATGAATTGCTACCCAAAATGGCATCTTGAGGGGCATGAGTTTCGAGTTCTGAAAAGGTGTCTATCTTGAGTTGAATCTTTTCAGGAACGGCCTCAATGACTAGCCACACATTCTGGACTGCCGCAGCAAGGTCTTGGGATACTGTGACGGTTCCAACAGGTTTGTTTCCAGCACCAGGGTAATTCTCAGCGTTCTCTTTGATGTAGTCGAGACAAGGCTCATGTTGGTTCTGATCTGGCTCCCGAATCTGGACGTCATATCCACCAGATGCCCAAATGCAAGCTAAAAGGTTAGCTTGAACTATGTAGTTTCTCTCACGACTTTACGAACCGATGCGTCTCCCCAATACACCACCTCCTAAGACGGCAACTGGCCGGGTAGAATAGTTTTCTGGCAACATATTTGTTGGTATGGAAGTAAATGGGCCGACGCTGTGAAGAGGTGTTGGCTGGGGATAGGAAATAGATGACTTCTGAAGCACGAATAGAAGGGAAATCTTCGAGGTCAACAAATAATATATAAGGCAACGTCTAGGGATGAGAGAGCAATTCGGTCATCTCCCGAGTCTTATTTAACGGTGCAGAGAGGCAATGAAATCGAGACTGCGGGCCACCCTAGTCGATGGCGACGGCAAGGTAACATTTAGGCTTCTTTTGGCTACAGACTAAGGAGAAGGATTCTGGGGTGCGGGGAAACTCGAGAGAGTACGGGAGCAAGGAGGAGTCACGCTGCCCTATTTCTGGGGTTTGCAAACCGAGCTGCAAGGGCTTGGGCAATGAGTACTCGAATCATGCGTAATGGCTAGGGGCAAGGTACGGTTAGAATGATCTGAAGTGGAGTGGTTGTTGTACTCCGGAAGAGATATAGGAGACTCTGTAATGTAAAGAATCATGTGGCGTCCCACTGCTGTAAGACGTCGGAACCGATGACTTGAACTTGGCTTTGCGTCGCTGATATTCAACTACCGAAGCCCCAGTTTAACCACTGCGGCGGTTTTCCGACATGACTAGCAGGGGTTATCGGATCCGACGATTTGCCTGAATAGAATTACCTGGTGCAGTCGATTCGTGAGTCTAACACGGATAGTTTGCTTGGGGCCTTGGTATTTCGGGACGGCGTGAAACTTTCCCCCTCCTTTGTTCTCTTCTTTTTCTTTTTTGTAGCCTCGTTGACACTAGAGTTGGGATTTGTTGGCAAGTCAATAGTCGATATCGGCACTCAGTCCAGCTCGCCTAAACGGCTTTTAGAATCCTGACATAAAGCTCAGATACGAATGTAAGTCGAGACGCAAGAGCGTGATTTCTATGCAACTTGTATTCAGAAGCAAAGTCTATTCTATTTATTTCGCAATTATGCACGCTTATGCAGTGTTCTATCTTGTTAGTTCTATCAATCAGTATTAATATGCAAATATCTTAAAAGGGTCTTCATCGACCAATCTTGCGCAGTTCCAGCCAGCGCAATGGAGGGAATACAATCATGGCCCATGAAGACCCAACCCAGATGCCAAGATCAGCCCCAATTGGACTGGCGAGCCTGGCAATGGGTCCAACGTAGTAGACTTGGTACATGCACAAGATGGCTCCGACCCATCCGATTAAAAACGCCGTCAGCGCAGCAAGACCAAGTGGCAATCGTGACGGATCAGACCACGCTGTCCAGTCAAAGCCGCGAGTTCTACGGAAAATCAGGTGCTCTTCCAGAGTGATGACAATGAAGATGGTCACCCAGTAGCCCATCAGCGCCAGAAAGTTCTCAAAGATGTCATAGAGGTAGTTGCGGCCACCCAGCGCACACGCGGTGTAGATGATGGCGCCGACACACGAGAGAATCCATCGCGGGATTCGTGCGCCGTATCGGCCAAGCACCTGGAAGCACAAGGCTGCGGAATACGTGCCGGGGATGTTGTTTGCGACGAGGCCGAGGGCAACGAGGACGCCGAGAAACTTTCCGAACCCTCCCAGGCCTTGGTATCCTTCAAGAATGAGAGCTCCCGAAGACACTTCGTTGGCTGCGCTCCACGATGGCTGAGTAAAGGTTCCAGACGCGAGACCAACGCCTAGGAGGTAGGCGAAACTCATGGCAACCCCCACGCCGGCGGCCGTCATGGCGAATGTCTTCCACTTTTTGGTGGTTTCGGGGTAGTAGACATAAAAGTCAGCTGCGGCAGGGGCCCAGGCAATCGACGAAGAGAGGCAAAGCGAGAAGAACGACAGGCGGTTGCCTCGAATGGTTGATGCGTCTCCAACTGACTGGATCGAGGTGTCGAATTTGGTGCCGGCGGAACCGACCAGGACAAATGCTGCAATGAGTTGCGGAACCCAGGCCCATCTATTGTTGTCAGTCTGGAGAATAATGGGGGAAGGGTGCGAGCATATGTGCGAGCATATGTCCATGCCTAGTTACCTTTCGTATGTTTGGAAGGTCGACATGCCAAAGACGACAATTACCCACGAGATGACGGCGATGATGATGATGCCAACGATGACAGTTAGCCTGCCATCAGCAACGGCCGACAGGATCTGGCCTCCTACGAGGCAGTCAATCATGCCGTATCCCAGCATAATCACAATGTTCAAGATTGTGCAGATCTTGCTGGGCCAGTAGCCCATAAAGTATCTCGCCAGGACCTAAGAGCAAAACAACCATCAGAGCTGCAAAGAGGCATTGTATCGAGATTATATGCGCAGTTTAAACGAGACAAAAGGGAAACGAAATAAGACTGAAACCGCAACTGCAACAAAAGAAGAAAAGGCCGTCCATACCATTGTTCGATTCCCGCTGACAGGGCCAAACGTGCTGATATAGGCCACGCCAAGTGCGCCCAGGACGGCGCCAAAAGTCGCGCATAGCGCCGCGTCCGTAAAGCCCAGCGAATAGTCCAGCGGCCCCAGCATGCCAAGAGCCATGTTGTTGGCCGTGATGTTGGTGCTAAACCAGAGCATCGTCATCTGCAGGTAGTTGGAGGCGCCCACTTTGCTTAGCCGCTCCGTCTCTGGCACCCGCTCGATGCCGCGAGACTCAAAGTGCTTGGAGTTGAGGATTCGCTGGTTGGCGCGCGCAAAGAAGCCGGTCGTGGACGCCTCTTCGTCGGAGATTTGGCCTTCCAGCGCCGGCTCGGCTGCGGTTTCGTTGTCGTTCTTCTCCATCATGTTGGTGGAGTTGTCAAGGACTCATTCGAAAAGCAAAACAGAACAGAACAGAAAGAAGAAAAAAGGAGTGACGGTTAAGTTGGTTCCAGAGCCTCGCATGGGTTCGTAGATTTGAAGATGGATTGATAGGAAAAATCTCTTATCCGCGCACGCGAGCAATGACAATCAGGCCCACTAAAAGGTCTCAAGTTGCGGGTTTCAACTAGTCTGCGCGACTCAGCAACACTCGTGTATGTAGATTTTCAGAGCCTCACGTGCAGGCAAGTTCAGCGGGATAGTATATATGAAAACAATGCGATACAATGCTGATTGTATATCGGTAGAGGGAACAATCATATATTCCACGATGGTGCTAATCTCGCCTTCGGATGTAGTAGAACTGGTTACTCTAATGCATTGTTCTATATCGAGATGCTGCAACATGCAAAAGGGCTGGGCTCAATTCGTCACGCGATCGATAAACAACTCATCAATTGATATAGCTGAGAGAAAAGAATGTCAAAATAGCCAGTGGGAGATACAAAAGCCAGTGGCTGGATATGCTTGACATTGAGTGCCCGGCATTTAGGCTCTGCTGATTCAATTTTAGCTCGCTACAATCCAACCCGACTCGAATAGGCCGAGTTCTCTTGTTGTTTCGATGCGGAAAAAATTAGCAGAGCCTTCTCCCACAGGTATCAGTCCTATAAAGGCTTTTGAGGTGTTTATTAGCAGCTCTTATTCATTTCAGCTCTAATTGCATCTTATCAGTTGAAAGGAATGGCGCATGTCTCAGTTTTACGTGGCGAAAATAAAATGCGGAGGGCAACTCTTTCGGATTTCGGCATCACCCATGCCGAGTCCCGAGAAGCGATCAGCTTCTATGAAACGCGTTGCGGACTTTACTTTTCAAGAGATGTTCTTCTTCATCTGTACACACTCCTTCTGCAGTTCTCTGCTGCTTTGGCGGCCGCTTGGCTCTTTCTAGTCGGGCTGTTTGGCGTTGAGCTGAGTTACCATTTTCTTGAAAAGCTGAATTTTCAGACTTTCTGATGAGATTGCATCTTGCTAAGTGGTTTCTTTGAAGGTTCTCCATAAAGCTACTTGACGCATGAAATTCCCAGCATCTTTATCTGGGCATCACTTGAGTTAGCGAAGTTAATTATAGCTTGCGCATTTCGTTCCCGTCTTGTGAATCGTCAATATCCAAGAGTTGGGAAATGGGTATACTTCCAAGTACCAAAGCCTGGTATGTCCAGTGCAAAATAGCAGCTAACGAGCTTTCTAAGTAGGTACTGCTTGTGTAATCTCTGGGCCACACACTTCATAATATTATTTTGTCCTTGCGCTAAACTCGCACCTTTATGTTTACATTCGTTAGTGGGCTTTGTCTTTCAGCTTCCTTCCCACCTCTAGAGAACTATGCAGATACCACGTTGCCTCCATACAGTACCTGCACCGGTAAGTTCTTCGTTCCCAATAGCCGACGTGCTCCGTTATCGCCTAGCTTCACGTCTTATTAGCCAAATTTTGGACTCAACTCTTGTGATTCTCTCTTCTCAGGGTATGTAATCACGGCTGGCGTACTGGCTAGTCACCCCATGTTCGTGCAAATGCTGCAACAGTGATGATTCGGAGTCATCTCTCTCTGCAGAACCTTTGTAAAGGCGAAATGTATAGCGTATCGGCATCTCTTTCTTGTCTGCGGGATTCTGATGAGTGATTAGTGAAACGTGACACTAATTCACCAATAGGAAAAGGCTCTGGACTAAAGAGGCAAATACTATGAAGGATGCGACGGCAAATTAACGAGCTCATCGGGCAAAGGAACCACTCCAGCCGTCTTAGGCCCTTACGGATGTTTCCGTCCTGGCTTTCTGTAGATTCTTCCGTCATTCTGGTTCCGCTGACCTAAAGATCTCCGTGAGAGTTGGATCATTCAACAGCAACACGGAGGAAGGCTTCCCATACAATATCTCCTGACATATCTCGTAATACACTTCACGTCAGTGTTCTTGCGCCTCAAGCTTTCTCACAACCTGACTCTATTACGGTAAAATCCCGTTAACATTCATCTGTGTCTCTAGGGCGGAATATACAACGTATTAAATAAAAATGTAAGAAAAAGCTTGAAAAGTATCAGATTGAACATATTTCTTTGTTTTCGACAACAATGGCCTCTCATCATAGAAATTCTCCTCTCGGTTCTTCCGTTAACAAGACGCGCACTGAAAACTAGACATAGCCCCTGCAGCGGAAAGAGTCATCCTACGGCGAAAATCCTTCCATGTTTCTTATAGCTATCCGCCACAGACTAATCAAACCATCTTTATCAGCAAATAAGTAGAGTGACTAAGTTCAAATCAACTAGAGCAAAACAATATTACATGGCCACAGCACGTGTTATAGAATAGATCGAATTGTTTGTATTTGGCGATGCTTCTGGAATAAATCCGAGTGGCGTCATGGCGAATCACAGTATTTTTGCACAGGACGACGACTTATTTACACTGTATACCGAAACAGTCGTTAGCTGCTGATTAATTGGCAGTCATTGGCCTCTTGGATGGCACTATCGTGTCTTCGAAGTTAGAGTTTCGAAGCCAACTAGTCTAGCGTTTGCTGCTTATCAAGTCACCCTGTCCAGGCAAATTTTGTTTAGAGAGCTCCTCGCAGCCTTCATACTAATCTTGTTCTAGCAATAAGGGTGTTCCAACATTATTCCCAATGGAGCTAAGAGGGGAATTGCCAGTAGCTGTAAACACGCTTGTAGCAGTTCAAGCTTCAGACGTGCCGTTGGTAGTCGAATAAAGCATCGTCCACACTGCACCAGCAGCTCATCAAGAGATTCTTGTATTGCTTTATTAGTTAGAGGTATGAATCGAAAAGCTTTCTTTATTATTAATCACTCGCCGACCTGCTTAAAAAAAAAACCAGCACTTAATCTATCGTTAGCTTCAGTATCTTTATGAACAAAGGTCTTTCACTGAACTAGCTAACCCAGCCAGTTACAGTAGTTATTTGGGTTAAATGGTTATACATGCAATCGACTTTATCCTTTCAGTAATCTACAATGTATGCAATTGACGGCGTAGAACAGCGCAGAACATCTCATTACGTAGCACTTCAGCTATGACAGCATACGTCTTAACTGCCGGCCCTGTGAATCTAATGACAATTCACCAATGCACGCACATGGATGACAACGCCCGGCTAGTAGCACCCCTAATTTCCAAGCCGTTAACTTTGGGAGCTAGAAGAGAATTTACAGGCCTAAGTGGTCAGCCAGCAACGGTTGGAGATCAGCCGCGATAGAGCAGCTTCTCCACCCAAACGCCAGATTATTAAGATCGCATATTCCGAATGTGGCTACAAGATCTTTCTTAATGCGGCTGCAGGTGTTCGCTGCCATGCTTAATTTTTCTGAGTGCTGACAATGCAATTCTATCTCCTACATCATTAATAATTCGACAAAACTGTAAATGAAAGTTTTATATAAATGCATAGGTTGACGTCGCCAAAAATGCAATTCGATAACCAACGCAGCCTGTTCTCTCTTGAGCTGTCAAAGCCTCACTGGCCTCCAGCAGTTTTAGTAGCACATTGTACTGAAACTTGACGATATTGGCCACAATTCTACTTTGATCAGCCTCAATACATCTACGACACTCATACAAACTACAACAAAACCTCAGCCTTTGCATATGCCAACATCCACCAATATGGCAGACTTCTTTCGCGACACAACATTTGGACAGACAGTTCGTCTCCTATCTGGAAAGAGACTGTTTCTTCACCCCGAAGAAAAGCCAGGCTTCATTCTGCCTGCCGAGTACCAGCTCTCACTCAATAATGAAGAAAAGCTTGCTGCAAGAGGATCCAGCCCCGCATCCACATTACAGAATAGCGATGCGGACGTAGAGGCTCATAGAAGCTCAGTGGACGCCGCTGGTATTGAGCTTCACAAGACAAAGTCGGTCCCAATCGCTCCAGTCAAAACTTCGGACGGCACCATTCTCGTTGACTGGTATTCCACCGATGATCCTGCAAACCCCCAGAACTGGTCCACCGGGAGGAGAGCATGGGTCGTCATTGTTATGAGCTTATACACCATGATTGCATACATGGCTGGCTCGCTCTATGCCACCTCGGAGCCTGGTGTTCAAGAACAATTTGGCGTGGGAAACCAAACTGTACTCCTCGGTCTTTCAATGTTTGTTCTAGCATATGGTGTTGGCCCTCTATTCTTTGGCCCCATCACAGAGATTCCCGCTGTCGGCAGAGGCTGGGTGTACTCGCTCTCGTTTATTGTCACCTTTGCCCTCAGCTTTCCCACCGCTACCGTCAACAGCTTTGATGGATTGATTGCCCTGCGATTCTTCCAGGGCTTCTTTGGCAGTGTTGGTATTGCCATTGGCGGTGCCAGTGTTGGAGACGTCGTCCCCTTTCTGTATTTTCCCTATGGTCTGGTGGCGTGGATCTTGGCCTTTTGGTGGGCTCCTCCTATCGGGTACGTTGATAATTCGCTCTCTTTTCGATGGTAGCAGCTACTGACTAATATATATATATAGAACTGTGAGTGGTGGCTTCGCTGCTATGGCACATGGCTGGAGATGGCCCATGTGGTTGATCACCTGGTGGTCAGCGCCCATGCTGCTTATGCTGCTCTTCCTTACACCAGAGACATCCCCCTCCAACATCTTGCTCAGACGTGCGCGGCGCCTTCGAGCCCTTACCGGCGATTCAAGACTCCAATCTCAGGGCGAACTTGACCAACGTGGTATGACTGCGACCAGCATTCTTATGGAGACTCTCATCAGACCTTTTGAGATTGCCATCAAGGATCCCGCTGTTGCCTATGTCCATTTGTACACCGCCTTCTTCTACGGCGTCTTCTTCTGTTTCTTTGAAGTCTTCCCTCTTGTCTTCATCCCCATCTACGGCTTCAATCTTGGAGAAATCGGCCTAGTCTTCCAGTGCTGCGGTATCGGCGCCACTATTGGCACAGTCTTCTACTTCCTCTTCCTGCGCTACTACATGATTCCCGATAACGTCAAGAACGGCTTCGACAACCACGAGCAACGTCTGATTCCTGCTCTTGCCGGCTCGGTCTTGACCCCCATTGGCCTCTTCATTTTTGCCTGGACTCATTACGCTCATATTCACTGGATTGTTCCAATGATTGGTGTCGTTACGTTCTGTGTTGGAATGTTCTGGATCATTATGGCACTCTTCACATACGTCCCAGTTTCGTACACGCAGTTCACGGCTTCAATCTACACATCCAACGGCCTTGCCCGGTCCATGATTGCATGCTCGGCAGTCCATATTGCACGCCCCCTATTTATCAATGTCGGAACTCACGAAGGTGTTACTATCCTGGCGTGTCTGAACATCCTTGGCATTCCAGCAACCTGGTACATTTATAAGAAGGGCGCTCAACTTCGTGCCAAGTCTAAGTTTGCTCAGGGCTAAGGGTACTGAGGTATGCAAAGAAAGCAGAAAGATAATAGTGGAAATTGTGAGGAAAAGGCGGGCGAGTTTATGAAAGATCTCAAGCAATTACTTATACAAGAGTTCAGGTTACATGGTCATAATAGAGCGATGCATACTGATTGACTACGAAGAAAGACGATACAATACAATTGATAGATCTGGATAGAGTTTTACATATAATACCACATGTTTGAAATTTTCAAATGAAGACTCTTCACCATCCACTTGCCTTCACAATTGATTTCAATATGCGTTGAGAACTGTCTAACTGGATTGAAGCCTATCTAGACTTGCCAAATACGGATAAAGCTGTGGAAGCACTATTGACAGCGCTAAAGCGTCTGCTGAGAACTGCTATGACATCACCGCTTACTGATCGCTTCCTTTGTCTCACCCATGCCTCTTCCGTCATTGTCAGGGAATGCCAAAATTTGGAATTCGGTGAAAAGGCTAGAAATGCCGTCTGTATCAATGGCATTGATAAGCATCTGTGATATGATGTTTTGGGGGGTTGAGATACAGCGGTTTAGTTTTTGGCTTTAACCTTTGGGGTCTTGACATCTTGCCTAAAGTAGACACTAACCGTGAAGGCTATGGTAATTGCTATTCCAACAAGTTAATTCAATCTTACAATTCACACAATAATTAGACAATTCCCTCTCTACGACTTGCTTTATGCTTCTACGTTCAAGCTTCAACTCATTTATTCAGCTTCTTGCTATATATTTCATCAATAGTCCCCGTAAGCTTGAAATTGTAGGATCAGTGCTGATAGTCAAGGGTAGCTCTGCCGTGTTTACTCCGCATTATGGACAGTGCTAAGCTTGGGGGGAATGCTGTCATACATAAACACCTTTGACTCTCATTGGTCTGTGGTTCTCTGTACAGCACAGCTGATGGCCTCTTGTGTTAGACTAGTTAACGATCAATTCTATTAGTATTCTGAACCATGAGACTCCAATATGGTTCTAAAGCTACACTTTAATTCATCATTTACTTCAATCACTGTCGCTGTATTGTCTGTTCAGTCTACTCTACTCAGGCGGGGCTGCTTACGTGTGAATGGTATATGAAAGCACGTTGATAGAGCTCAATTCCTCTAAACCCTTCTGGTAACCAGCTAAACAAATCCACAGCCTCTGCATTTCCATCGCAATGGAGCGCCCGGCACCGCCGGCTGCAGATTTGGAACCGCACACTTCCGGCTTGAGGTGTCGAGTGCAGGCTGGACATGGCCAGGAAACGCTTCTTTTTCAGTCTGAACGCTGCGCTGCTGGCCACGCAGTTTCTCTGCGTCCTTGCAAAGCCATGGATTCGAAGCACGGCCTCTTCTATCTTGTCTGCGCCAAATCACATTGTGCCCGACTATGTCACCAAATACGGTACGAATCTGCAACAAGCAACTTACAGCAAAGACCATACTGCACAATCCCAATTGGGAATATATAAGCTAATCTGGAAACGAGGAATACAGCGCCGCTCGTCTGGCTACACTCGGATGACCCGTTTCGGCCGTCAGACTTGCTCGAACACATCCGGCACACAACTCCTGCAGTCAACTATAGCCTTGTCGCCGACCTGCCAGAATTGAACCTCGACAATCTCGCTCTGCTCAACAATATTAGCAGTGAAAGAGTCGCTCTGACCTCCAATGACGATGTTACAACCCTGCCCGCATGGCTGTATGGCCATAGTCCGGACGAAGCCGGCAGAATCGCAAATGCGACGCCTTGTGTCGTGATCCTCGTCGAACGAAGCGCCCGAGACGTTGACGCCTTCTTCTTCTACTTCTACTCGTACGATCGAGGCGCGAATATCACGCAGGTCGTGGAACCTCTGAACCGGCTGATAGAAGATACTGAGCATGGCATGCATTTTGGAGACCATGTTGGCGACTGGTTAGTGGTCTTCTGCCCTAGCTCTTCTACATGATCAGTTGAGCTAATTGACTACTTCAAAGGGAGCACAACATGATACGATTTCGAGATAGTAAGCCCACTGGTATCTACTACAGCCAGCATGCTGGTGGCGCTGCTTACGACTGGAACGACATGAAGCTTTCTATGAAGAGTGGGCGGGTATGTGAATCTGAATCTTGACAACTTATAAACTTCATGGTTCACCTGACATGAGCTTCTCAGCCTCTTGTGTTTAGCGCATACGGGTCGCATGCGAATTACGCCACTTCTGGGTGAGTTGCACCCGCTATAACAATGGGATATGTTTGGCGTTAACAGCATTTCTTATGAAGCGACCACATTCACGACTCGGCCTTGATCGACTATTGCGATGCCGGCAAATTGTGGGATCCGGCCCTCTCAGCGTACTTTTATCACCTCGATCCCGCCAATTTTAAACTAACGCGCCTCTTCACCTCGATATCCAACTCCACCGTCGCGTCAAATATGACATCCTTCTTCTACTACACTGGCATCTGGGGCGATGCCCAGTATCCGGATTCCGATAAGCGACAAAAGACCGTTCCAAAGTTTGGCCTGAAGCGGTTTGTATCAGGGCCGCAAGGTCCCATTGTGAAGAATCTCGTACGAAAGGGGCTTATGCCCGACCAGCGTGAAAAGATAACATGGATGCAGTGGGCTGTTGGCATTTTTATGTCATGGTACCCATGTTGCATACGAGGATATAGAGTCTGGGTGTCTGTGGCCGTGATCATAGGGTTTATAATACTGACCGTGTTTGGAGTAAGACATGGAGTGAAGAAGTACAGGAGGACAAAGGGGTACCAAAAAGTAGATACAGAGATTCCATTACGCGAGATGAACCATGGTGGTCAAGACGATGCTGGCATGCATCGCAACCAATCCTACTAGACACAATAGATTAAAGAACAATTGCTTGCTTGGCTTTCTGAATACTTTTTGAAAATGCTAGTATTAACGACTTAAGGTCGGATGTAAGGGACCGGTGGGCATTGGCTTCCGATAAGTCGTGATTCTTGCTTGGCGATCAGATATCTCGGTAACAAGCGTAGTTTCCTTCGCTAAAGACTACAGACAACTGGAATCTTCTCTGCCCCATTCTTGACTGAACCAATTAACATTATCCAAGGAGCCAAACTGGGCAAATCCATCCCAATCACTTATAAAGCCAAAGCCCTCCGAGCCCATTGGCGTCTGCAGCCGTTTTGTAGGATTGAGAACGTAGTCGAGCACCTTTTTAATAACGCTCCTAACTCCAGACGCAACTGAGCTATTGGGATGTGAGAAGTCCGGCGCGTTCAAAAAGCCTACGAGCAAGCTCAACTGCTGAATGATGGACGATCTGGAGTAATCTTCGCCGGCAATGAGGTCCCCATCGATGGTAATGTTCATGGGATTGGGGTCGACAAGTTCCATGCACAAGACTGCCCCGGCTGGGGCTGCATATCCAATCAACTGCATCATATTAGAAATTTTCCCTACACAAGAAAAGGTGTGAACTCACCAGGCGTTGACTCTCTCCTGGGATCTCCGCCCATCTATGCTTGTGAGTCCATAGGCGCAAGGCCAGGACGACGATTTCGAAACTCGTACGCAAGAGGTCGGTCCTTGGATGGCCGTGCTTCAGTAGTAGCCGCTCGACTAAGAAAATGTTGAGCATGTGGTCGAGTCTCATCTCATGTTTCGAATAGAATGTTTGAGCCTCTACATCCGTCAATTCTCCGAGTGCAGGATCATACACAAGATGGACAGGCAATGTGTTGTATAATTCGAGCTGCTTTCTTTTTAGTGTGCTGTAGAGCTCATTAGCTGGTTTCTGTAGGTATCCGATATAAGTCTATGCGTTTCTCGTACATGATATCGTCAATGCCGTGATCTTCAACATAGCTGAGGCCGATTTCAAGGATTTCATCTCGTACTAACGCTATCAAGGTACGAACGCGAAGAATCGAGGCTGAATGCAGCCGACCATCCATGTCCCATCCGCCACTGTCAACACGTAAAAGGTGTCTTTGGAAAGTCTCCTTGTCAGAGAGCAGAGCCCCATCGTCCAGATCCAGCGGCAGTTGAATTGAGCAAAACCTTCGGGTGAGGAGGGCGGGTCGCCCAACGAATGCTGCCAAGAACTTATCTGCTATGAAAATCTGACACACAATACGCCTGCGCGCCTCCTTTGATGCCATTGATTTGGAAGAAGCCGTTGATGGTCCACAGGATCGATCGACGTGAAAGCCAGAGAATGTTAGCATTGCAGCCGTTTCGGAGTGGAATTTCCAATAGGGAAGACCTAGGCCGTGTTAGTACTTGAATTCGACTTTGAACGGCACATCTCTTCATCATAGAGTTGTGATGATACACGCTTACTGGTGTCGCCATGCATGCATGCGTGTAGCACAGAGCGTTTATGCAGCAAGTAGAGCATGAGTGACCCGGAACTGCCTCCCATGTTCGCGAGAGTAATGCAAGACGAGCAATATTCGGTGTAATGGCTTATGAGCCGTCTCGAATCTGTGCTCGTGGACGCGTGAAGCTCTCCAAGAGCGGCGTACAGGAACATGATGCCGACTGCCTCCCAACGCAGTTTCGGTCCTGAGAAGCTCTCCAGCCATGCTTGAGCGTCTTCATGATCCTCCTTGAGAGTTCTCCTTGTGTTGATGCAGATTGTGCCACTCAGTTCCCGTAGCTTAGCCAAGTTTGTTGTCCTGTCCCGCAAGTAGGTGCCAAACGTTTGCCAGGTGCTCGCAATTAGTCTTTCGCCAATCATCATCATCCACTCATCGTTGGGATTGACATGGACTGGGAATAGAGCTCTGCTTGCGTTTCCTGGCACGGGTATCGCTTGCAACACTTTGACGGTAATGTGAGTGGCTGTTTGGTCCCTGCCTGCCATGTCATGGATTTCGGCCAGAGACGGAGGAGTCGTTCCATCACCCAAAGTCGCCTCGGAGGACGATATTTGCTCACTCATGTCTGGAGGATTGCGTACGGCCAGACTAGTCTCAGTCTCCGAGTATGCTGCTGAGAAACTGGTCGGGCCAAAGAAACCCATCGGCTTTCGAGCGGCTGGAGAGCTCCAAAACCTGTCCTCTGGACCGGCATACCCGCTAGAATGAAGCGAAGCATTTGTAGACTGTAGACTTCGCCTTGATGATTTATGTGCTAGTAATTGCCTGGAATCAAGATATTCGCTTGACACTGTCTCTTCATCTGGCGACAGGTAATAACACAGGGATGCTCCGTTACGCCGCCTACTGCACCGAAGACAGACTGGGTAGCTGTGGTCGCAGGCCACTTTTCGCCGACGGCAAGGCTCACATGCTTGTGTTTTGCCATTTCGCCGCGTTACAAGTGGGCTGGTCATGGGACTTTATATTTCGAATGTGAACACCTGAATGTGCTGTGTTAAGCGTGTTGTGAACACTAACAGTCAGTTTCAAGGACAGCGGTCGCGTTAGTTACGTACAGGGTTGGGGTGAGGGCTGTCTGTGGCATTGGAAGAAGTGAGCGCCGACTCGCGCTACTGCAGTAAGCAGACAAGCTTAAAACGTTCCGTCTTAGTTGGCTGGTTAGAGCTAAATGTACCATTAATTTGAGGGGCGAGGCGCTTATTTCTCAGAACCAGCGTTTCAATGCTAGAAGGTGAGATTCAAGATGAACAATTTAATGTGTTAAAAAGGATAGTTGGCAGAGTAACAGCTTGATTAGACAGGAAATTGAATGGCATGTTGTAAGAAACGAGTTGCTTCAAGTACAGTATCTTTGAAGTGCCAATGAAAACGGTGATTAATGAATGCTGTTCAAACCTATATAATGTTGTAGAAATAATCTATACATGTCATGATACACTGTTTATCAAGTATAACATTGCACTGAAATCCATGCATTCTAATATTTGGCAATATATAGCACTTGAGTCCAGCAGTGTTGAGGGTACTATCCACCAACACCCTTACTCGGCTATGCTTCTTACTCAAGAGTCATCACAGACCTGAAGCGAACCTTGCCGCTTTCCATCTTCTCAAAGGCATCCTGATATCCCGTCAAGAACGGGAACCTCTCAACGATACACTTGACTCCATGCGTATGCGCAAAAGCAATGGCGTCTTCACAATCCTGCTGGTGTCCCGAGTTCCATCCATGGACGCTGGTGCCGTTCATGACCATCGAGACGGTATCAAACTCGACTTGGCCAAGCGGTGCCAGCACGACTAGCTTCCCTGAGGGCGCCAAACCACCAACAAGTGGACTGACGGCCTCTCTATTCGGAGCAGTGCATACAATCATGTCGGCGCCTCCGAGTTTCTGTAGTGCCGTCACTGCATCTTCTGTGCTCGTGTCGATGTAGTGGTGAGCGCCCAGCTGCGTCGCAAAGTCTTTCTTGTCGCTGCCAGAGCTCAAAGCGGCGACCGTATATCCCATTTTGGCAGCATATTGCAGCGCCAAGTGGCCGAGCCCTCCGAGGCCTTGAACGGCGACAAGTCCGCCTTGCATCACGCCCATGTTTCGCATGGCGTTGAAGACGGTGACGCCGGCGCAGAGAAGAGGAGCAATCTCAGCTGGATCTGCCTCTGGAGGCACCCGGACAGCGGCCTCTGCGCGCACCAGGACATATTCAGCGAAGCCACCGTCCATTGTCACGCCGTTGACTGCACCGTTGCTGCAGAGCTGGAAGATTCCTCGCTGGCATGAACGGCATGATCCGTCGTGGCCTTTTTGATGCTCGAAGTTAACAGCTGTAGCGAGTACAAGTGTCGTCGACAGATGGCGACTTACCTCCATGCCAGGCCGCTCCAACACGTTCTCCTCCCTTGAAGCGAGTAACTCCTTCGCCTACAGCGACAACATCTCCCACCGCCTCATGGCCCGGTACGCGAGGGAACAAATCTCCCAGCAGGCCTAGTTGCACAAAACGGTCGCTGTGGCAGACACCGCAGGCGAGAACCTTTACCAGTATATAGCCTGGGCCGGGTTCTTGGAGCTTCACATCCTTGAGAGTGAGTTTTGCGCCCTTGGCCTCAAAGAAGGCGGCCTGGTAGGTTTTGGGAAGAGACGTGGTCCCGGCAGAAGACATGCTTAGCAGTAACGTCGATTTCTATCAAGAATTTTGTTCTCTTTCAACAAGGTAGTTGTGTACGGTTGTGTTTATACTTGTTGTTAGACTCATATATGAAGCACATACCTAGACAAGTTGTTTGGACAGTTAAACACTACACATAGGCAGGTATATATATATGTAAATTTGTCTCTACATCGGGAATGCTTTAAACACTCTATTATCATGTGTTGAATCGGCCATTGTATTGATCATCAACGCCGAGAACTGTGCCAAGAGCGCCGTTTCGCGCTTTGCATTCATATTCAAGGGCCAAACAAAGGGAAACGAAGTATAAGAGTCGAGAACCGAGAACCGAGAAAACGGCGTTCTTGCTCCGCAGAAAGTTGAGTCTTGGACCCGCCGCCCACCGTGTTCCTTCGTAGCTGGAAATTGAACGGCGTTGGAAATAGCGGGCTTGAAGCAAGTCTTTAACAGCATTTATTGCTAACCTGATATTTGGTCGCAAAACTCAGTACTCGTGGATACAAGTATGTATATTCTTATATATTCTTAGTCCAGTAGTTCTGCATATGGCGAGGCGATACTCGGAACTTTTCATGCGGCCTCTATAATGCCTCTGACAATCTCACCAGCCGCCTTTAAATGCTCCACAAACTCTGCCGACTTTCTCTCACCGTTAATTACAGTGAATTGCACCTTCTCGTCAAAGACTTGGACACCAACCCATACGTCCTCCTTATGAGGCTGACACCTGCCCATCTCCGGCAGTCCGAATTCTGTGAAGCTGGTGCAGACTGGTCTCTCGCTTGTCCTTCTGAACACCTCGTCCTTGTAGAAAATAGGCAGCTCTTCGCCAGGCTCCAACATCTCGCGAAGTGCCATCAGATGCCACCTAAATCCTCTTCCGCGAGTTGACAGCGCTACCAGCCGCGCGTGCGACTTTACAGCTTCCAAGAAGAGTCTTCGCTTTTCGACACCACTGATATTTGAGTCTTCAGCTGCGGCGCAAAATGCTTCCACAGGCGGCGTCATCACGTAGATCATGTCTGTTCGTCCACCACGGAATGGGCGCTGCGAGATGACGTCCACCGCTCCTGAGGGGTTGTATCCGAAGAGACGGCGAACAGCTACCTGGATCAGGAGCTGGATGACTGTCTTAGGTGGAAGCTTTTGATGTCTGAGATAAGAGGCTGCGTAAGATGTCTGGTTTAGGTTGGCGAGAGTATAGCCGTCATGAGCTGACTGATGCTGAGTTTGGAGAGCAGGGATGATCTTTGACAGAGTTGTTGGCAGTGTGAATTCGAGATATGTAAAGTCACCATCAAGCACCGAGTTGGAAGTAGTTGAGCCATTAGATAGCTCCACCTGTTCGACAGCTGGCGAGTTGAGAGCTTTTATTAGACCGCCGAATGTAGTGCCGTCGACCATGGTGTGCTCGCCCCAGATAGCAGATACGCCGTTACGACAAACCACAAATGAAAGGGTTTTGTCTAGCCAGCGGTTGGAATTGTCGTCGAGAAGGAAAGCATCTGCGCGGCCATCTGCTGTCTCTGGAGCTGTATCTTCGAGGTAAATAATAAAGAGCGACTCTTCGACAGTCTTGACATAGTTGCGGCCGCTTTGACTTGCCGACAATATTTCATCACGGGCCTGGAGCAGAGTTAGCCTCAAAGACGCACTTCTAAGAAAATAAAGTAATATCGAAAGAAGGGCTTCAAAGATATTGCATGCATACCTTTGCCCACTCATCTCGATTTGCAGTGGTGAGTAGACTAGTCCAATTCGTTTCCTCGGGAGTTTGCTGCACAATGGCTTCAAAGACATTCTTCAGCTTCTCGTATGTTACAGTCTGTCCGTTGTGGCCCGTGAGAGGGATCTTATATGCGTGTCCGCGTTTCATCGCGATGATATAATCGCTCTCTGGGAATCGATCATAACCGTCGCAGCCAAGCGCTGGAGTACGATTTGAGCTGAATAGCCAGTAAACAGTAGCCACTATGAGTCTCATTAGTAATTGCCCCGAAGCCCCAGTTTGGTCATGTTGAAATGGTGATGCAAATTTGCTTACTGTCCAATGCTTGTTCATGATAAAAGTCTTGCTTAATTGTTCCCGCATCGAGTGCCAATTTATACGCATAACCCGCGAGCGAAAGCTGTGCTGCTTGTTGTGCCTGCGGCTGTCGAGCTGTATCTTGTCCAGGAAGAGTCGCAAAAAAGTTTCGAAGTCTGGGTCGCCAGTCTCGCCCACGAAGCCACTTGTTTCTGACATACATGTCCACAACCTCATTATTCTCGCCTTCACCACCTGACATGTTTTTAAGCCTCGCTTGCAGTTTTTGGCCCAGTCCGTCGGGGTCTTGGAACGCGTTGATCGCTTCTCGAGTGCGCGATAGCTCTTCAGCATTGGCGATATGGCCCACGGAATCGAGGAATATCTCCAATGTTCCCTCCAAAGTTTGCATGGGATATTTGGGAAGAGAGACTTGTTTTACACTGTTGCTATCGTCATTCGTATCTGCCTTTGTCTCACTATGTCCGTTAATACCCTCCGGCTTGAACTTGTTCTTCACGAGGACAGAGCTTTTTGTGACAAAAGACGCAAGTGACCGCAGGCTTGGGGCATCCAAAATGTCAGAAGTTTGGGCTGGGGCTTGTAGCTTGTTGGTAATCCAGTTCTTGATCTCGGTCGCAACAAGAGAGTCGAGGCCCATATTGGCAACGGCTTGATCCAGATCAAGTTCTTGAGACTCAAGGACAGTAAGTGAGGCTATTTTCTCTCTAATTGCAGTCAGTATCAGCTGCTCTGCCTCTTCAATTGTTGATGCAACAGCGACTTTTTCTTCCGCTGTACGTTCATCCGCTTGTCCTGTTTGGTGCGCGGGGCCTCTGTTATGAGAAGACAATATGTGAGACACAAGCGGCGGCACTCTACCACCTGGCGTTGTTTGGTTGATGAATGACTGTGGATCAAGCCCAAATGCTATTTGGTGATTGCCATCTTTGAATGCCTTCCCGCTCATCACATAGTCAACAACTGGGAGAGCAGTCTCAATAGGGAGAAGCTGAACACCTTGTCTACCTAAGGAGTGCGTGTGCTCCTGTGTGACTGTATACGTGCTTTTGATTAGTGGAAAGTCAATAGTCGCAAACTTCGTATAACCGGCAGAGACTTGGGCGTGAGTGAACATGTCCTGGTACGTGCCTCCTGCAGCGTAATTGGACTGTCCCAGCGTACCAACGATGCCGCAGAGGGACGAAAGATTGACAAAGAAATCGACGTCTTTATGGTAAAAGGCGTTGTAGATGTTGACTGTGCCGTGATACTTAGGCAAAAGAGCAATCTCAAAATCCTTTTGTGTTATCTGCGACAGTGTCCGGTCCTGCATCCGAGCAAATTAGCTTCATTTTTCTGTTTTAAGGAGCTTTTGCTTACCGAAAGTACCATGCCGCCATGGAGAATACCTCGTACCTGCGGCATAGATCGAGACAGTTCTGCGGCTACTTGCTGTACCATTTTCGCATCACCCACATCGCACGTTATAATCCTAACAGTAGCTTCTGGAACTGCTGTCAGCTCTTTCTCCATCTCTGCCTTGGCAACCTTTTGGTAACTCTGTCGTGTGAATAATGCAATATGCCTCGCGCCTTTCTCCTGGAGATGGCGGCACAGATGCTTTCCCAGACTTCCCAGCCCACCTACAATGATATAAGTTCCGTCAGAATGTAGTCGGAATGGCTGCTCTTTGGCTTCAACAGTCGAACTATCTGTGGCTTCTAATACAATCTTTCCGGTATGCTTCCTGCTCTGCATCAATCTGAAAGCCTTCTCAATATCGCCTATTGGCATTGCGGTAACAGAGAGTGGCGTAAATAGTCCGGCGTCAAAATCAGCAAAGATTCTCTGCAGCAACTTTTGGCACTCAGCCGGTCGCTGTTTCGAAAGTCCAACAAGATCCACGCTCATGAATCGCAAGTTTCTCTCAAATGGCTTCATGCTCAGCTGGCTGCGTCGGGAAATATCCGTCTTGCCAACTTCGACAAACGTTCCAAAGGCAGCGACACATTCCCACGAAGCGTGAAGCATGGGCCCTGATAGAGAGTTTAGAACCACGTCTACGCCAGTTCCATTGGTAAGCCGATTGACCCCTGCTGCGAAATCGGTTGTGCGACTGCTGAAGATGTGACTCTCAGGGATGCCGTACTGCTCGATGAGTAGTTGCCGCTTGGATGCACTTCCAACACTTGCAAATATTGTTGCTCCAAGTCTTTGAGCAATCTTTATGGCTACTTGACCCAATGCACCGGAAGCAGAGTGTATTAGTATTGTCTGGCCCTGGCGAAGATTGGCGGAGTCAAAGAGCGAGTAGTAAGCTGTCGCAAATGTTAATGGAATTGAAGCGGCATCTGTGAATGACAGGTTATCGGGTATGCGATGGACCAAATGACCATTTGTTCTCGTCCGACTTGCGTAAGGAGTGCCAAACATGGCTGTTACTCGATCGCCAAGCTTGAATTGTGATGCAAAGTTGCAACCAATAGCCGTGATAATTCCAGCGCTTTCGCCAACCATGGGTTGCGTGGGTGGTAGTTGGCCTAGGGCAATGAAGACGTCTGAAAAGTTGAGGCCCCAGGCGTAAGACTTGATTTCAACTTCATCGGGACCGAGAGTGGAAGAGTCATCGTCAATAAATACCAGGCTATTTAACAGGCCGGGTTTGTCGACATGGATCTTCAGACGTCGATCGGCTTGATGGAAAGTTGTTTCTTCAGTCTCTGTAACATCAGAACTGGTGGAAACAGCTTTTGATAGCTTATTGTCAGCGACAAAGCGTTGGATTTGCATTTTCCCATCTCTATACATGAGCTCAAACTCCCTCGGTTCATTTTTCCTGATTCTGGTTTCGGTGGTGTGAACGAAGTCTAAGAGTGCATTCTGTATCCGATCAGCGTGCTGTTCCAGAGAGTCTTGCACATCAATAGTGAAGCAGTCAAGGTGGGGATTCTCATTTCGTGCCGTTCGTGAGACTCCTGTGATTAGTGCATTGTCTGGTGAAATGCCATCATCGTCGTTTGCAGCGAAGATGACCCAATATACTTTAGTAGCTTTGGATAGTAGGCGAGTGATACTGGTAAATTGCTCAGTAGACGCTTTTGTTAGAAGAGGCTGTTTTGCAGAATCAAGAATGATGTAAGAGCTTGAGCAGTTGACTTCAGCATTAGTCCATTGCTCCAAAGAAGCCCCGAAGCCTTTCTCAGTCAAGCCATTTGCAAATTTCACAGAGAATGAGTTATATGATGGGCTTTCATCATCAGCAAAAGCATCTAATATCTTGAAGTGAGAAGGAACATGTCCATTTGTCGCAGAAGGAAGTGCAAGTGCAGTTGATAACAATAGAGCACAATGTCTCTCAGGTTCCGGCAGATCATAGGCAGCTAAATCAACGCCAGAGAAACCGGCTTTCTGTAGATGCACGTTCCACTGCTCAGCAGACTGCAGTGGGCTGTCAGTCCGGCCTTCGTCAACACCAGCCCACCAGCCCGGGATAGAGCCAAAAGTCATGTTGATGTACGGCGTTGACGTAGTAAGTTCTACAAGGCCAAGGACACCGCCAGGCTTTAGTAGCTTGTGGATTGTCCGAATTGACTTGTTCAAAGACCGTGTTGCGTGGACAACGTTGGCCGCAACGACTAGATCATATGATTGTTCTTTGAACCCTTGACTCGCTGCATCCTTTTCCAGATCCAGAGTCTGAAACGTCAATAGGTGCGCCCAGTCTTTTAATCGGTCTGTTCGCACAGCCTCAAAGAATCCGGAGGATATGTCGGTGTACATGTATTCCGAGCAGAAGCTTTCGCCATTGGGGCTACATGCTTTCAGAATTCGATAAGTCGTACCGCCAGTTCCAGCGCCGATTTCCAAGATGCGCAAATCTCGTCTTTGGAAAGTCAACATTTTGACGTAGTCGGCCATGTACTGGTTAGGTCGGGCTCCTTCATCAGAATGGTATACACGAAACAGGAGATCGTCTTTCAAGAAGTGAGTGAGGGGATCTGTTTGGCCTGTCAACAGAGGAACCAATTCCGGTCCGATTCGAGCTACAGCCTCTCCTTCGACTCCAAGTCTGGATGTAAGCTTGTCCAGCTCCTCTTTAGTGCTGGGGCTCTTTTCGATGAGCGACTTGCCCATCTCTGAACTGACAAAATTCTTCAAAAGCCGCCACCAGTTGACTCTGTGGTCGTCTTTTACTGCTAATCCACGCTCATGCATTTCCCTGACAGCCCAGTCGATATACCGGGCGCAAGCAACAAAAGTGAGATTGACTTTCTCTGCCTGTGTTATCCCAGCTTCGTCGGACTGTAAGGGAATTTGAACGCGTTCCAACATTTCGGGCGTAATTGAAGAGCTGTCAACTCCCCATTCCATCTTAAAGATGTTATCGTTGTGAAGCACTTCAGTAGATTGAGCCTCTCCGACAACGCGAATCTCGCCACCATTCATAGTTAGAACGCACTGTGGTGTGCCATTATTCTCTGTCTGGAAGACTGCGGTACTAAAGTTTGTCGACGTGGGAAAGACGTTACTTAAGTTACACAACGTTTGAAGATGATTACCAGCTTGATTGGCGATGCTTGCGGAAATGAATATGTCGCTAATAAAAATGGGCATCACCGAGCCTTTATTGGAATGCTGCTGAAACACAGGAAGACAAGACTGAATGATGCCATCGAGCGTTGTGGGATGAATGAGATGCGGCTGCATATATCCACTGGGCATCTTGGCAGCGATATCTGGGATAACAAGGTCATTTAAAGATTGAAATGCTGTCATCCGGACCTCGTTATTGATGGCAAAAGAAGGTCCATATTGATTGCCTGTTGCCGCCATCTGAGCGTATAACTCCTTGTGTGAAATGACGTTGGTGCAAGCTGCGGCCGCGTCTTCCAAGCGAGATGCTTGAGACTTGCGATCAAACTCTGCTTCGCGTTGTTGCTCAATCTCATCCTTGTCATTGTCAAACACGGCGGATATCGTGCCGTTGCAGTGGTCTTGCCATTTGCCTTGATCTGACATTGAGGAGACGGAGAAATTCCAATTCTCGTTTGTATCAGAATATTGGAATGTTAAGATTGTCTCGACCGATGTGTCGTCTTTGGGAATAGTCAAAGTCTTCTTGAAAGAGACATTCTTTATTCTATAGCCTTTAGGCTTGAAGTCTTGTCGACGGTCCTGGTCCAGTTGTTGTATCGCCTGAATTGCCATTGTCATGTATCCAGCAGCGGGAAAGACGATGAAGTTGTCGACAACATGGTCTTGTAGCCACGGTAATCTTTCGGTGCTCAGAAGTATCCGCCAGCTGGGCTGACTGTCCGGCGATGCAATGACTCGAGAGCCTAGCAGATCGTGCGAAGGGTGTTTTCTACACCTATACTCGCGACTTAATCTCGATTCCATCCAGTGGGTTTCTGTGTGATTCCAGTGGTAGGATGGCAAGTCTCGTAAAACTCTTAGGGAGGATGACTTCGGTCTGCAGAGTGCAGCGACAGCCCCAATATCGAGATGGTCATTGCCACTGCGGAATAGAGCTGATCCTGTGTTCATGAGAGATTTGATACTGTTTTCGCCACGAACCAACGTTGGAATGTAGTTGTATGAAGAACCATCGGCTTGAAGGTCCGCCAGTGTCTGCTTGATTGGGCTTGACAAAGCTGCGTGCGGGCCGATTTCAATAATGTTGACTGCTGACTGCCTCAATTCTCGATACAAGGTTCGTAAAGCGCCGCAGAATCGGACAGGCGATACCAAGTTGTCTACCCAGTATGAGGCTCCGAAGCCATCAAACTTCTCTTGCTCTGTGACACTCGAGAAATAGCGGATGGCAGTGTCTACCGGTCCTGATTCGAGTCCCTCCAGTTCCTGCAGATAGTCGGAGCTTACAAGTTGCATATGATGAGAGTGATACGCAGTATCAACTTTAAGACGGCGATTAAAAACTCCGTCAGCGTCGAGGGCATCCTTCAAAGCCACGATTCCACTCAAGTCACCAGATACTGTAACACTAGAAGGGCTGTTGATACAAGCCACCGTAACACCCTGAATGTCGAATTTCTCGATATACTTCTGCGCATCCTCGTTTCCAAGGCCGACAGCCATCATCGTTCCGCTTTGATCTGAACGTTGTTTCGATTTTTCAGCCAAGAAGCTTCTGTGGTACGATGCAAACATTGCCGCACTCTGAGAGATGGCACCAGCGGCATATGCAGCGGCTATTTCACCGCTGGAGTGGCCAACTACCGCCGCAGGCAAGACATTCCAACTCTTCAAAAGATCAACAAGAGCTATCTGCACAGCGGTGCTTGCCGGCTGACCATATTCACTATTGTTCAGACGGCTTGAAGAGTCGTCTCGAGATAGCTCCTCGGTCAGACTCCATTGTGCGCCGAATCCCTTGAGTAACTTTTCTGAGATTGCCACTGATCGAGCAAAAGCCGTGTGTTCAGACTGTAGAAGAGTATAGCCCATTCTTGCCCACTGCGCGCCCTGCCCGGTGAAGACAAAGGCGTTTGCTAGTTTGTTAGACGCCTTGTTTCGTGCCAAGTCCTTTGCGCCAAGGCCCTGAAGCAAGGAATCAATGTCTTCGGCAATAATACTAGAGCGCCACTGGAATTTTGATCTCCGTTTAACCAAGGTGTGAGAAAGGTGATCGAGCCGAACGTCGGGGTGACGCTTCAAATATTCGCCAAGATCCTTGATGGCACTCTGTAGAGAATATTCGGATCTAGCAGATATTGGGAAAAAATGCGGAATCGTCTTTCCATTTTTCTTCATATCGGTATTGCCATTTATGTTGCCGTTTAATGTACCGTTTTGTGTGCCGTTTTCCGTAGCCGCATTTCCATTTTCATGGTTAGTGACTCCTGATAAGCCACAAGGTCAGCAAATGTTTATCTAGTACATGTAGGAATAAATGTATTACCATCATAGCCATGAGCTGATTCTAGAAGCAACATGGCATTTGTGCCTCCAAACCCAAAGCTGTTGACTACCGCTTTCCGCGTAGACGGCGTGGTTGGCCAAGGCGTGAGTGACCGCGCAATCTAGTCGCAATTGTCTTGTTAGAAACCAGCATCCACATATTTCGCTGATCTTACCTTCATATACTGCCCATCAGGTTCCAATCCGGGCTTGAAATTCTCTAGTAGTATGTTCGGGGGAATGAAGCCCTTCTCCATCGCCATGACTGTCTTAATGAGGCCCGCCGTGCCGCTGGCAGCTTCAGAATGTCCAATGTTTGGCTTTGTAGCGCCCACGAAGACGGGATCTTGTCCATCGCGGTCTTCGCAAAACACGTTCCGGATCGTATTTATTTCCACTTTGTCGCCAGCTTTGGTTCCTGTGCCATGAGCCTCTACGTATTGCACGTCAGAGGGCTTGAAGGGAAGATTTTGGAAGAGGCGTTTCGCAAGACGCTCTTGCGCGTCCTGATTAGGCAGCATTATTCCGTTTGTACGGCCATCAGAGTTGATTCCTGAATTCCGTATAATGGCTCGCACGCTGTCCCCATCTCGGATGGCATCGTCCAATCGCTTGAGGATTACCATTCCTACACCCTCTCCGCGGCCATAGCCGTTACCGCGGTCGTCAAACGTATAAGATCTTCCTTGATCATTGAATAGTCTGGAGAAGGGATTTTAGCCAAAGTTCATACTGATGATAAGTTTTCGAAAACACTCACCCAGTCATTGACATTAACGCCATCTGGTCAGGAGAGAATACCAGATTCACACCACCTGCTAATGCCGTGGATGTCTCTCCAGATCGCAGACTTTGGCATGCTAAGCTGATAGCAGCCAAGCTACCAGAGCAGGCAGTATCTACCATGACTGAAGGGCCTTGAAGGTCAAAGACGTAAGAAACACGGTTCGCCAGCAATGGCCGAGCCACACCGAGATTGTGATATTTGGAAACAGCTTCTGGATCTTTGTGTATTATCTGTGCAAAGTCATGACCGAACATGGCAACTGGAGGAGGCTTAGCATGGATCGAATGGCAATAGAAATTCAAAGTATACCAAAGATTCCCGTGTCCGACCCCTTAAACTTATGCATCGGAATGCCTGCATTCTCGACTGCCTCCCAAGTAGTCTCTAAAACAACTCGCTGCTGGGGATCGAGTGTATCTGCTTCTTGTTGCGCTATTCCAAAGAATCCAGCATCAAAAGTAGCAATGTCTTGATCTATGAAGTGTCCTCCTTTTTGGTTAATAGTGCCTGGAATCTCTGGATCAGGGTGATAGAATGCCTGATGGTTGAATCTATCTGATGGGACGTCACTCCAACCGCTTCGACCCTCAGAAACAACATTCCATAGTTCTTCTGGGCTATTGGCTCCACCAGGGTATCGGCAGCCCATGCCGATAATGGCAATAGGAACTGGCCCTTGAGACCGCATTTTTGTAAAGATGGCGTGAAAGGGGCGTTGGATTGCCTTCAAAGAGCCCGAACAGCATGGGATCTATAAATTATTCCACCTTCTTGGACCATATGACTGCCTAGATATATGTAAAATTACATTCTCTATTATCCCTCCTTCTCTGCCAAGATTTAACGCGGTAGCCGTTCATGAGCCCCATCGTCTCGTTAGCAATCCATTTTCATCACACAAGCCTACTCAAAATCTACCCTTCGGATATTCAATATGCAGTCAGCATTTGATAAAACGCTCAATCAGATGAATGATTCGATCCATGTATAGGTATATATGCACTATTCAACCCCTGATTTAGGCATGGTTGAAGAGTAACACGAGGATACGTATGATTCCATTGGAGCGCATGCAATACTACCCTCTTCCATGGCAATACGCTAAAGCATACTAAACGCTGTTGAAATTCCTCCAATGGCTAGTTGAATATCTTCCCCCGCAAAAGATTCATGGAAGGGGCGTCATCCGTACCATGCAAGCTTGAACAATCTGCGGGTCATTCCCCCACCAAAGACTTACGCCCGCAATCTATGATCCCATTTATCTAGAAATGGCAGATCTGCGAGCCGGATGCTGCCTCAAATCCATAGTAAGAGGCATTAGCGGCGTACGAGACCATCTTCCTGCATTGTACAATCTTATCACTGTATATCAACGCCATCGGACTATTCGACCGGCATTTACTCGTGAGGCAGCCATACTTCAGGATGTTGACATTTCTTTTATCAATATATAGTAAGGCCTACGGAAATTATGCAGACATCAAAGGTTAACGGAGAATATCTTAGCAGCCCTCCGGTGGGATAAGCAATCAAATACTAGCCTCAAATCGATGGTAAGCCAGCCGTTAGGTGTCAGCAGATCTCCGTTTCATACTTTGACACATTCATAGAACTGTTCAAATACCATTCTTGATTTCTGGTCATTCTTAGAAGTGTTCAAATATCATTCTTGGTTTTTGATGCAGCAACCAGTGACCGCTTCAGGCAACGATATAGGCTATGAAACGAGCCCCCATCTTGACATGCTTACCTGTGATGCCAGTAGGAGCTATACGTCGTAACCGTACGACAAGCATTAAACCACGCAGATTTAGACTGAGATTGGCAGTTTATAGCCGCAGATGCGACAAACAAGAGCATAGTATCTCCAGAGCTAGCAGGGGATATTCCAGGCTTTTTTCACGCCATCTCCACCAACGGCCCGACTGAACTAATGGCTATCGAGAATAATCAGCAGAAATAGACTAGAGATCTTCAAAGATTATAATTTTTGTTTCTATAATTTTTGTATGATGGGCGCCGCGAATATAGGAATATTGCAGCTTCATATTTCATAACTGCTAGGGTGTTTTGACATAAAGCCGGTACGGAGAAGTGGTATAGGGATTCAATATTGTATTGCAGTCATTCGTGCTGGTAGCATATATTCCCCGCACTCGTAAGCGGATCCGATTATTACCCCAGATACTCGTACTCACTCGGCAAATGATCACACGATGGGGTATCTTCGATTTCAACCCCTAGTAATGTTACCCGGTGCTGGTCTAGATATTTCTTTACTAACTGCCCATCAAGAGCTGGCCGCATTATCATAATAAACCCTTGTTGTCATCTCACTTTTCAATGTGGCTTCAGCAATGGGTTTGTAATTACTGGCATCTCTATTTCTTTTGCCCATATTGAATGCTGCAAATCTTCCATTAGTGTGAATGTCTTCCGAGTTTCGCAGCCATGAACTATATGCGGCTAGAAGCTACATGCATACACCCGAATATAATATAATGACTCAACGACATTGGGGTTGGCCGTCTCCTACCGCATTGGGATAGCAATATCCGTCTGACCCAATCACTAAACTACGACTACTTTCTATGATATTACCTAGTCTAGATATGCATTTATGACACACACTTAAGCCATTGTAGTACTTTATGACTTTTCGAGAAAGCAGAACATGTCACATGAAGGAAAAAAGCAAATATAACATTATGCTAATTGGATTTTGTCAGCTGTAAAATTCTCTTAAATGAAAGGAGGTACTGCAACGATGATAATTTGCGAAATGTTATAGAATATTCTTAAGTACATTATTTTCAATGTTTGCCTTGATTACCATCCCAACCTCAATGCTGGGTTGCATTCGAGGCGTTTTCAATCACTTTAAGTAAATGCTGAACACGATTGAAGTTGTATCAACACAGTGTCTTGAAATTAATCCCGGCGCATTCAAGGTAGGCATGCATATCAGTACTTGAACTTGGTTCGCTGCGCAGCTAATTGAATATATGATACAAGCAAAATAATACGTTGTTTAGTTTGGTTTGGTCAAATTTGATTTGGATAACAACATCGTTACTATTCCATGTTACAAGTTACAGATCATTGACTGCAAGCGAAAAGTTGTAGATCCGACGGTTAAACTCGAAGCTCGTTGGAATTGATTTCTCCCTACCATAATTTGTGCAACGGCGACTGAAGCGACTTGCTACAGTTAGTACGCTAAACTATTGACTAGCGTCAGGCACGCTAGAAGATCACGACAGGCTTTGGGGACCAAAAGAGGAATATCGGAGAATACGTTTCAGCATGATATAGTGTACTGTTAATTCGTATCTAAAATAGGCTGCCCATCCCTCTCTTGAAGATGTGATGCTATCGACCTTTTTGATCAATGTCTTCTCCTTACTCCGTTCTAAGCTGGCCGTGATACAAACGAGTAAAATGCTGTCAGCCTGGTGGAGTAGTCCCACCTTTTGTCAATTTCTTGGGCGCGCGCCCTGTGTTCGCAACAAGGCGCCACTATGTGAAAGAGAAAAGGCTTGAAGAAAAGAAGATTCTAGTAATAATATACTGCTTCTCTATAGTTGATATATAGCTCTTCATATATCTTAAAATTTTTTTTTGATCTGGCTGCAGTTCTTATTCTCTCGACGCAAATTACTCTAATCACCGTTCATCCGACATACACCATGAGTTCAGCATTTAGCGCACAAAAACTGCTGCAGTCTGCGCGGGTCTCTCCAGAAATCTTCAAATTACGCCCGGATTATCGAGCTCTCTTAATGACCGTCGAAGGTGTTCCTCCAGGTCCTAGCGACAGTATAAGCGAAACTCTCCTGATCGATGCCGAAACAAACGCAAAGAATCTGTTGTCTAAGCACCCTGTAACCGAAATTCCACACATTGCCGCATGGCGAGAGACTTACAAGGCATTTGGTTCTAAGCCGCAAAAAACTCGCAACAGCTTGGAGGCTTTGACTCGCCGCGCTGAAAATGGATTGCCTCGCATCAACCGGTTGACGGACATCTACAATGCTATTTCGGTCAAGCATCAAATCCCATTAGGCGGCGAAGACCTGGATAAATACGACGGATCACCTTTCTTGATACGTGCTACGGGTCAAGAGCAGTTCCAGGCTTTTACAGGTGGCGAACTGCAGACTGAAGTCGCAGCGCCTGGAGAACCTATTTGGTGTGACGACACTGGAATTACCTGTCGTCGCTGGAACTGGCGGCAAGGCCCACGCACCGCACTGTCTGATGCAACCACAAATGTGTTGATCATCTTTGACGCATTGGGGCCACTTTCGGATGAGGCTCTGCTTGCGGCTGCAGAAGAGCTTGCTTCAATATTGAAGAGCTTATCACCAGAAGTGAAGTGCGACCAAAGACTTATTAAAGTTTAATCCATGGTTCATCGATGACTCAAGTGGGCGAAATGGGTGTATTCTGTGCTGTTACGGAAAATATATATGGTGGAATTGCGATTGTGTTTGCAATAACTTCTAAATGATAGTGGGAACCAGACTGGCAAATGGTGGGAAAAAAAGAGTACTGAGACATTTGATGGATGAGCTTTCCGATGTAATAAACGCAGATAGAAGCTACATAGTGTATACTTACAAGCGCAGCTATAACAATTTTGAAATAGATTTTAAGGGTACAGTCCTTTGTTACACCGGCCTTTACAGGACTTTCAAACCTATACAACTGCAATAGAAATATGTATGGATACAAATGTATTTAATCTAAACCTTATAAATAGTAAGAATTAATTATTTTAGCTGCTGCAATTTCTCCAATTAGATAAGCAGTCGACTGTGTATGGTTGCTGTATAAAGAATATTGTTAGAGAAGACATTAAATTGTAGGCAAGCTTAGGTGTAGCTCTCTTGAGATATATACCTTGGAACAACTGGGCAAATGCTCATATCAACAACGCGAAGCCCCTCTACACCGATAACACGAAACTCAGTGTCAACACAGGCCATGTCATCGTCAAGTTTCCCCATTTTGACTGTCCCCATCGCATGCCATGCAGGCACCACTGCTTCTCTGAGAAATTGCTAAATTCGTGCATGTATAGTCAGTCGTCAATGCCCAATAGCCTGCCAGAATGAAGAAACCTGTACCAATATGTCTTCATCTGAAGTGCTCGTCGGACCTTCAATCTGCGTGGAAACGGGAAGATCAGAGTGCAGCATGAGGTCCAAAGTCTGCTTAATGGCCTCGATAAGAACTCGACGATCGTATGGATGTTGTAGGTAATTGAGATGGATAATAGGCTGTGCGTCTGGATCATTACTTCGTAAGCGGATAATGCCACGAGACTGCGCATTCATAAGTATAACGCTGGCCAATACGACCGCCTTGTCCTCCCCAGGAACCGGCACAATTCCCTGTGAGTTTCAATTATCAGCACTTGTTAACAGAATTGTGGGTTAAAGGAAGCTTACTATTCCAAGCTCATACGATGCTGCCTGTGGCTTTCTCAAGAGATCTCTAGCGCTCTCATTAAGCTCTTGGAACTCAACCCAGTTTGTCAGGTTATGGGGACGGAAATAGCCCAGCGCAACGGTGCTGGGGTCCATCGCAAGGGGCCCGCTTTGGTCTATATCCCATTGTGTTTTCCAACTCACCACGTCGTTTAAGCTTACACTCGGTATAACGTTAGGTCGAACTAAGCCTTTCAGCCGAACTAAACAGTGGTCTTTCAAGTTTTGTCCCACCCCAGGGAGAGCCACAACTTTGGTAATACCGTTTTTCGCGAGCTCTTCCTCCGGCCCAATGCCGGACAACATAAGAACCTTGGGGCTTTCAATTGCACCTGCAGATAGGATGGTTTCTTTAGAGGCAGTGACTATGGCTATCAGCGGCGGTCTCCAAGGAAGATCTATGGACTTACAAATGCTCCCGTCGCACGCCTGTACTCCAACGGCTCGATTAGCTTCAAACAATACTCGTGCAACTTTACATCCTGTAATGATACACAGATTGGATGGTGTGTCCTTCAAATACGCAGTTGATGTTACGCGAAGGCCGTTGGATGTTGTTGCAGCTGGTACTCCCATCCCGAGTTCTCCGCACGATAAGTCTTTGATCAGTCGAATCTGAAAAACTTTGTTAATGGCTGACTTAAGGAAGCTGGAAACAGACATTACCCCTTTTTTACGTGCTGCATCGAGGATTATTGCGAGGCCAGGTGTCCACATGGTAGGCAGAGTGATGTTTATGGGTCTGTCAATCATTCAAAATCTGTCTGAGCAGTCCAGGGAATCAGAGAGACAAACCCATCTAAGCCATGGCTAGTTGAGTCCCATAACAAATATTGCTGGAACTCTTGAGGTGTCCCGTTATAAAGATTTTCAATCTGCTTAGTATTAATTGCTTGCAGTACTTCGACCTTGGTTCAATGGATATTTGAGGCGTCTCAAAAGTAGAGGTGTGGAATACCATTTTCATTTTGGAAACAACTTCTTTCCAGCTCCAGGCATCATCCTCTATTAGCTTTGCCCAATGGTTCATCTCTTCCATACGTCCAAAGTCCCATATGCCTATATTAATATTCGTAGAGCCACCAAGCCCGCAACCACTGTCATACACCAACTCACGCTGGTTTAACGTGGGCTCAGGCTCAGTTTTATACCTATAATTGAACTCGGAAGCTTCATCGGTCGACCAGAACGAATAACGTGCCCCAGCAACCATGTGGGTGAGCTTGGTGTGGGAGTTGCCTGCTTCAAGAAGCAGCACTCGTGGTCTTGTTGGGCTCTTGGCAAGACGGGATGCAATTGCCGCGCCCGCTGCGCCAGCTAGATTGAAATAAACTGTCAGCATGAAAAGTTTACCATGCGCTGAACCCTGAGCATTAAACATACCACCAACGACTATGAAATCATAATCAGCCTCCATTGCCATGAATGAATCAGAGACAGTTAAACTATCTTTGTAATTTGCAGCATGTACGAGCTAGCCAGGGGAGATGTGTAACCACGGGCCAGATATATAGATTTTGGAAATGCACTTAAGTAGCAGGACTATATAAAATCAGAATGCTCGTCATCTGACTGGGCTGAGTATGAGGTGTAAGCTTTTAGTGGTTGCCATTATTGCTGACGGCTGCCACCTGTTTTTGTTTTAAGATTGCCCGGCCTAGAACAGAAATATTGCGGCTTAACCAGGACTGGCACCCCGTCAGCAGGCGTATCAACAAGAAACCTTAACCCCCCTCCTCCCCCCCGGCGGCCGGCCCCCGGTTCCCTCAACCAGCATCCAACGCACAGGTGCCCTAGTGGGAAGAACTGCCCGACCATCCCCTCTTTACTAAAAACAACGGAGCAGTCTTAGCAAGACCTGATTTCAGAGGCCTTGTTGAGGGGCTTGTCGAAGGACAAGGCAACTATTAAGTATCCTAAGCTGCTAGACGGCGTCTTCTCCCCCTCCACCTAACCCTAACCTAAATGCTTCAATGCAGATGCTCAACAGAATGCCTCTCCCTCCTTCTGTACGTAGATGTTAGACCAGATGTCTAGTTCACGCCGACATTGTTATTGCGTTATGGATCGGTGATCTTGTTGAATAATAGACACTATCTAATGAAGCGAATCGACGGGTTATGCTCTAGATAATAGTCTTTCAGATAACAGAGGGGACCTTTTGCGGCTCTTTCATTGTTACTCTCAGTCCTTGATAAAAATGATATACGATAGTTGTATACTTCACAGGATCTTCTAGGAACCCACAGTGGGATTAACTAGGCACCGTAATCCGCTTGACCTTCGGTATATTGTCAAATAGCATCTGAACTGCTAATTCGGTGCACTCGTCGAACTCGCCATTAATGATCATAGTCGGGACGTTTATGTTCTGGCATGTATCTTCGACGTTAAAGTCTGACTATAAAATGAGATTTTAAACACCAACGCTATGCTCCTCTCATGGAGATATCGGATCAAGCTTCCACGGAACGAGTCTTACCTCTTATAGTGCCAATGACGTTCAGTTCATCCGGACCATTCATTGTCACGTACATGGGATCATCCTTTTCTATATCCTCAAAGCCTTGCACGAGCGCCTCGGGCCATGGATCGCAAAGTCAGAGATGTTTTCTCGCTACCTCCATAGCGGCCTCTTTATAATCTGGATTATTATACTCGCCAATGCTGCTATAAATTCTGATAATGGCTTGAATATTTCCGCTCATATCGGCGAGAAGCTCCTGGGCTGAACACTGCCAAGCTGCCACGCTGCTCGGTGCGCTCGCAATAACCAGCTTGATCAGGCCCTTTGCTTGTGAGTACTTTGGCGAAAGCGCCCACTGCATAGCACACATACCACCTGTAGAATGGCCTAACAAGTCGTATGTTTGGATATTAATATGAGAAATGAGGTTGTCCAACTCTGACAGATTCATCTAGGCGCTTTTCAGGGAAGTGTGTACTTCTCCCACTGCCAATCTGTACTCTCCGTTCGACTGTTATATTCTTCCTTATGTTCTTCTTTTCTGATATTACCCTCCTGATGCTAGCCGGTCACTACTTTGCGGCTGATAACGGTGCCATATCGGATTCGTCTTCAAAAGGCTGGTGGCCTGTTTGGATTTTTAACCGCGTTTTTGGCATGGTATAATGTCTTAGCTGGTATTCAGGATGCTAGGCGAGAATCACTTACATCATCTAGTCGAATTATAAGGAGGGACATACTGACAAGGTGGCAGTAACTCGTTCTTTCAATTGCCAGTGTTTCACTTTCCATGGTCTGATATGGGCACAGAGCTACGCAAGCAGCAGACTCAGGACACTATGGCATGAAATGTGGTTATGGGATTTTGAGTGAAGGAATTACGCGACCACATCGAAAGACAAACATAACAGCGCATCGAGGTAAACATCGGAAGTAGGAACTGCTTCTTTCCACCTGTATCTCACCTCAACTAAGTACTGTAGCGGAAATCGTTCGTCAATCCAAAAGGTGTATTACCAAATTCCTCGTTATGTCAAAAATCATATCATCATTACAAATACTAGCTCGGAGCCGAAAATACCGAGTTTACAAGGGAATACACTGGATATTGCTCACCTCAGCACTTTTTCACTTCAATTTTTCACACTAATCATTCCTGGCTCATCTACCTAATATGCAATAATAGCCATGTCGTGCTTTCGATTCGCGTTTCTTGCAGTAATGGCTGCTCAAGCTAGCCCTGAAGTGGTATGATGCTCGGTCGAGAGAGTCGGTAGTACATTGCAGAGCGTTGTCGACATCGGCTTCGTGGTCAACTTGTATTCGTCTTCGCTAAAGTTAATGGGTGTGCGATTTCTTTCCTAATGCTTGAGGTCATTTAGCACCTGATGCTTTGTGTCGATGTAATGGATAGTAGCCTACTATAAATTGCCATCAGAGCTCGCGAGAGCCGCGAGAGTCGTGGGCGGCGGCGGCGGCATCTCGCTAATGTTGACGATTGGGAGAGACTTGTACAGTGTATTTATTCTAGGCCACAAAGTACCTATATATTTGAACTAGGTGAAAATTGTACAACAAAGATATAGTATCTTTGGACCAACACAAATTAAACACTGGAAAACTTATATAAAAAACTTAGGGTTTTAAGGTACCTTTTGGCTATTTGGCAGTAAGAGTTGAACTCCTGCTCTTTAGAAAAGTTCTGAATATTTAGTATAATTTCCTCTGCAATAGTAGCCTAAGCTAAATTCATATAGCGTTTTTATATTTCCAACGAGCAAGGTATCAACAGCTTAGATCTTACAGACACCAGAGCGCACCTCCCAGATCCTATCTAAGTCCTTTGTAATACTCGGCCCTAAGCCTTCTCTCTCAGCCCTGCCCATGCTTCGCATCCTATCAGCAGCATCTTTGAACCCAGCCGGCCCAGCACCAGCTCCAGCTAGAGCAGCAAAAATAGCCATGAATGCACTCTTCGGATCTTTGACAATACCATACGTCAAAAGGCCCAGGTCTCCAAGGTTACCCACCAGCCTCAAAATGGAACGGACCGCTGTCAGACCAGCTTCTCCAGCCACCTCTCCGATGATGGGGATAAAGAAAAGGATGCTCGTAACAAAGTTCATAATGAATGCTTCGCGCTCCTCTTTTTCAATCTCGTCGGCCTTCTTGACTATTGCTTCCATGTTCTCGACGGCAGCCTTGACTGACAAGGCAGGCATGGTCGAAGCATCAAGCAAATCTGCCCATATCCAGCCGCCGTCCACGTCCACAAACCTTTCAATTATCTGCAGACGCTGTATGAGGTCCTCTGTTTTGTCATAGGATTGACCAATGAGATCTTTAGGGTTGTACACCTCCATGTCGTCTGAGCGTTGGGGATACTGATAGTACCAATAATCCCAGTCTTTCTGACACTGTCTGGGGTCTTTGCTGAACTGACAACTTGCCCCGGGCCAGACATCCCGACTGCCAAAGGTAATCCATGACTCTTCAATACCATACTGAGAGGCAATATCGTTGTAAAAGCCATCCTTATCATCCAGTTCATATGTTGCGCTCATGAGGAGGTAGTCTTGAGGAAGAGCATTGAGCTCATACTTTAGAGTGTCTGGACATTTGACGGTTTCGGTTTGCGTACCTTCTTTGCAATCGGAGCCCTTTTTGCAATTGTCCAAGCAACCACCCCATTGGCAGCTACTACAACACATTGCTTTATAGCTGCCTGTACACGTGAAATACTTGTCAGCGTTGTCAAGCATGAACTGGTCAATCTGCATGGGGACCTGTTCGGCGACGTAGTCGGAGTAGATTTTAAACTTTTCGTCGTAGCCGTCGTTGACGAGGTCTGTGTATTTGTCCAAAGCGTCACTCATCATACTGATCTGGACTTGGGCGACATATTGGACCACACACTCAATAGGGATGTCGTCTTCGTTGCTTTGAAGGTCGTCGAGATTGCTATACTCAGCCTTGCACTCCACGTCCGAGTTAGTTATTTCAACTCCTCCCTCGCCACTGCAGGAAAGAAAAGTTAGGAAGTATTATAGAGAGTTTAGAAAAGGTGGCTTACTCAACATATTTCAAAAGATCAGCAGCCCAGTCAGAAGTGCCAGCAAAGTTGTAGCGGCTGTATGTAATGTACCGACTTGCCTTGTCTATGTCACTCATATAGGCCACCCATTCGGTATTGTTGTAGACTAGATAGCTCGAGCTATCTTTCGACCACTGTTTTGTGTAATCACCAGATTTAATGATTTCGTTTATCTCAGCATTGGAAATATAGCCTGCTGTATTTGTGCAGGCACCTTTAGCGGCATTAGAGACGCGAGGCGTGCCAGTGAATGTACACATTTCCCCTGTACAGCCTGCTTGTGCCATCTTGAAGGATCTGCCGTAGCTAGCGACGCCAACAGCGACCTTGTTAGAGGGCACACCAGCTTTGGTAATCATAACCAGTGCGTCGTGAGTCTCAGTTGCGTTGACGTGTGATCGTAAACAGCTGCCGTTGGGACAACCGGGCGAAGTCCACTTGTTACCATGATCCCACTGCCCGTGAAGGTCATATGTCATGTAGACGATATAATCGACAGTCTTGGCCAGAAGAGACATGGGAAATGCCTTCAGATACCAGTAGGACGCCGGAGCTGCGAAAGAAACAGACTTGGAGCTACCGAGAGCTGATTTAATAACGGTGAGTGCCTTGTAGTAGTCCACTCCCGCTTGGGCGTCGCCGGCAGGGATATCGGGAATATCAGGGGCCTGAGGAGAATCAACGAATGAGTATATGCAACGATTATATGAAAACAAAGAGAAGTGAAAATGTGTCTTAACTTACTCCCGGGTATTCCCAATCAATGTCCACGCCATCAAGCCCATGCTCTTGCACAAAGGCCACAATGCTGTTTTTGAACGCGTCACGATTTTCGGGCTTCACAGCTTCACGCAGGATATTAAAAGTGCCAGGAGAGGCGCTAAAATCCCAGCCTCCAAAGGATATAATCCTCTTTACTCCAGTCATGGATTTGAAAATCTCAAAATCATCTTTCGCACCGCTTACGTCGACTTTATAGTCGGCCGTCAGGTTTGCAAACGCAAAGTGAATATGCGTATAAAAGCTCGTGTCAATCTGGTCAACGTCCATGTTTAAACAAGCGCGGTTCTTGTTCCAAGATTCAAAATATGTAATGCGCATTGTTTTTTCAGGCGCTGATCCTTTAATAATCTCGTTACCGCAGTTGCTGATGCCTGGTGAAGAACACGCGTTAACACACATTTGGCTAATCAAGTCGGGGGTGATCTAGTTGCTCTTACAGCCATTCTTTCCAGGTGCAGAAGTACCAGGAGCACCAGTTTCGGACTTTGAGATTATGCAGAAATCATCAGACATGCCGCATTGGCCCCAGATATTGCAGCAAACATTCAACGGGCACGGGTTCAGCGTGGCCAAGTCAGTTCCTGCTTTGGGCGTTTTGGTGCCTGGAACCTGTTTTATGTTGTCAGCTCATATCATCAGCTATTGAGAGAAGAAAATGGGATAGAAGAACATACCGTAGGCCCACATACGGCGTTTGAGACAGGCTCAGGCATCGGGGGCGATCCCTCACTGACGCATAGCTTGAATCCAAGTGCGAGACGATTGGGACCGCATCCATTCCAGCCCCAGGTTTTCTTATTAAAGCTTTCAATATCAGCCACGGTCAACCCCCGCGATACGGCAATCTTGGAGCAGCCGTCATCTTGCACAGTTTGATATGTGGCGCAAGATCCGTCGGGGTTAGGCTTGGGCCGCAGATCGGGGAGCTTGCCGCGACTACAGCAGACAAACTGGCCCTCAGCCAGCGTCGAGCACAGCTTGGAGCCGCTGTTGACCGTTGAAAAGTCACTGGCCTTGAGGCCGCACTTGCTGGCCAGCGAGCCACAGTCATCACCGGGTTGGACTGATATTGTCTTACACGTCCCATCGGAATTTGCGGCTGGGATGCTATCCGGCAAGGTGCCCGAAGAGCAGCAGACTGTCTGATCGGCAACAAGAGTGTTGCAGAATTTACTGCTAGGGTTGTACTTTTGCAAATCGGCCAGGCTAACGCGGCATCTGGCTGCCACGGTAGAGCAGCTGTCTCCCGCTTGGACTTTGGCGGTCTTGCACTCTGCCCGAATAGCAACGCGTGACTGACGCACTTGTGAGGCGACGGAGGTTATATTAGATGGAATGGCAGTCTTGTTGCCAGATGCATCTTTGAGTGGCGGAATTCTTAGCTCAACTGTCATCCAGTCTTGGCTGTCGTTGGTTTCGGATATGCATTTCCCGTCGGCCCAAGTCTTGACGACTTTTTGCACAAACGCAAAGTTTTTCGCATTGCTGACAATGATACCAGCACTGTAATCTGCACCGCGATCATTGGTTTCGCATACTTGAAGCACTGTTGTTTGGGACATGGCATTTGTCTCCGCATATTTCAATAATCTGCTGAGGATGTCCAACGCCATCCCGTGCTGATGCACTTCTGCCCCAGCAAACAGTCCAACAATTGAAGTTTGAGAGTATCCAAAAGCCATGGCATTATTGGTGCAGGAAGGTTTCTGAGAGGCAAGATAACGGACCACTTGATGACCAGCCGACAAGAAGTCCTTGCTGTCAAAGCCCTGCTCGTCGTTGCCCACCGAAGGATGGAACATGTGAACGGCAGAATTGGCCATGACATGGTTGGGTGTTGAACAAAGGGCTGCAGTTTCATCATTGGATGTGTATGCTTTTTTGGTCTCTGCACCAAATTCTGCCGTGCAGGCTCTGATACTAATGTTGGGATTCTGCTTCTCATCAATAGAGGTCTTGACAACAAAGTCGAGCAGCATGGTCTCGTTGCACCAGGCAAGGCGCTCAGCACCAAAGAACAAGAACCATCCTGCGCTGTCACTACTATTTGCAGTCTGCGTGCATGGTAGAGGACAAGCTTTTAGAGCTGGAAGCTGCCGTTCATTGGCGGCAAAAAATTCTTCCAGCTCGGGATCTCCCTCGGCTTGCAAGTCATTTAATGCAGTCTTTCGGGGCGTGATTTCACTACTGAAATCATTATGGGCATGTGAGGGAATAGCCAGAAGGGCCAGAGGTATAAGAAAGGATAACAATGGTGGCCTCATTTTGAGGGTCTAGCTGAACAGGGGAGATTCTCTAGATGCTGTAACAGCTCTCTGATGCCATGAAAAGCTAGGTCAACCAGTGTTGAGGTGGTGGGAAATGGAAGAAGGATGTATAGCGATTGTATAATATAAGGCAGAAAGAGCAGGCTGAATATAACAAAATAGCTAATTGAATGAATGACTGTAGCTAGAGCCCACAGCAACAAAATCAGGTCTCCCATACTGGCAAGAGGTAGAAATAATAATTTGATTTCACGTGCCAATGCAGAGCAAGAGAGCCCTTTCGGGGTGATGCTCCGTGAGTTACGGCCTACGAAGCTCGATATGGCCCAATTCAGTAATCGCCGAGCTATCCGCACACATGCTGAAAGCACTCCATCGTCTGGAGCCTAGATTGTCATACCCTGGTTCACGATTAGTGTTCCACAATTGGGAGATTAGCCTTGTTGGTAAGATTGACAGTTGCATGGATTAGACGGCTCGGCGGTTTTCAGACAAGGATCCGATGTAGGTGGTATAAACGGTATCATGTCTGTGTCGGCTCTTGCCTTTACAATGATGGCTCAAAACTAGGTAGTTTCCCAGCTTCATCACAGTTGCTTACTTTTCGTTCTTTATAGTTTTGTTTCTTAATTGGCCATCGACCGGATTACTACCAGCTGATACAGTCTGCCACTGCTACAATCGCAATGCGGTTCTTATTCTTTCTCGCCACCTCCTTCCTCTCGGCCATGGTCTGGGCTGGAGGATACGCAGGATGTCTCGAACGAGTCATGTTTTTCCAGGCGTACGAAATTGATGCTTTGCTGCCATCAGGGCAAAGCATAGGCTACCGGTGCCTGAAATGGGACCCTCAGAGGGAGGTTTGCAGGAATAACCAATGGAAGGCATGCGAAGGAGATCTTGAAGGAAATAGATGTTCTTTTGAGAATTTCATATCGCAAATCAATCGGAACTCGCCCAATCCCCGACAATGGCCCGAGTACACCTCAGAAAATAAGCTGGATGCCAAGGCGACGGCGTTGAACTGCCTGAAGGCATACAAAGCTACCGGGCGGCCTATACCTGACATTGCTCCCTTCAAGATTATGAAAGGCGGCACCGTCGACTACAGGGTCGCTGTCCAGGAGCTGGGCAGAAGGGTTGACAACAGATGGAAGGCTTTGGAAGTCGCTGCAAAGGAAGCAAACAAGCCAGCGTTTGCTGCGTTTGATGCAACTGTCGACGAGATAATTAGAGCGAGAAGGGGGGATACCGGAGTGCTAATGTATGAGGCGGCAAAGAAGACATTGGAACATGATGATAATGTCACTCTCAAAGTCGAAGAGTTGGGGACAAATCCCGACCCTGATGAGAGAGATCCAACGAAGAAAGAGTGGAAAGAAGTCAAATGGCCTGAGACCCTCAGTACCGCCATAGAGGATGGTATTCCAGATGCAGAAAAAACGGTCGAAGGTTGGGTGAGGAGCTACATTAAGAATGATCCTTCATCTACCACCCATCGCAGCATGATGAAAAGCTTCAAGGGGATTGTTGCTGGGCGAAAATTGTGTCGATAAGTTGGATTGGATTAGCACTGCTTCTGTATTACTCTTAGTCTATGGAATTTCTCCCTATGTATGTTTCAATAACATTTTACCCTGCATCATTTACAATCAGTAGACAGCACTTGTTACTTTTTAAAGCTCTTTTCCTTATCACTCACTGCCTCTTGCTTCATTCTGAGCTACAAAGGTTTCCCATTGTTTATCGCATCTTCTTTGGTTTTCAGCCCAGCTTATTTTCTCATCCGTCTCCGCGTTGATGAACCACACTCTCTCTGTCGGACATGGCCAGTAGAGGAGCTCGTCCGAATCATCCCAGCTCGTCTCGGCATCATGTCGGACAATGGTGAGTTCGTCTAAATTGGTGAACATCCGCAATTGCGGTTGCTCATCAGAAATGTAATGGGAGCTCATCTCACGCGCAAATTTCAGCCAACGGATCCGCGGTGCCTCCGGTCCCATCCACGTGAAGCGAGACTTGCCAATGGAGATGGTGTCCAGGTCAAAGTTGACCCAGACATACCGAGGCTCAGTGCCACCGGTAAAGGCGCGCTCGTATTTCTGGGCAACGACATGGCGGGCTTCGCGGCAAGTATGGAGTGCGGCTGGCACCGGCGTAGGTGAGGTTGCATAAACCAACGCAGGCGGAGCATCCCATATGGCCTCAAAGAAGTCGGCTCCGTCACTGAGATCAGGCAACAAGACGAATTTGAAGCGGACTTGGACAGTCCGGTGTGGATCAATGGTCAGGAGCCAAATCTGTGAGCGGAGCTCGGATGGTAGTTTGCAAAAGTTTTTCATTGGCGCGTTGGATGGAAATAGGTACGAGGCATTAATTTAAGCTTAACGGCTTGTTGGATGTTGGACGGAGTCTGCTCTGGATGGAAACGGAACTTGCAGCTGGAGGTTTACCCTGTCGAATTTATACGTCTGAAGTTACACTGACGTCCGTAAATGGCGAGGAACCTTTGCTAAGTGCGTCTCCACTTCTGCTGAAGAATCGCATCTGACCAACAGCCCGTCTCCTACGGTTGTGGGATGAATGGAATACAACAACAAGTACCTGCTTATTGTTAAAGAGAAGAAAGCTTCAGGATGTAAACTATTTAAAACAATCAGTTACAAAGAGAGGTCAAAAGAGAAGTAATTCTTTTCCAAAGTTGGATGATTGGGTGCATGTAGTTGTTGGCGAAGAGTCGAGGAAAATGCTTCAACTTAAGCTTATTCCTTTCACAACCGACTGCAGCGGAAATTAAGAACCAACGCTAGCTACCCCTTGCTCTAGTAATCATCTATATCTGTCTAACAGTCAGTCGCATCGACGCTAAAACAAATTGCATGGGGGAGCCTTGTCTAGATCGCTCCCGCTGAAACTCAGCCGTCCGGGAGAAGGCCGAGAAATCAAGTACATGTACTATACGCTACGACACGCAGGCCATTCCCCCTTCTCGTTGACCTCTTTCTAGCTCGCTTCACTTGTTCCATTCAGTCTTTTCAGCCTCTACGCAGTTGTCTCTATCATGAAGAACGCTGTTATTTCTTTTGCAGTCGTGGCTCTAGGCTCGCGGCTTTGCGTCGCGACGCCCTACCCCGAATTGCAATATGACCCTGCCACAACCAAAGACTGTGCCGATTGGATCAGCAACACCGGCGGCAAAACCTGCAAAGAAGTCAGAGATTCTTTCAACCTTACGCCCGAGGAGTTCGCCCAGTGGAATCCATCTGTGGGCGTCAACTGCGACAAACTCTGGATAGTGGCCTCGTACTGCGTCTTGACGCACCAGAAGCTGAGCCAGTTGACGTCTACAACTACCTCTAGCACAAAGGTCGCCACCACCACCACTACAACATCAACGACGACTTTGCGGCCTTCTCCAACCTCATGGGAAGAGCTCGGCTGCTATGCCGACAGGCCAGACCGGCCAATCCTCGAAAAGCTCGTCAGCGATAAGAGCGGAGATGCCGCTCTCACGATTGCCAAGTGCCAGGACTCCTGCTATCGTCTCAACTACCAATATGCAGGCATCAAGGCAGGCAACCAGTGCTGGTGCGGCGGCTCAGTCGCTGGCGAATGGGCGCCGCACACAATCGACTGCAACATGGCCTGTACGGGTGATGCGAAGAAGAATTGCGGAGGCCAAGATTGCCTCAATGTTTTCAAGGCCGCCAAGGCAAATCCAGAACCAGGGCAATCCTCCAGCACTGGCATAAAGAGCACCGTTTCAAGCACTCAGAGTTCTTCTGGTACTAGCAGTCGTACAGCCGGTGCTGCTCAGTCGAGCAAAGCTAGCTCTGGAGCAACGAAGAACTTTGGCTTGGTATGGACGAACGTGGTGTATTTTTAGTTTTAGATTCATTGATGCGTTCAAATTTAAATGCTTTATCCACGCGTCTCTGAGCAATGTTCTTTTTTTTTTTTCTAAAACGTAAACGTAACAATCCTTTGTAAATATTGCATGAAGACGAGAAGCACCATTTATGGATTACAATTTTGTCCAGGATAGGTAGGTCTATGGACAACCCAGCCTCTACCGTACATATCCTCCGATTTACAAGTTTCAATGTGTTGAGATGGCTAGAACTAACTAAAGATGCAATGGAAATACATACATCCGAATCACGGAAACGAAAAGCTCAAAGGTCTCAACGCAAGGTCGCATTCAAGAGGAATGGACAATCTCCCCATCATCGTCTCATCTGTGAAGCCTGCCTGAGCTGAGCATTAGCGTTAATCGGCTTGCTACGGCTCTACTATTCGGCGTGATTAGTTTTTTTTTTATTCATATCTCGGGCAAGCTGCGATGGTCGGGCGAGTCAATATGGAAAAACGCACCACTTCGGATCGAGTTTGAGAGTTCACAGAACCCCTGGCATGTATCCAAGCCTCCAACAGGTCGTATCGGCAAGGGTCATGAGGTTGCTTCTTACGTTGGTCTAACTGGGGATTGTTCCGAGCCGCATAATCCCTGTATGTAACTTTCAAAGTCAAGCCAAGCCGAGCCAAGCCTCATAAGAATACTTTTATCGTAACAGTTTTTCAACATGTAGCGGTTTTTTTTACCTGCTTGACTCATGCTGACCGAGATACTCTGTTAAAATGTTCAACCAACGACATTAAATTCGCCAAACAGGAAGCTGGGTACGGAGGATGTTCTCCGCAGCAGCAGTTGCCCTCTCCACATGCTTGACGGACTGTAAAATTATATTTGCTCATTTCCATCAGCAGCGATGCCTTATTTAAGTGCCTTATTTAAGTGAAAGAGAACTGACTTCCGTCGTCTTCGACGAGCAAGTTCATTGCCCTTTTGCCTTTCCGTTAGGCTCTTCCCGCTCAAACAATGCGAGTCTCAACGCTGGTCTTTGTGGCAGCTGCCGTACAGGCTACGATGCTTCACCCTAAGGTCCGCCGAGACGTATCGCCGAAGTATCCCTTTGACCCTTCCACCACCAAATCTTGTACCTTTTGGTATGACAATGATGACGGAAGCATTTCATGCGAGGATATGCCATCGGTGCTGCTTATTAACAACAATGACTGGCTACGCTGGGTGAGTGGACTAATCATCTCTAAAGCCCTAAATCTATTATGCGGAAACTAAGACAAAATCATTTTAGAATCCCGAGATAGCTGAGTCATGTAGCAATTTTATTATTGGGAGGTCTTACTGTATTGAAGCCACAAATGAGCCCCCTGTCTCATCAATGTCAAAATCCTCGGCCCTGCTCCCTACCAGCACATCCAAATCGGCCACACCGCCGCCTGCCACGACAACAAAGCCTAACAAGTGAGTGTTTCTTCTGTTCTTTACTAGGGCAGATGCTGTAATCTGGGTGTTTAGTAGAATTGGATGCTAATTAGATCGCATAGTGGCATCACAACTCCCCCCCCAACCCAGACTGGAATGGTTGACAACTGCAACGCCTTCTACCTTGTTCAGAGCGGTGATTCCTGCCAAGGTATTGCGGATAAAAACGGAATTACCATTGAAGAATTTGTTTCTTGGAACAAAGGCGTTGGAGGAACCAAATGCAGTGGGCTATGGGCCGAGAATTATGTGTGCATCTCCATCATTGGCCATACTTCCACCCCTACAAAGCCCAGCAATGGTATCCCGACACCATCGCCCGTTCAGCTTGATATAATAGATACCTGCAGCAAGTTCTATTTGATCAAAGAAGGGCAGTCGTGTGATACTGTCGCAAGCGAGAGCGGTATCACAGTCAAAGACTTGGTGAGCTGGAACAGGAAAGCGGGCCCTAACTGCTCCGGCATGTGGGCAAACACATATGCATGTGTGTCTGTGATTAGCACCTACAATTTCGAAAAAGCAAATATGGCTGGATGGAATGTCACCGACGGCACATACTCAGCTGATACAAAGGCGTTGGTCGGTAGCACTTCACAAGGCGGCAAGGCTATTGTCGACGCCCAGATGAATGATTTTATCATGAGGGCTGAGATCACCTTATCCAGCCAAAGCGGCAATGCTGGTCTCATCTTTCGTGTATCCAACCCCGGCCGTGGTGCTGATGCCTACCAGGGCTATTATGTCGGCATCAGCGCCGAGAAAGGGGGGTCCATTACCCTCGGCCGAGCTGATAACAACTGGAAACAGCTCAGCAGCGTCAAGGCTGATATCCAGTCCGGGAAAAAGTATGTTGTGATTGTTGAAGCAGCCGGCGACAACATCTTTATCAGCTTAAACTCGCGCAGCGACAGGAGAATCACCGTCCAAGACGGCACTTTTCGCGCCGGAAGCTGCGGCGTTCGCGTTTATCAGACCGGCGCAACATTTGACAATATCTACATTGCGCCAATGGTATACGATGGCTTTGAAAAGAACATGGTCGGCTGGACTATTGTGGACGGCGGTTTCGATGGCCGCAATGGGGTCATGACTGTCCCCAAGGCTAATACCGCCAAGGCTATTCTCAACACCTCCTTCAAGGACTTCACCGTTGACGTCGATGTGACTCTTACTTCTACCGATGGAAACGCAGGCATCATCTTCCGCGCCTCCAACGTCCGCAAGGGCACTGATAGTTATTCAGGATACTATCTTGGTATCCAAAAAACCCAAGTCACGCTCGGCCGCGCGCAAAACAATTGGACTGAGTTGAAGAACGCCAAGATGGATATCCAGGCCAACAAGATTCACCACATACGCGTTGTTGTGTCGGGAAACACTCTGACTGTTTACGTTGATGACATGTCCCGCGCTCAAATCACTCAGAGCGACAGCACTTTCTCATCTGGTGTAGTTGGCGCGCGCGTGTTTAAAACAGGAGCCATCTATGACAACTTTGAGATTGTGCCGCAGCAAAGCTTAGGCCCTATCTTTTAGAGCAGATCGATCTGCTGCATATCTGATAGTTTATTATTTTGCTAGCTATTAAGCGCAATATTGTATTCATAACATATATTTTTGGTTCTAGTGCTATGGTGTTAAAAGCTGTTATAGAGTAGAGAAGTAGCCAGGTTATCTTTCGCTATGGCTGTGATCTCTGTTATTACGAAAGTAGTAAGACGTCCTGTTACTGGTCTATGAGTGGTAACTGATCGTTGATGACTTCATCAATCACTGCGCTAGAGCAGAAATGAAACTGAAATTGACGTCCTGTTGGGTTACAAACTCTGGCATCTTGGTCAATTTTGTTGGGAAAAGCGTGATCGTAGCGGTTGTAGAAGTAATCTTCACCTAGTTAGTTCGCTGTCCCACGCCAGCTCGTTATGCATACATGCCTGCGATGCCGCCGAGCTTCGAGCCTGCGCCCATTCCTGCAGACTACGAGTCCCCAACTGCCTCGAATTTTGATGAAGGATAAGTCATCCGGTAGAAGATCGTAAGTCGTATCTCTTAGGAAGAGCTTACTACTGGACATGGAGGCGAGGGTTTTGGAGGCTGAGAGCGCTAATGTGCTACAAACAGCCACTAAGACTAATAACCACGCCCGCCGCATTTTGACTCTGTTATCGACAATGCAAGCTCAGGCATTACCGAAGACACAAGTTCAAAAGCCTTATCACGACAAGGTCACAGTAAGCCATCTACTCTTTGCTGAGGGTATGTAGGCCGCTTTCCTCTCGCACGAGCATTCTCAAAACATTTGGTGTTTGGAGACTTATTTCAGTCAGAGGTAAACTCATGCGGGACATATTAACTCATATTTATCTGCATTATCATAACTATCAACATGGTAAATTTAATACCAACATTTACATGAATTATAAATTTCATCAAGTGCGCTAATCATAACACGCATCCATTAAAGGTTGATGACATAAGTGCCGTTGGGCTTGCCATGCTCATCAAACGAAGTCATCTTGATGGAATCAGCCATGGGAATGGGCTTGATCTCCTTGACATCCGGGCTCAAAGAGACCGTAGGCTTGGGGCCCAAGGTGCGGCGGAACTTGGCAGAGTTGCTCATGGTCACGGGCTGGCTGTCCGTGAGGCGGTTGACGCATGTGCCGCCGGGGATGATGGTGTCGCCAATGTATCCCTCGAGGGTGGCGTATTGGTGGAAGATGGCCTGCCAGTTGGGCTGGATGTTGCCAATGCCGCCGGGTACGTTCTTGTCGTACACCGAAACGACGGTTTCCTGAGCAAAGTTCTCCTGCTGGCTGCTCTGGGCATAACTATCTGTCACGGCGGAGTCCTGGTTATAGTTGGAGATCCAGACGTTGCCGGTGGAGAAAGGCACGCCGTATGAAGGGTCAAAGGCGTGGGAGTCCAAGCTGTGGCCAATCTCGTGGAGGAAGACGGTAATGTCGACGTCGCCAACCATGAGAGTGTTGTCACCGCTGGAGCCGGCCGACTTGTTGCCGGGAATGAAGACGTAGTGGCGAATGTAGTCCCTCATGCGGACGGGCACACGGCCAAAGAGGTCGATAATGTCAGTCTGGCTGAGAGGGGAGTCCTTGTGTCGGCAGAACGTCCAGGTCTGAGAGCAGTCGGTGTAGTGAATGTTGAAAGGTGTAATATCGTTTGGCGAGAGTCCGGCACCCTGAACCAAAGACTTGCAGTCTGCGGGAATCCAGCCAGCGCCCCAGACGTCTGAAGTCGACTGAGTAGGCTTCAAGTTGTCCAAGAGACCCTGGCCTAGAGATGCCAGACCACCTCCCGGAAAGTTGGGCTGGATGACAGGCTTGTCAAGATTGGCAAGGGCCAGAGGAAGAAGAGCGAGGACAGAAATCTTGGAAGCCATTTTGTCTGTTTATTGAACAGCTGTAATTGTGCTGGTGGTCAATTTCCAATATCATGGCGGAGTGCAGATCCCTCTCTCCATATATACTTTTGCTCCCATATCAGCGTGCTTCATAGAGGATCTTGGACAAGGCTTGGTACATTCGCTCAGTTCCAAGTAAGGAAGGTAGTTTGTTTTCGTTTATCGCTTTCTGACCAATGTCTTGGCATCGATGGTAACCAGACTAGGAGTCAACATTCTTGCCAACCAGGATCGAGTCATTCGGGTTCTACATTTCTTCAAGTTTGCCGAAAGACTAAGAAGAAGAACGCTAAAAATAACATGCCCTAAGCTTTTCGTATTGTTTATAGAGTAACTATTTCTAAGTAGCCAATTCTAATCAGCAAATGCTAAATAACTCCATAGCAACAATTATTGCAGTTCTACGAGTTTGCAGCTGTACAACTTTGAAGCCCCGATCCCAGACGATTACCTGCAAAGAGCTAGTTGACGAGTGGACTACCTAGTTTAGCTTCCTTTATAAGCTAGAGTTTTAACTTGGAAGCTTTTGTCTATAGTTAAAAGAAAACGGCGCTAAACGTAATTGATATTAATGCCGCGGCTGGGTTTATGATCCCACGCAAGGCAACCGGGTTATGACTTGTAAAAGATACTGCTTTGCTAACTGCTTTCCTTGGTTGTCACAACCATCTGCCTCTTTCCGATAATGCTCTAAGCCCAAGAGGGTATACTCCGCATGCACATTCCTTAGACTTCAACCTCATTTGCTAATATATTCCGACCTGTTGCCTTGTTCGTATAAGGAAGACCAGGAAGGGGGGCTATGTCGGAGGATAATCCACGCCATTCGCGCGGGTGCGCGTTATCGCCTGACGATTGGTTCTTGTGCTGTACACACGGGGGACTCTCGCAGCCTGGCTCAACCAGGTAATCAATATTGGTTGACCCAATAGTCTTGACATGTTTGGAGTGACCACGAATGCAAGACATTATCGTAACGTTGCAACATTGCTCAACTGGGTAAGCTTACATCGTTGGACGCCTGTTTATGGTCCTGATTAGTTTTGCTGGCATGTTGATATTACTTAAATCTGACATGATTTCGTCGGGAATAGGCGGAGGAATAATAGAAGCTAGGTATACTGGCACTATCTATAGGCCTTTTTTGAGACTCCTGGTCTCCAACTCTGGCTATTTCTAATACCTAGCCATCTCCAGCGCACTATATATGCAAGATGCTGACAGTGGCTGGGTCATCCCGCGACTAACTACCTATTTTATGTATTGATTTGAAGCATGTTTTTGCGACGAACGAACATTGCCAGTGCTGTAGTATGAGACTTGGAAGTAGGTAGCCTGGTAAGCGGTGTGAGACAACCATGACTAATGTGAGTGTTTAGTTGTTCAGTTAGGTATGCGGGCGGTGGCAGTACTCTGTGTCTATTGGGCGAGCGAATGCTATAACGACATCATTTTCTTTCCAGAAGATCATGGAAAACACATGATACCCATCACGACTACCGCGTTGCCAATACCGAGTGATAGTTATAGTTGCTGTTTTTAGTTAGTTTCCGTCTGTTCCTCTTAGCAGCTCCCGAGTTAGTCGACGGCTGCGGGGCGACCCTCGGCCAAACTCCTGAAGGAGCGCATAGAGGATGTTGACGCCGCTGTTTTGTATTAACACGGCTGCACGCTCTGGATGATGAAGGGCTCCTAGAAGTAGTAATTTCCTATCATAGTCAATAACCAGCGCATTGAGCAATTGTTTGCGAATCACTTCAAAAGCAATGTACTTGTAAACGGCAAACCAGAGTCCCCTGCATTAGCGCTGGCGCTGACCAAATCCCCTAGCTTTCATCAGATCCCTGCACTTGATCCTTAGGACGAACTGCATGTGCCGTATCTCTACCTAAAGTCTATTGGCACTGAAAAGGAGACGGCAAATGCGGCATTCACTGCTTCACAAATGGAACATCGCCATCCCTGAAGCATGATATTAACATGAGTTCCCATGACTCGTAACTCCGCATTATATTGCTTTGAAGGAACCATTGTAAGGTTAATGTTAATGTTGTAACACGAATAGACCATGTTACTCTAGCGCTGCGTCCACGTCGATGTCCCTTGGCTTGTGCCTTTGAGTTTCTGAGTGAGCGATAGGCCGACTGATGCGCTGCAATTTTTGATGCCGATCTCGAGCCCACCTTGGATGGGCAGCTGAGCGCTCGGGATCGATCATTTCGACAGATTGCTACACTGAGGAGTAAAAGACGGTATTCCGTCATCCGTGGAGAGTAGTAACTGAGTATCGACACTATAACCGCTAGTACTCGCAGTGGAGATATTGCTTGATACCAGCGTCATTACAACCTAGACCTAATCTTGTGAGTCCTTGCTGAGAGATTAGAGATCATAGCTCAAGATGGAGCCATGCAAGGGCATCATATCATTCTGTTTGCAGTTAAAACCAACTCCCTTTGGGCTGGCAAAGCTGCCATCAGTCCCTATCCTAGAATTCGGAGACAGCCTTGGCGTCGGCGCTAACAAAAGTTAGAAATTAAGATGTTGAACAGAGGTTTTTGAATGACTATTGAATGGGTATGCTCAGCAATTCAATTGTATCAAAGTAGATAACACAAAGTGCAGCAATTTCATCCCATTTTATTAAGCATTGGAGGAGAAGGCATACAGCTAGTGTATGTTACCACTGATCAATTCGTTTCTAGAAAGTGCAAGATGCCCCAATGCAATACAAGAAAAAGATCTTCGCCCTTGTCCTATTATAAGTGTGTGCCAGGCCACTTATCTGACACACGAGGCACAAGAGCGTGTATGTGTATGCTTATAAAGAGCGACGCATACTTACATGTACGTGCAGTGTTTTCCCCTTCTCTATTATCAGATACACTTCCATTGCCCTTGACCTCATCTACACAAGTGCCTATATAACAGGTCAGCATTCACCCACTATATGCTATTCCAACCCATAACTTGACCCTCAAATTGGCTACAAGTACCTGTCTGAACACTTTTTACGCAAGATCATCTGGACCCAGTGGCATCTCGGTTCCCGCAATTATGCACTGCCTCATTATTCTCACCTCATCATCTGCCAGCGTACCAACCACCGAGTGGATAAGCCCTCGGTTATGAAAAATCACAAAGTCTCCTTCTTCCCAGTCGTGTGTATAAACCAACTGCGGCGCTATTCCAGGTCTCTGCAACCGATACAAGATACGACGAACCCGTTCCAAATCATCTATAACTTCTCCGTTTGCAAGATGCAGTCGTCGCGCAACAGATGCGTGGACCTGCAGCGCAAGTCGACCAGTTACCGGGTTTCGCCAGCACATGGGGAGGACCTGGATAGAGGTCGAATCGACAGGCGGCAGTTCGTCGTCTTCGAGCTCTTTGCCTTCAGAGACGAGTCCAAGGCCCGTGGGATGCGATTTGGCTGATGCCATCCACAGATACGGATGAGCAGCATACTCGACCCTGGTAGATCGCGCAAATGCCTTGTCTTCTTCTGACAGCAGGTCGTACATGGCTTCTCCGCTGGCGAATGCAATCGTCCCAAGAGGAGCCACCAGCTCGTCACCGGTGCCATCATCATATCGAATGGTTTGCATACGTCTCTTCGGTAATTTGACGGCAAGGATCGTGGTGGCAATAGGCGGAGGCGCGCCGTATAAGTCAGCGTCGATGTGCCAGCGGTAGAAGCGGGTATGATTCAGTGCATTTTGGTCTTCTATGACGGTGGAGTGCGACGAGCGATGATGCGGGTATCGCAGCTTCAAGTTCTTGGCGCCCTCGTGCTCACGAACGAAGCCGTTGCCAATAATCTGGACTTGTGGCTGGTGCGGAACTGTGTTAAGGTCTGGGCTTAGGAGGAAGCTCTTGCCATTGAGTTGGTCTTTGTGTCGAGAAGAAGTCGTAACAGTTGAGTTGAGACGTTGTGTAAACTCATACTGAGCTCGTGGCGATAGATGTTCCTGGCCTTCAAACACCAGGACGTGGTGCTTGTAAAAGGCCTTTGCGAGGATCTCAATGTCTGCGTCTGAGAGTAAGACCAGTGTCAGTGATACACGCTTAGTGAATTTATAGTCAGGCAGATTTAGTTACCAGACGAGTCTATCAAGTCAATGTCAGAGATATTGGCTCCAAAACTGATGCTGCTGCCCTCTGGATGGACTATTGGCTCGACTTTGACGTGGGAAGCCATTTTATTGTCTTGTTATTTCGCAATAGGAGATCCGATGGTATACAACTCTAGGTCTACTCTTGCGTAGCACCATTCTTCTATTAGTTGACAGAATCCCAGCCTTAAATACTATTCTAACTGCTCTAGACTATAATTTTGAGCCTCTTCGGAATCTGTTTCGGCGTTTAGATGGTTTGCTTGTGTCTTGAGAATGCGATCGAAACTGAGAGCCGCCTTGTGGAGCCATCAACGCCCCAAACCTGGGGTACTGTTGCCCGGAATAGGTTTGGCGTTTAGCATTATCAACTGAAGCTCGCTGGGAAAGGCGCTGTTAGGAGCCGCCACCGGGACGCTATCCTTGCCTGTCATATCAAGACAGATCAACTACGCGTTGTCGATGTCAATTTACTAATAATAACGTCAAACGATAAGGGTATTAGATTGAGATTATTAATGTTACTCGAAAACTTTAACGGAGAGTTCTCGGCATTACGAACGATCGATTGTCCGTGATGTACTCATCCTAGTTGTATGTCGTTTACCTGCCATGCCGTCAGAAGGGGTTGATCATGCTCATCTTATTATTTGCACGTGATTAATATTCCAAAGTTGTCTCGCTCTTACTGGGACTAACAGAAAACCTCTCAACACATCTATAGATCGAAGCTCAACCGAGTTCATGTCTCGGTGACATCGCTCACAGATGGGAAGTCGTCTTCACATGCTCCTCTCCATAGACAATCGAGAAATCCCTTACCAGCTCCTCCCTCGTCGTCACGCTAACCCGCTCTGGTGCCGAGAATTTATCTTCCAGGTAACGCTGGAGTATCTCTCGCTCGGCTGCACCGCCGCTATTGTTTGCATCAGCATGCAGCAAGGCCGCCATCAAGACTTCCGCCACAGACCACATCAGGTCCCTCGCTTTTCCAACGAGATCGGCTTGTGACTCTTTAGTGACACGAGTTTTCACCTTGTCCCACTTTTGCACTACGTCTCGATAAGCCGCGGCATCTCCACGGAACGCAAACGCCTGCCTGATGAAATTGTCCAGTGCATCTATTGATTGCACTCCAGTTTCGGGGCGTTTTAGTGCTCTGATGAAGTCGGTGCTCAGCACATCTGTTGTGCCCTCCCAGATCGGCAGTACGCCACAGTCTCTGTACAGCCGCGCAATGTTGAGATACTCTGACTCTTCATTTAAGAGATAGCCAACACCGCCAATCGACTCCATACAAGAGAAGAGCAGAGTCAGAGCTGAATTGCAAACATATGCTTTGGTCACCGGCGTAAGGACTCTTAATAGCGGCGCTACATCCCTTAGTGCGGGAGTTAATGCCTGTAGCGCTGATGCTGATGCTGATCCCTTATCCGCATCTTTTTCCGTCGGATGCTCAGAGAGCCCCAGGATATAGACGGTGAACATGTGAAGCAGCATCAGCCGCCTGTACTCTGCAGTCATCCGGGCCAGCGTCTTCATGTGCAGCGAACTGTCGGTTAGTCTCATTCTAGCGCCTCTTCCAGCGCCAACTTCTCTCACTCGTGCAAACGCTCGAGCAACTGCTAGACCGCGGCCTGCGTATCCGACAGCTTGACTGGTTGTGTGGATGCGAGTCAAGTTTAGCAGCACGGAGATCTCTTGAATGCCACGGTTCTCATCTCCAATGAGCCATCCACGCATGTCTTCCAGCACGAGCTCTGCTGTGGGCAGAGACTGAGTCCCGAGCTTGTTCTTGAGACGTTGAATACGCACTCCGTTGAGGCACTGGCCGCTTGGATCAGGGTTTCCGGACTCGTTTAGAGCCGAAGGATCGTGTTTTCGAAGCGGCGCGATAAAAGTCGAGAGTTTACCAGCCGGAGTGCGCGCAAGAAGAATCGTCATGTTGGAATCAGTAGCAGAGGAGAACCACTTAAATCCGTTGATGCTCCATGGACCAAGAGGGATATCATCCTCTTTGGAGGCCAGCGCATTCGTTTCATTTGGACGATAAACCGCCGTCGTCTCGGACAAAGACACGTCGCTTCCTCCACGCCGCTCAGTCATCCATTGGCCGCTGGTCCAAGTGCGCTTGGGATCTCGCGAGATCAGATGCTGAAATGCGCTTTCGTAAACTCTCTTCTCTGTCTCCGACAGCTTGGACGATAGACTTGGAGTGGTCAGATGCAACTGGAGCATTCGAGCGGCGCCATCCTGCATCGCTGTGGGACATGTAACGTTTGCCGATGAGCCTTCCCAGAGAAGCAGACGAAGAAATTGACGATTGCGCGAGAATCGGCCATAAGGGGCGTCGTAGGCATCGGCAACAAAACTATTTCTCTTCAGTTAGAGCGGAACTAGCATGTAGATGTACTGATGACTTGCCCCTTTGCGAAACCAAATTCCTGTAGCTTGCGCCATCCTTCGGTCATGACGAGCTCTCCTTTCCATTTTCCAAATGCAGATCGGCCGGAGCCCCGCAAGTAAGGCTTGTTACGCTCCGCATCTGAGATCCAGGCGAATATCCTGTCGGTCAAGACTTCCTGGCCGAGTTTTGCAACCTCTGGCTCAATCTCATCTCTCAAATCGGTTGGCAAAAAGACTATATATGTCTGTTTAGTACGGATAATCTCTCTATTTAGAGGATGGTAGCGGTCGGATTCTCACGTTTGAAGCAGCGCTGGAAGGTTACATCATCGTAAAACTGGTTTGGTAGGGCTGGAGGGTGTTGAAAGAAACCCTTGTCTGCGCCAGAGGACTCCATTTGTAATAAAAATCGAGGACACGGGTGGTTTTTAGAACAGAATAAGAGCAGAGGATGTAGAGAGAAGGAATCCAGAACACCCAGAATAGGGATTATCATATATACATGTGCCGACCAACTAACACATGCTATCCCATGCGGGCGTGGAGTAGTGTGGATAGAGATGATGCTTGATTACTATTGATTGAGCGTTGACAGCACAATAGTCTGATGATTCGCTTAAATCTAAACTGAACCGAGCATGGCGGTATACCAAAGTCAGAATTTAGTCTCCACCTCAAAGTCCGACGGTCAATGCAAAGCGACTTTGACTTTAAAGTTTACCCAGAATGTAAACTTCTAACCTTCAACGAAATTGGACCGAGGTAAATGCCAGACAAGAAGACAACGAGGTTGAAGAATTATGGAAGTAGTATCACGCGATATCTCAGTTCAGAAATCAAGGGCATACACCATATGTATTCTCCTATCTTCTCTTATCGGGAAATACCGTTGGACATCTGTCTAATTGCTTGTTCACAGAGAGATGATTTATGCGATAGTTGCTTTGCTATTATCAAGAAAACAGACTGTTCAACCATTGATAGGAAGTGCAAGGCACAGAAACACAATACTGCATCGGTTGAGCCTCTTTTTACTTGTACAACGTAGTTCGTTCGCAGCTTGGATAGCGTAGCGCTGATCTAAAATTACTTTGCAAGCACCATCATTAGCTAATCTTTTATCAATCGTAAAGTGAGATAGGAAGGGATCACAGAAAATAAAGTTGAAGTGTACAGTCTCACATCAGATCGAATGCCGGATCTGGGGCGCTATTCCGAACCGGAATATTACCAATATGCGACAATCCATGAAAGACGGCCTCAACAAGTAAGTTGCCTCTTTACAGCTGTTCTATCAATTAATAACAATCTAAAGGCGTAGGCAATTAGGAGTATACTTTACTATGGAAATCATTTCAACATGCAGGCAGTGGCTCACTTCATAGAGAGAGTTCTAATAAGCTGCGCTGAATGACGGATTGGGCCAAGTGAGTTTTATACCATTATGGTCCGCCGAGGCATCTTGACCTTTGCGGGGGGATAATGGTACTTTGGGAGGTGCCGCAGAAATAGTAATCTTTTCCGGTAGCATAGAGGAGATCAGGTACTACAATTGAATTGTTGTGATATTGTTCAAGGAGACTAGGCCTGCCTAGAGGGAAATGGCTAGTTAATGCGAACAGTAAATATTGTATTTAACAGAGTATACGGCTAGAATGCAACACTTGAAGTAGTAGCCTATACCTAGCTAACGTGCTAGATTATAGCCTAGGGTGCCAGACAACCTCTCCATTCTTTTTGGTTCTTTTTAATTACCGCTCTGCCGTTGTACAGAGAATTGATAATAATGAGGGGTTCGTGTGATTTTTTGATGGAAGTGGTGGTAATACAACCAATGGTGGAAAAGGCAGCTCCCTTAAGTATAGTTTACTGCAATGCATGTCATCTTCTCAGCATTGAACCCTCGGAAAATGCATCCACAAAACCAGCGTGAATAAGCCCAGGCATCACGACACTCATCTTACAAGATCATCATTCCTGCTATGACGCTCGACCATCTCTACGCGCTTGCAGCTGCCGATCGTAGGCGGCATCTCAGGCTAACGTCACGAGAACAACGCGTACAAGTTGGACAGCGTTAATAAGGAGTATTTCTACCCATCGCCCTTGTATATCTCGCAGTGCATGGGGCTCTCCGACGTCAAAACTACACAAAAGTGACCAACTATAAGAAGGCTGTGTATCTTGTCACGGGACTTATGGGAGCCAAAGGGAGCCTCCATGCGCTTAGAGGCCGGCAACGAGATCAAGAACAAGCTAGAAGCGAGACTGAAAAATCCCAATTTGGCCCATCTTCCACGACGATGGTCCCAAACACTTCTAGCAGCGAGGCTAGAGCCTTTGAACGCTGTCGTATCTGTTTGTTCACGGTCGCAATCGAGGCTGCGCTTGGGAAACACAAGAGATACAGCACGGATGGTGTGGCAGATTGGTGTGATATCGTTTCAGCGCTGGAGGGTTGCCCTATCCTCGGCGAGCAGCTGTTCAGAAGGCAGAGCCCGCTTGAACAGTGGATGGAGGGCCACAAACCACTCACTGCGCTCGGCCAGGACCCCAGAATTTGCATGGTAGGAAGAGCCTTGGGAGTTTCAGCAAAGCCGACGCCTCTCCAATTTGAACAAAAGCACGGGCCGGTAACGAAAGATGGGAGTCGGGCCTAGCGAGAACTTCGCGGGCAAGTATCGCTTTGATGAACTCCAAGTCGCGCTGTAACTGTGTGGGGTACTTTCTCAGCTACATGACCTTTCAGCTCAGTAAGTATATTTGCTGTGCTTATAATGCTGGCTATTTAACTCACTTTTCTTCTCGCTCTTCTCCTTCTCTTTCCAAACCCGTACCAGGTTTCTATAAGCCGGACAGGTTAGGTACGTAGAGATAGTACCTCACGCGAAAGTGCTCTGTGATCACAGCACATTTGACCATGGCCACGCAAGGTGAGCAAGGGCTGGATGTCACGGAATATTCACAACCTTGTTATTGAGTGCAGAATGATCCTTGACTCACTTTCCGGGCGTTTCAAGTCAACATATGGCAACAAGTTCAGGAAAATGACCCATGAAGACAAAAGCAGTAGCTCGAAACTGGGCACTGCTGAGATTGAAAGGAGCTTCAATGCCTGGATCGACAACACTGGCGCTCTCGCGGACGATCCCAGCAGATCCCTCGATACGCGCCTGCACGCTCACCGCGATATCAAGGAGATGGTCGTGGATTTGCTTCAAATGCTCGTCAGGAATCTTGTATATCGTAAGTCTGCGTTTCGGATCTGCGACGCTTCCAAGAGCTCGAATACGCTAACAATGAATTTTTCAGTTGACAACCCCGATAGTGTCAAGCCAAATGGCCCGAGCGAGGATGGTTTGGAAGACGAAGCCAGGGATGCGATCCAGATGGCTGTCGGCGAACTTCACTTCATGGCAACTGTCATCCGCAGGTCTTCGTTACGCAGTCACGAGGACAGCCTCTCGCCTCATTTCCACCGGGATGATGACAGTTATTTCTCGGAGCAGGCCTGTCTACTATAAAGATGCTCGGCGCTCTCTGTGCGATCAGCTGGGAGCGTCTCTGGCTATACGCCGAAGCAAATTCTTGCAGATAATGCGCCATGAAGAGACGCCAGCCGTGCTTTCGGACAGGGACCACCTGGACGATGACACTGAGCCCTACGTCTGTCTCTCCGAGGGTTGTACCTCTCCCATGCTTTTCTTCGCCGACATGGAGGACTGGATGAGCCACATGATAACATTCCACTCGCCCGAGTGGCACCGTAAGATACACATGAGCACCTGGTACTGCGACGTCGGCCACGAGAATGTGCTCCAGTTTAACGACCACGAGAGCTTCGTGCGGCACATGAAGGACCCGGCGAACCATAAAGATCAGCGTCCCCCGACCAATCTACAGCTCGACACGCTGTCGAGCGATAAGCAAAGGTTCCTTGTTCGCGATGAAGAGTACTGCTGCCCCCTTGTGAGTGCGTTCCCGACACCCTGGAGCCAATGATCGCGAGCAGCGACCCCGACAAGATCCGTCGATTCCTACACGAGCACATTGCAGATCACCTTGAGGACCTCGCCTTCGAGATAATGCCTACTCTAGAGGAGGCCGAGCCCAGCGAAGATACACAATGCGAGGTCGGTGATGATAGTCATAGGCGACTGCTGGGCGGCGATTCCATGGCATCATATCCGAGTGGCCTACATGAGCTTCGACAGGAGACAAGCCTAGCTTTCGAGGACGGCTCTGACAGAGGCAGCGACGCGACAGGAATTACGGATTTGGTTTGCATGTCGAACCGTTCTATTGTTGAGGAAGAATGGGAAGAAGGAGAAGAAAAAGAAAGATGGGAGGAATGGAAAGAATGGAAATACAAAGCAGCTATAGGCCTACCTGGGCAAGAATGGAAATACAAAGCAGCTATAGGCCTACCTGGGCAAGACCCCATCCTGGATCACTTCGCTCGGACCCAGCGACAAACTAACCAGGTACGTGGTGGCGGTGGTCCTCTCGAGAACATCATGATGCTCGTATTGAACTCAGTGTCTCTATACCCATGAGTAGAGTTACTCTCACAACCTTATTAGAGCACAAATCCCAAGACTAAACCTTCTTCGCCGATACAGCTACCCCACCGACCGTCGCGGCCACAGTCTCGCCTATCAGAAGCGGATACTCTTATAGTTGAACATGGCGAAGGCAGACTTTTCGATACCACCGATTTTGTTGATCAAGAAGAGTAAATTTCACATATCAAGATTCTTATATTTGTATATCTGCTTGAATATGCTGTCATTGACTGACAATTGGCCGGTGCAGGATAAGAAGCGGTCGAAAATGGTTCAAATGTTTCGATGCAATCAGTGATCAGCTACCAAGCAGAGCAGAATCACAAGATAAGAGAATTAGAATCGGCGTGCTAGATACGGGAATCGATTTGGAAAATGCCTATATTTCCCAACAGCGTGACAGAATTCGCTGCTGGCCTCCGGAGGCCAACCACCACGACAATGACGGCCACGGAACTCACGTGGCATATTTGCTCCTGCGATTGGCCAAGCACGCTGATCTACGCATCTGCAAAGTCACTAATTCAAGATGCATATTGGATGTTGATATCCAACGGATCGCTGAAGTGTGTACAACCATGGCAAAGAAGATCCACGTCATATACTATTCCGCTAATCCCAGTCTCACACCAGGCAATCATTCACTCCTCGCAAAAGGGCGATCCTAGGAGCGAAGATCATGTCGATATCCTTACTCTTTCATTTTGTTTCCCTAGATACGATGACGTACTCAGGCCAATCTACCACGCTATCCTTAAGGCACAAGCGAACGGTGTCATCATTTTTGCAGCCTCGGGCAACGAGTGTGGTGACGCAGGTCTGTCCTGGCCTGTCTCGCTGTATGAAATGGGCAATGTGATCCAGATCAGTTCATCAGACGGCAAAGGCCCACCCTCTGGCTACAACCTCAGACTTGATATTGGCCGCTGGATTTGCACGCTGGGCCAAGGCGTCCCATCTTGCCAGTTACAGTTAGGCACTGAATACCCGATTTACAGAAGCGGGAGTTCGCTTGCGACTCCAATAGCTGCTGCTATAGCCGCTATCATACTTGGTATTGTCGATCATGCCTACTCTGTCCTGTTTCCGCAAGACATGATAGTCCTCTGGTCTCAGCTCCGGACGCGTTTAGGCATGGAAAAGATATTGTGTGAGACATGTACAGAGGTGGGTCACAGGAGTTCATCTTCTCCCATCGCTCCTTGGTTCTTCTTTCAACACACCGAGGTCATACAAATGCAGAGAATACGGAACATCCTTTCGAATATTCGTGATCAAGAGAAGGCATATATCTGCCAGTTATATATATATGTATTAGAGATGGTCGCTTAACCAAGATCCCATCACTACAACGTACACAGGAAACATGTCCTATGCGATCTTTTGCCGTCGATCCTTGAACTTTCCTTAACTATAATCCATCATCGTTGAATGTAACTGTCAATATATCTTTGCTTAGGTATATAACTTATTTCCGGTGTCAGTGGGAACTTAAGACTTATGTACATACCTACAGGTATCTTGTATTTGGACGTGAATGAACTAAGCTAAAGCATAGGTACCTTAGGTAATTATTAGAACCTTGTTTAGTCAGCAATATCACTGGCATTCATGTATGTCTAGGTATCTACAATTTTTCGAAATAATCAGTCCTCCTATTAAAAGGAATTCGGGCGATTATCTGCCTCATACGCATGATGCGGTGGCATGTTCCTGCCTCCTCATTGGTGTCCACTAGCAGTAACGGAGAAATATATACTGGCTACTACAGGTATATGACCTCGCCATTAGGCATCGGTGGGACTTCATCTCCTAAAAGCTCGTGCTAGCCTTTTTGTTTACACTCTCTCCGTCTCTCACAATCGGGAACTAATGATTTAAGACTCTCGAACAATATGTTTGGCTTCATGTGATAAACATGCGGCTACAGAGCACGTCAGCTTCTTTTTTTGCCGCCAAGGAATTACAATTAAGAGCTTCAGACGCAGGCGTTGTCTCAGCTAGCCCGTTTTAACTCTTAGGCTTCTAGTATTGGGGTCTTCGTTTCGTAGGGTTAAGGCTAGCTAGGTCTCGAGCTACCCGGGAAAGTATGTAGGCTCGTACGTAAGATGCTCCCATCACGGGTACAATTACCGTTAGTTACAACTACCTAGCTAACAGGAAACGACTTTGGGAAAACCCCCACAATATGAACCTCGTCTCTAAATAAATGGCGACAACCCCAGAATCGCAAAGAGCCTGCACGTCAACAAGAACAAGGCCCCCGCCGTGGGCGACAGTAATTAACAATGGCTGCCAGACACCTTCTACAAGTTTTAATGTTATTGGCATACTCTCTTCCCCTCAGCCAATGTGCCCCGGGAAGTGGCCGCGTCGAACTCCCTTCTTTGCTCGACGCGACGCTGGATGAGCTGCAGTCGGGCCTCAATGCCGGACATTTCACCAGCGTGGACTTGATCCGGGCCTACACCGCCAGAATCGACGAAGTCAACTCGCGGCTGCACGCTGTCAACGAGATCAACCCGGATGCTGTTTCCATCGCCGCACATCATGACGCCTTGAGATATTCTGGAAATCTCATCGGCCCGCTTCACGGGATCCCAGTCGTGATCAAGGACAACATTGGCACGGCCGACAAGATGAACAACACGGCTGGGTCGTACGCGCTTCTGGGCGCCGAAATCCCAGAGGACAGCACAGTTGCACGCAAGCTACGCGAGGCTGGCGCCATTATTCTCGGCAAGGCTAATCTAGCGCAGTGGTCTGGTGCTCGTGGAGATATTACCCAGGGATGGTCTGCGTATGGCGGGCAGTGCATCGGCGCGTACTACCCCGACATGGACCCCGATGGTTCTTCGTCTGGCAGCGGTACCGCGGCCTCGGTTGGTTTGGCCTGGGCGGCACTGGGAACCGATACGACTGGTTCCATTGCGGATCCATCGAGCAAGCATAACTTGGTCGGAATCAAGCCCACCATGGGGCTGACGTCGCGGTATCTCGTCGTTCCCATTTCGGAGCACCAGGATACCGTTGGACCAATGGCGCGAACGGTCAAGGATGCGGCGTACTTGTTATCGGCCATTGCTGGATCTGACGAGCACGACAATTACACGTCTGCATCGCCGTTTGGAGATCAAGTGCCAGACTATGTCGCTGCTTGTAAGGGCAAGGGTCTGCATGGGAGGCGGATTGGCGTCCCTCGGCATATGGTGCAACTGGGGCCTAACAAACCTAGCGATTATATGCTTGGGATATTCGACTCTGCGGTGGACGTCTTGCGAGCTCAGGGTGCTGAAGTTATAGACGACATCATCCTGCCTGGCGCAGCGGACTTGCTGAACAGCAAATACAGCCCCTTTGTCACAGGCCCAGACATAATGGCCAACATACCTCGATACTTTTCGCAGCTCAAAACGAACCCTAATAATATCACTACAATGGTTCAACTACGCGAATTCATCCAAAACGATGCTCGTGAAGGGTATCCCGAGAAAAACACCAGTTCTTGGGACAGAGGCATCAGCAGAGGCTACGATAATACCTCGCCAGTGTGGTGGGGAAACTACACGGCCCAGGCAGAGCTCGCCGGCCCTCAGGGAATCGCCGGCGCGGTGAAGAAGTACTCTCTCGATGCTATAGTCCTGCCCACGGAATATCTGAGCAAGCTTGCAGCTCCTCTAGGCAATCCGGTCATTTCAGTGCCTGTAGGACGGACGCCCGACGACACGCCTCTGGAGAAGAATGAGTTTGGAACTTTGAACATCAAGGGTCCGAACCAGCCGTTTGGGCTGGGTTTTACGGGCGCGCGGTTCAGTGAGGAGGTACTTTTTGAAATTGCGTATGCGTTTGAGCAGGCGACGATGGTGCGCAGGACGATTATTCCTTATATTCAGCCAAAGACGGAGCTGAAAGACATTGTGGGAAAGAGACAGGATACAAATGGGAATTTGGAGTTGTAGATGAGTGAGCGAGCACTCTAGATAAGCGATAAGTTCTATTGATAAAGAATGCTTGATTTTGCTTGAAGAATAATAAACATGTTGGTATATGAATGCTTGGTTATAAGACTCTCTCGAATGTTGGTCATATAGTATATAGATTTATAATAAGTAAGATGCGCGCCTCCTGTGTGTGCTATACCTAAGGCACATATAACATATGGTTCAACCCCTCATTTCTTCCAAGGCTTCAACGTAAATGGCGTCTACGTACGTGACGCTGCTGCGCATTTACATGGGCGCCATGTACAAACTGAGCGTTGCGGCTCTGCTGATAGAACATTGGATCAGCTCTCGGGAGAGTCAATGCGCTGGCGGGAGTGGAGTCACTAGCAGATTAGCGCTCCAGCTGCCTTCCAGGTTGTTTCGACCTCAACTCAATGAAATCCAGTCCCGAGGCGCTATGCCACTATTGCCTTCAAGGCTACAGAATCCTACATACGTGTACTGACACCAGCTAACACGATTGGCCGGATGCATCCGTTTCCGTGCGGAGCATCATGGATGCTTTACTTATCTATACTGTTTACTTTGCCAGCACTAATTCGACCATTTATGTAGAGTCTGGAGGCTTTTCTGGCTTCGGGCCGTCCCGCCTCTGGTTGATCCAAGTTGGCGCGCTGGACAAGGAAAAGCCAACTACACGAGTATGTACTTAGTTGCATGTGACCACCATTACAGGGCAGGGGGTCTTATGTAAATGAGTACATGTACACAGCCCATAGATGAGAGCTATTGCGGCAAGGCTAGCCATTCATTCGTCTGTATTGGACACCGAAACTGAAGATGCAGAACGCTAATCCTTAAATGTTGAAATAAACATCCCTTCAAAAGCCTACCGCTGACATAACGTCGTACGCGAGCCTCGTCTGTTAAACCCCGCTCTCCCCAAGTGTGCCTTGCCTTTCCCCCGCTCGTTTACCATTAGACAACGCCCTATTCACTCGCTCGCCGCATATTCGACTTTCCCTTACCGTTTGCTGTTCGTCTGACTAGCTATCGTGTATAGTGAATATAGAGTATATGTTCACCAAGAAACATTTAGAGAGCAGACATCTTAGGGGCCAGAGATATCGTTGCATCTGGAGTTTTGTAGAGACTCCTAGGTAAGAGGTACTAGCATCCACGAATGGCCAGATGTAAGAATCTGAAGCTGACTGTCGACAACTAGTATCATTCCCGATATTTGCCTTGCCAGTCGTCGCCAGACAGCAACATGGGTACTAAGGTGGACATTAACAATGATCTCCCCGAAGTACTAGTAAAACACAATCCACCCGAGGCCGATAGGAATCTTCTCAACGCCAAGAACAACCCCTTCAGACTCATCAAATCCGCGGAAACAACAATTGGCAAAATAATCTCTCAATACGAATATCAAATCGAACACCTCGACGACCTTCCGACTGAGTTCGTCGAAGTTAATGCTTGTTTGCCTCAAACAAAAGACGTTCTGAACCATGCCATCAATAATATAATTTGGGACGAAGCATCTAGCGAGTCCATTCAGCCCTTGGCTGCTGGACTCGAATCAAAAGTGAAGAAATTACAAAACATATTCACTCAAGTTGCAAAGGAGACGAGAATTCCGAATGGTCAAACTGTCTTGGAATGTTACATCACTATTCTGCGACCTTTAACGAACCACAAGTCGCACCATGTGGAAGTACTTATGCTTGGCATCCTCAGAGACCTTGAGACATTGTTCAGCAAAAGGCCCCTGAAACCAGGCTGCAGCCAAACTTTCGAGCTCAATGGTGTCATTGAGAAGATGTCTCAAGTGAAATCATCCGTACAAGAGTCAGATCTTACAAAAACCTGGCCAAGTAACGTTCAGAATAACAGCTCTGGTGCAACCGGCCATCAGTATAACGGCAAGGGACATATCATATATGCTGGTGCCGGTAATTATACTATTAACAATCACCATGGTACGAAGCAATAGATCAAATATCCAGATCTAATTAAAAACCGACTGACTCTTTCTAAATTGAAGTTTCCGTGTTTCGTGACGATACCACTGGGAAGGGTATGAACCGACCTCGTGACATCTCATCTCAAATGGATGAAGGGAATATACCCCCGGATGGTAATCTGGCGACAAGCGGTCAGGCTGTAGCTCATAATCAACTGCCGTATCGGCAAGATCAGGCATATCTCTCGGATTCCCAAGCTGTAAGCCAAGGTATCGCGATGAATAGAGGTCGACCACGTGGTCGACAAGATTTCCAGATCGCAATCATCTGCGCGCTACCACTCGAATACGATGTGGTATCTCTTCTCTTTGACCAGTTTTGGGACGAAGATGAGTCATATGGTCGCGCGCGCGGCGACATGAACACGTACACAACCGGCCGCATGGGACAATACAATGTTGTGCTTGTTCTTCTTCCCAATATGGGGACCATTGCTGCGGCTGGAGCAGCAGCAAGCTTCAGGTCAAGCTACTCCAACCTACAGCTAGCATTTCTAGTTGGCATTTGCGGCGGTGTGCCATGGAACGGAGAAGACGAAATCCACCTAGGTGATGTCGTTATCAGCAAATCCGCTGTTCAGTATGATCTAGGCGACCAATATCACAAGGCATTTGTGATTAAAGACACCGTCGATGACAGTCTCGGTCGACCAAATAAGAACATCCGCAGCCTAGTGAAAAGCTTTGAGACCGAACGTATAAGGGATCAACTACGGCAAAAGGCATGCTTATACTTGAAAGACATCCAGAGTGCAGCCGCACGGAAGCGACGACGATTCAACTACCAGTATCCTGGGATTGACAAAGACAGGCTTTTTATAGCAACATATCGACACAAGCATAGAGGCACACAGGCTTGTAACTTCTGTGATACCCAACCCGACGGCTTTTGCCAGAAGGCAGCCCAGACATCTTGTGCTGAACTTGGATGTGATGAGACACAGCTGGTGAGTAGATCGGATTTGGAGACAAGAGGCGCACCTGAAGAGCCTGAAATTTTTATTGGGCGTATAGCTTCTGGAAACATGGTGATGAAGTCTGGTGAGCATCGAGACAAAATTGCTAACGAACAAAACGTAATTGCTCTTGAGATGGAGGGGGCAGGTGTATGGGATGAGATTCCTTGTATTATTGTAAAGGGCGTGTGTGATTACGCCGACAGTCACAGAAATGAGTTGTGGCAACGGTATGCTGCTGCCACGGCTGCTTCGGTCATGAAGGCTGTACTTGGGCGATACATCATGACGGATAGGTGAACATACTGTGTCAATCTAGATGATCCCTTTATGTCTCATGAAAGCTTGTAATTCTATTAACTTGAAAAAATATCATGCAGTAGCTAATGGATGGGATGCATGTAGTTGTGACTACACAATTCGGCTGCAGAGATCTAGCACTGAAAGGCTTGATGAAGCCAATCATTGACCTTGGATAGATGCTTATTAGAGCAATATGCATGTATTACAGCCATCGTTCAATGTTGTTTACAATAGTGAAAGTACCGCTAGAGAAAACAAGAAGCTACACATTAAGACTTCCCCGTCCCGCCATAACCCAATCTTGTTTGTTGGGTACCTATTGGGCTCGAAATTCTAGGCTGATCAGGCTGATCAGGCTGGCCAGGCTAGGCACCGCGTAAGTTTGGCGCCCAACCTCCCATGGAAACACACATCACAGTCCCTTGCATCATATTCTACTATTAGATGGGATTGGCCCACGCGGCTCACACTGCTCCATGGACGAATAAGCTACTAGCTTTCATATGGGAGCCTCAGTTGGCGCTTCCCCTCTTTTTCATGCCCCGTGCTTGATAAACCATCTTCCTTTCCTCGTGTGTCGACGCATCAATATGTTTTTCCGACTAATCTATATCTTGATTCTACAATTTTGGCTTACATGAGTTTTTTCATAGCAAGAATATCCGGTCTTGCAGAATCACCCCAACGTTGATTTGGGCAAGCTGCAGGGAATTCGACGCGGAAGCTAGAGACTACGGCATCGCTTCTCAGCAGCACAAGCCTTGATTCGCACGAAGATCAAAATGGAACATGGCAATGGGGATAACAATGCTCAGCACAATGCCCCAGGCGGAACAGGCCACCAGTATACTGGCCAGGGACAACATATTTACAGCGGCGTTGGTATGACAATTAATAACAACGCAGCTGCCCATACATTTGGTACGAAATTATCATAAATCAGTTGGGAGTTTCTTTCAAATAACTAACCAAGCTACCCCATATAGAAAACTCCCGGGAGAAAATAATCCAAGCTCTTTATACATCGCCATACCTGCAGAGAAAAAATCGGAATCCCGACCGCGTTACAGGAACATGCGAATGGTTTTTGAACCACGCCGACTTTCACCACTGGCGAGACAGCACATCTTCCTCTATGCTCTGGGTATCCGCAAATCCCGGCTGCGGAAAGTCTGTTTTGGCCAAATGTCTGGTTGATGAACTCAATACTACAGAAGAAAGAACCACCTGTTACTTTTTCTTCAAAGATGACTTTGAGGATCAGAGAAGCGCGAAAAGCGCCATTAGCTGCATTTTGCACCAACTCTTTACGCAAAGAGAGAATATTTTATCTGCCGAGATCATAAAGCGATTCAAGTCTTACAAGGCGCCTCTCGCTAATTCATATTACGATCTTTGGGCGCTCTGGGACATTTTAATCATGGCTTCACAAGAGAGAAATGCAGGCGAGATAATCTGCATCCTCGATGCGTTCGACGAATGTGAGAATCAGGACCGACAAGATCTTGCCAAGATTGTGCGCGGATTTTATATTCAAAGCAGCACCACTAAGCAAAGTGTTAATTTGAAGTTTCTTGTAACTAGTCGCCCTTACGATAAAATTCGGCGGGACCTAGTCCCTTTCAATCTTGAGAATGTCCCGGTTATCCATTTGAAGGGCGATGGGGATAAAGAAATAGAAGAAATTGCGGAAGAGATCAATCTGTTTATAAAGGATAGAGTCTCGCAAGCTCGAAAAAAGTTTGGTCTTACAAAGAAGGAAGAGGAGCTGCTTTTGCACGGGCTAGAAGCTGTTCCGAATCAAACATACCTATGGGTCTATCTCACCTTGGACTGGATTGAGACTGAGATACACAACAAGATCAGCGAAACGAAGATACGCGACGCCATTTCCATTCTACCTCGAACTGTTGATGAGGCTTACGACAAAATTTTAGCCAAAAGCACAGATGCAGCAGAAACCAAGAAACTGTTACACATTGTGGTGGCGGCCGAACGACCTCTCACTCTCGACGAGATGGACCTGGCACTAGCAGTTCAACAGCATGATTCTTATAAAGACTTTAAGCGGAGACCCAGTGATCGCTTCAGAAAGTATATCCGGGACCTTTGCGGCCTTTTTATAAATATCAATGATGAAAAGATCTATCTTCTTCATCAGACAGCGAAAGAATTTCTAGTCCCAATAGGTCATTACGATAGCCATCAAGAGATTACAACACAACGAGGACACGTGTCTCAAATTGACCTCCACAAGCAGCTCACATGGAGGTCTTCACTTATACCAACAGAGTCCCATCGCATTATTTTTCAAGCTTGCGCTTGGTATCTACTTTTCATTAAATTCCAGGCCTCCCATTGTAAGTTCGAGCACAAACGTATTTTTTTTGGAGATGAATTTCGAACTGGCTGCTACCATGCATTTGTGTTTCTCGATTATTCTGCAAAAAGCTGGGCTACGCATTTTCGTGCGTCAGGCATCGAAGGAACTGAGTTCAGAGAGCAGCTGCAGCAAATTTGTGACACAAAATCGGAACTTTGCTGGACTTGGTTCAGTGTTTACTGGGTGGACAAGCACCCTGGCACCTCTCTTCCTTGGACTTTTACGCCACTTATGGTCGCCTCTTATCTGGGAATAGAAACCCTTGTCAGACTTCAGCTCCAATCGCTTTACGTTGAATTGGATGTTGTTGACGACATTTTTCGGCGTTCAGCTCTCTCTTGGGCATCAGAGAGTGGATTTGAGAGCATAGTGAGGCTCTTAATCCAAGGTCCAATATTCAATCTTATAAACATTCTAAAGAGCGGTTTCCGCCCATGGCTCTTTAAAGGTGCCACAGTCGATACCGAAGACACAACGATGAGAACGCCACTATGTTACGCCTGTCTAAATGGCCATCTATCTGTTGTACAGATATTGTCTAAAGCAGGGGCTCGCGCAGACTACAAAGATGAAATAGGAGGAACACCAGTCACTTACGCTCTCTGCACCGGACGGCAAGACATAGCCAACGAACTGACAAAACAAGCTCGGGAATTTTCAGTAAGTGAGATTCGTGATGAGTTACTTCAATCAGCTGTGAAGAATGGGCATGAACTCATTGTCCAACGTCTTCTCGATGGCGTTGCCGATATAGAAGCAGTAAACAAGGACAACGAAACGCTTCTCTTTATTGCCACGCGGTGCGGGCATGCAACTCTTGCTCTACTTTTGATAGAAAAAGGAGCCAGTACAGAAGCAAGAAATAAAGATAACGAAACGCCTCTCTTTATTGCCGTTCGGCATGGGCATATAGCTCTTACTCGGCTTTTCATGGATAGGGGTGCTAATAAAGAAGCAAGAGACAAGAATAATGAAACGCCTCTCTTTGTTGCTGTTCGGCATAGGCATACAGCTCTCACTGAGCTTTTAATAAGCAGGGGTGCTAATAAAAAAGCAGTGAATAAGAATGATGAAACACCCTTTAATATTGCTGCTTTGCTTGCGGGCGATGATCTTCATTCAGGTCCAACCTTTTGGTAAATTCAGGTACATACTTGTTAATATATAGCTCAATAGTCTTCCGGTAGCTAATCCTTCTTATCTTTAATAGGTCATAAGCCCAGCCAGCATAGCGATAAAATATAAATGCTATATTTAAGAGGGTTTCCTCCTGGGCATAGAGGGATAAACTATATCCAGAAGGATAGGAAGGGTAATTTTTGCAAAAAAAAGACAGCTAGAGAATTCCAACGCACAACAATATGGATTGAACACTATTTTTCTCTCGGTAACATAATATCAATCTGGAAAACAAGAGTCTTTGGTCATTGTCGTTGATGTATCCGGCTTCAAGGGCCAATTGTTTTTCCTACCTAGTGTTCAAGGATTATACTTATTTGAGAGTCAAAACTGTGTTTATGCCGACTGTACAGTCAAAAATGAAATTAAAATGAATCTTAGAAGACAAAGCAGCGCGACTAATTAAAATCCAAAAAGGTAAAGTGATGAGTACCTGGACATAAGTCAAACCTCGCCATCCGTGCTAAATCGCCAATGTCTCTTGGCGGAAAAAATACATGTGCAGACAGATGGCCTCCCATCAATTGGCCCATGTGAGCAATAGCTCAACCGCGTCATAGACCAGCTAACACGACTGTTAATATGCTAACAGCCACCTCTTTCGATTGCTACTCCTCACTGGAAATCTACTCGTCTCTCTCTTCACATCCATTATTGTTAGCGATTTCATCACGTGATGGAATAAGCCGATGTAACCAACAGCCAAAGTCAGCCCATCCTTCAGCTGGCGCTGAAAATGACGCACCATCACATATGTCTAAACATCAATCATCACGATCGTAATTCATAAGGTCTGTACTATGGCGACCAGAGCATTCTTTGACCCGGTGGCCGCGTTGCGAGCGGCGCCGTTGCTCACATCGACTTGCACGCTCTGGTGGGCGTTGGACGAGCACTTTTTCCTCAGCATCTTCAACAAGCCAGAGATCCGCAGCAAAAGCAATGAGTTGCTGCCAACCTATTTCAAGGAGTTTTTCGAAGGAGGATTGAACCGAACACTTGCACTTCTAACTCTCACCATCTCATCCACCATGGCTACCTGTTTCGTAAACCACGGATACCACTGGGCCAACAAGTCTCTGCGGTGGTACACAGCTGGAATGGTATTGGCAGCCGGTCATCTCGCTTTTGTGCCAGCCATCGCACCCAAAATTAAGGCAATTGTCGAAGACACCTCCAAAGGAGAGAGCACCAAGGATCTAGAGAGCTGGCTGAGCGTCCACACTATCCGGACTTTGACGGTTGATTTGGCGGCGTGGGTTTGCTTTGTCATTGGCACTGCGCGCGAGATTCAAGGCGATGATTAAACAGTTGAAATCGAAAAATGTCGTCATGTACTCCTGATGTTTAATTGGTATTTTCTGTTGGGTCGAGGTTGATTGGTTGGTTTCGATGAGAACAGATGTATTATAAATAGCAGCTGGCACCTCGACAAGCCACAAATAATTTGAAAAGCACACTCTAGGAACTGATATTTTCAACTAGCTTGCTTTCATGTGCTATTGGGATGTTTTCGCTGAATATTCTTGATAAGAGCACGATAATATCTGCATGAACGCAGTCTCATTCCCAACTACAGGGTACCACTGCCATAACTCCAGCCCTGGTCATCTTCGAATCGCCAATTTGAAACATATTACTGCATCGAGAAATCGATTCGAACTTTACTTCTAGCTCCAATATAACCTCGGAAATCTCCGAGCTTTTGCATGGTTGCGTCACGCAGCTTGTGTGGCACAGCCTTTTCGTGTCAAGCTCCGCGTAATAGACAATTTCGCCGTCTGCCTTAATAAACGAATTGGCCAATAAGATTGACCATGGCTAGAGATACGAAAATGCCTTGTGTCGAAACACCTTCCTACGTCTCACTATTCTCTTTCGGCACTAGCCTACAGCTCGTTCTCGTTTAGCCGCCACTGCGATCTGCCTACATGTAGATATTCGTGCCCCTCGTCATCGTTTGACTTGGATGTTCTCGCTCGAAGCTGTGCTGCTTTGGGGATACTGCCATCTGCGAATAATGAGTCTGCTTACTACACTACCCTTTGTGGGCGAACGCGAAGAGCAGCCGCAAGAGAAACAGCCGCCACGGAAGAAGCATGCTAAGCTATTCCACAGAAAGACTAGAACAGGCTGCAAGCGATGTCGAGTTCGAAGAGTCAAGGTACGGACGCAACACTCTTTATCAGCCCTATAGCTGTGGAGAAGATGAGGCTTGATTGAGTCCTGATTGTTCTGAGGTAGTGCGACGAAACTAGGCCAATCTGTAACAATTGCACACGACTCGATCTGGACTGCGACTACGCCCATTCCTCTGCAAAAAGGAAGGGCAACGAAAACAACTCTGCTCAGTCTCCGGCTTCGCTAAGCTGCGGTGAATGCGTCATCAACTCAGACGGCGTGGTGCAACCTCAAGAAACAACAGCACGACGGAAACTCGAACTCGAATTGCTCTACCACTATTCTACAGAGGTCGGACCAGCCCACAACGCGGACAAATTTTCTCAGAAGTTTCTAGGCCCCTTTACTTGCCAAGCTGCTTTGCAGTCAGATGCTGTCTTATACGCAGTCTGCATGGTGGCGGCTCTTCATAAAGCGCACATATCTGTAAATGGCAGCTCGAGATATATGGACCATTGCTTGACATATGCTAATTTGGCTCTTCAATCGCACCACCAGCAGGTGGCAAACCTCGATCCAGATAATGTGGATTTCTCGTGCCTGACATCTAGCCTGTTACGACTATATAAATATTATCAACTACAAAATCGACCTTTGGAGCCGTATGCGCCTCCTATGGAGTGGCTGCGCATGTGCAACACCAGCAACATTGTGTTCCGCAAGGCATGGGGGTTTCTTGAAGACAAACAAGAAACAGTGAGCGGTAGGCTGATGCTGGAAATCTCGCAAAATCTGGAAGAACAAGGCAGAATGGAGCATTCCAACGAGCTGATGCACTTACTGCGGCGCCAGGAGCCTCACGAGTTGGAGGAACAGTGGGATGACGAAGTTCTCAAAGTGTATAAACGCACTTTGAGCTGCCTTGGCTGGCTCTGGAAGCATAGATTCGACAGCGATCCTCCCTATGGCGTGTCAAGGCGGCTTTTTCTTTTTCCCATGCTAGTGGACACCCAGTTTGTGGCGTTTATAGAGGAACAGCGACCGCGAGCACTTATCATCCTGGCGCACTATTTTGCACTGCTCGCAATTATTCGCCAACTGTGGTTTGTTGGCGATGCAGGCCTCCGTGAAGCCAACGCAATCGCGGCCGCGGTGCCGCCAGCGTGGTTAGGGATGCTGATTCAGCCGCTGGAGATTTTGAAGGATCCATCCTTGTTGTGTAATATTCAGCCCAAAGCCTGAATTCGTTGTTAATGTAGCAGATAATATGAAACCACTGTAAAGCGACGATCTTTCAGCATGAGCATTTCTATCATTTAGGAGCGGTGGCCAGTAATTATCAGCCCTGGCCCTTGGCAGGAGTCAAGATTGAATGCAGGGTTGTTTCAACGCGCTGGTGTAAGCTGCTGTGGACTCCATTGGGCTCTTCTGATTAGCCGTCGTTCTCGTTCAAGCTGCGCTAACTTGAACATGGTGGCGCGGACAGCCGCTGAGGACGCTATAGCGAGTCGGGATTTCTTAGTGGGAGGGAGAACTGAAGGATGGAGAAGAAGCGAATATGGTTGAATATCAGTGACTATTGTTGCGATTGTAAAATATATATATATGCAAGTCGTGTAGTCCATTGTATCTATTCAATCTGCCGAAGCATTCACATTGTTGGAAATCTGTCTCTTTTTAAAGAGTTTAAAAGTCTTGACAGTATTGAACTCTAGCGACTTACGCTTCATCTTACCCACAAGCGCCACGACTTACACAACCACAATGACAACCGACGGCCTCTCAGCTGCAAAACTCGCCATTTACTTGATTCTACTCCAGCCTGCACTCTACTGTCTGTGGAAACACGGCAAAACAGGATTTCTTGGCTGGCTTTACATACAAATTTTCTGTGTCCTCCGCGTAGCCACTGGCGGGATCGGCCTGCATGGGAATCAGACGGGGGAAGTAGCCGTAGTTCTCAACAGCATCGGCTTGTCTCCATTACTTCTTTCAATTTCAGGAATACTGCACGAAGCGTGAGTCTATTCTTTTTCCTGAATACTTGCTTTAAACGTTTTATACTAATTCTGTCTTACATCAGACGACGTGCTGTGAACCCGCGTCTCAACAGAAAGCTTGACATTATACTGGAAATCCAGTATCATGGCATTGTTACTCTGGGAATGATTCTAACAATTGTCGCTGTTGTCCATATTTTGGATGGTGGCGAGATATCAAAGAACAGACCATTGCTTGACGCTGGCTCCGCCATTACGTGCGTTGCTTGGGTTCTTGTGGTTCTCTGGGCAGTTTGGTCGCATTCCATGAATCGCCGATTCTCGTCGTACTCGGACATGCAAACGTCGGAAAACGGCAAACTGGTGAGTAATTTTGAGCATTTCATCTTTTCACTTTCACAATACAACTTACTGACAGACCGCCTTCCTAGCTGCTCAATGGAGTGCTTGTCGCACTGCCATTTGTTGGAATCCGCCTTGTTTACGGCATTGTCTTTCTACAATTGACAATCTCGCACCCGCATTCAGGTTTTCTTACGTCCAAAGCCGTTCAAGTTTGCCTCAGTTTTCTTCCCGAGCTGGCATGTATCACCAGTCTCCTTGTGGTTGGTGTCATGACTCGCTCTTTAAGACCTGACTTGAAGAAGAGGGAACAAGGGGCAGTTCAACTGGTGTCCCATCAGGGCATGCAACTACAGCAGTCGGCAGAATACAAGTAAATCTGTGCTTCTTGACTGTCGTTAGAAACCAGATGCTCTGTTTATCCATTCCGTTCCTACCGGCGATGTTGCTTGTTAATACACACCGAGATACGTACATGCATGGTGCAAGTCTTACTTCAGCATACCGTTTCCACTTCACCCGTCACTTTTACATGAGCGGCATCAGGGTGCCTCTATACCTTTAATCTTTCATAAACAGTTGTGCGATTCATTACTTATGTGATGATAACAGTGAATTTCAGAAGATGGTTGATCAGCTCTATTTCTCCGCCAATCAGTTCTGGTATGTAGGGTCTTGAATTAGGGCACGGCCGAACGAAATACCCCTCACCATCCCAGGGAGCGTTTCTATCGCTCCGATTAGCTGTGTGCCTATAGAATATAAAATTGATACACTTCTTATGAGAAATAAGATTCACATCCGCCATACATTTTTTCCAAGTCGAATACCAAGTTTTGACGTGCTATGGATAAAGTCTGGTTCAAGCTTCGACAGACTCATTATCCGCCTGGTGCAGTATATCAAGAAGAGTCCGGACAAAGTGCTGATGCTTTTACGGTCGAGAACTGCTTGGTATGTAACGCACCGATTGAAACAGATAGCAAGAACAGCCCATCATTGATAAGAGGTATGCGTGTCTCGCCGATGAGTGTTCTGACAGCAAAGCGGAATACCGAAAGGTCTACACCAATTGAAAACCATTTGGGAACGATTAAATCAACAGCGGTCGCTTATTATGTCCATGAATTGATAAGGGATGAAGATATTGAAGTAAATGAAAGCACATCGTTGGGATCGACCAATGTCAAGTTAGCAGTGGCTCATTATTGACTGCCTTCCCGCCGCCTGTGATCCTCTTGCATGTTTACATCTTTCATATGTGCAACAGATGGGTCCGATTATTTATGCCTCTCTGTTTATGCAAAGCTTCTTGAAAAAATGATTAGAGCGTACGATCCACCTCTTTTCATCCTGTACGTCTATGATATAGCTTTGAAAGACCTTGACTATGTGAGAATAATTACTTGAACACTCACTACGAACGTTTAGACCGTGCTGATTTGTCAACGAAGTAACGGCTCCAACTTAAGTAGTCTCATATAAAGTAGAAAATGTTTATTTGCCAATCATAGCGTGCCATAACCACCATTGGAAACGCCCGTGTTTGCCTGATTCTTATATAGCGTGCCCTGAGTGCCAAAGGATTCCACAACGTTCACAACAAATGTATCAAGTTCATCTCGGGGAGTTGCGCCAGCGTTCGCCAGGACATATGTAACAGCATCCGCGGCCGACATAGTGGCAAGCCCGAGCGAGGTAGAGGCCCATGGCTTGCTGAGGACAGTCGATGAGCCAACAGTATTATCCGGCGCCCCATTCAGCTGCCCGTCATTATTACTATCGAGATAGTTGCCCGTAGCATAGACACTCTGATCAGCTGCCATTTGGTAAAAGGCATTCTTGGAGCTGGTTGTGCTTGGGCCCGTGATGAAGTAGTTGTTGATGATGTCGTGAGAGAACACTCCACCAGTGTTCCCCGAGGTGTAGCCAGCTTGATAGTTGTAGACAACGTTGTTAACGTATTGGGTGTTGTCCTTTGAGAGTGGCTGGCGATTGTGAGCGCTGACCCAGAGGTTGCGGTAAAAGGTCGATGGCCCTGTCTCAACGTGAGCGCCAAACTGCTGTCCAATAGGCAGGGCAATGATTGAGTTTGACACGGTGATATTCACAGCACCTACGGCATCGATCGAATCCCATTGGCCGTACTCGACAGAGCAATGGTCAAGAATGACATTGGAAGCGCCTCCCATATTGAAGGCACTTTTGCCAGTGTCGGTGTCCAAAGTGCCTTGGCGCATTCGTAGATTGCGTATAATGATGTTGCTTTTATCGCTGGCAGAAATTTCACCACCCATGATTCCAATGCCATTCCCTGGTGCGGACTGGCCATTTATTGTTAGGCTGCTGGATAGAGATACCGCGGATTTGAGCTGGATGTATCCGCTGACATCGAAGACAATGTTGCGGTTGGAATGGCTAACTGCGTCGCGGAACGATCCACTGCCAGAGTCCAGGAGGTTCGTAACATGAACAGTTGTTCCGCTGTTACCACCAGTGGCGATGGCACCGAATCCGACCGCTCCATCAAAAGCTATGCCCAACGCCCGGCCTACAAGGGCAAGAGTGAGAACGCTCAGATGTAGAGGAACCATGACAGGAGCGAAAGATTATCGTGAACTATATCAGTTGAGATTGATGGCTTGACGGGTGATTATAGGCGACTCTGACACAAGTATAATTACGAAAGCACGGGCTGACATAGACCCTAGTTATATATCTTGGCTTCAAGAACAATGCCGGCATCTAAGCTATTATTCTCCGAAACATGCTTGGAACCTCTGGGGAACCCTGCCACGAAACGGAATATCCGAGCGGTAACAGGCTCAAGGCTTGGAGGGTTATTCAGAAGACGAGGACGCTATGTAGATAAACAAAAGCTGAAAGGGGGGATACGGACATCGACCTTCGCTATTATGTCGGGATCAATCCCCGAGTTGCTTGTCTTGTTGTATAGCGGAGATCGACTAACGCAAATCTCCATGAGAGTCTATCCGTCCGATGAGAGGCTAAATATGATCTCGCTAAGCGAGTTTCCACATTTAGCCGCATTTCCCACGCAAGAAACTCCCGTCGGGTCACGATCATTTCGAAGCCGCATGATGGTTGGTTCTTGTAATCGCGAGAGATTTCAGTGCGGGATCCTTGCTTGCATCCAGTAGCGTTATAACTATGGTACTACAGGGAAACTTGAAATGGTCAAAATATATCTGTTCTTGGAGCTACTGTCTGTTTGGCTCTCTAGTTTGGCCTAGTAATTCTACCCAGTGAGTTATAGAAACTCTTACGAAGTGCATCTAGTCGACTTTTCGTCTTATAAATGCTCAAACCCCCGATCACAGACGTATTATGACACCCAGAATCTGAACTCTCGGTATGTGGGGGGTTGCAGATGCCATCACCTTGGACGGTTATAGTAGAGTGTGGATTTACGCTGGCGGAGACGAGATGTTTCCCTGTATCATTAGCGGCTTAGGGGCCCTGTTATCCGCCCCAATAACAAATTTGATGTTGAGATGCCCTGGTCTACCAGCTATTACAGGCGAGCGCCGTAGGATATTCCGGAGAGTGCTTTATTACAATTTCGCCACCATCTGATGGCGCCATGGTGTTATGCTAAAACCTGAATAGTTCAAAATGGCAGATCAAGTTCAATATTTATAAAAAAAAAAAATCGAATTAATAAGATATGTAATAAATCTTTTTAAAGAATTAATTGAGATACCAATAAGAATAATGGTACTGGGGTAATTCTCTGAATCAAATCACATACCCCAGGACCACAGGCGCTAGCCGCAGAGAAACCCAGCAGATTGAACTGTTCTGGAGAGCAAGTTCTTGATTAAATCCATTATACCTACTAATAAATAGCTGGGACTGTAAGAGCAGCCAGTCTCCGATTCAACTCGACCATCGTCTTCGAATCTATACGCCGCTTCGATGCTTGACTTAGCACCATGTCGAGCGAATAGTCTCTGGCTTCCTGCAGCCGTGGATGGCTCAGCAACTCCGGGACTACCGCCTCTAGCACATCCCTTGCCGGCTGATAATTGAGTAGCTCGCCGATTGAGGTCTCACTGGTGGAAAATGTCGTCGTTGCCCGGTCCTTTTCAGCTCGAGCTACAAGTTCTGGCGATGAGAGCTCATCTCCTTTGCGGAGGATTGTAGCAAATATCGGGGGGCGCCGCGAGCTGAATGAGTTTACATTGACAGAATGTTGGAGCTTGGCTATGCTCCGGTCAGACTGGGAAAAGGTAATGAGGATGGTGTCACGGAAAGCCGTCTCGGGGAGCTGCAGCACCACTTCGAGACATTCCATCGTGGCGCCCATCCAGCGGCCCCGAGCCACTGACCGTAGTTGTGGCCAGGTGTATCCGTGGTGTAGGCTGGCAACTTGGGAAGTGGTGTATGACTCGAGCCAAGTGCCCATTGAGAAGCTGATGTGGTGGGCACCGGCGCGATTATCAATGCGGAGGATACATTGTCGAGGAGCAGAGGACAGGTCCAGCGCAAAGGCAAGCACGCCGTCCTCGTTGGGTGCCGCAACGTATCGTTCCTTTGAAATGGCCTGGATCATCTCCTGAGAGGGCGTCTTTGCAGCCAAAGGGAGCTCTGCAACAACTTGCAAGCCGGCCAGACGCGAGGACAAATGATGATCCAACGGCCTCTGAGAACCAACAGCATCCTTGTTCCTGCTTGCTAGCAGGCCAGGGATATGTTTGTCGATCAGCTCCTCCAGAGCGGCAGCCCTCCTGCTGACTGCGGCCGTCACCGCCAGCACAGCATCAAAGTCCGGCCACACAATGCACAGCTGGCCAAACATGCCCCTGGCCTTGTAGCTCCCATCCTCACAAACCCACCACTGATATCCGTACAGATTTCCCCTCTGCGCCTTTGTTGCCTGTTGCACCCACTTCTCCGGCAAGATTCGTTTCCCCTTCCACATGCCCTTTTGCAGATGCAGCACTCCCAACTTGAGCAAATCCGTCGTCAGACACGAAAGGCCATTCCCGCCCGGATTGATACCCTCAGGGCCCATGTCCCAGTGCGCAAGACGGATGCCCAGCGGGCGGAAAAAGCGCGGCTCGAGGTAGTCTGCGACCGAGAGACCGGTGGTGCGGGTGACAATGGCGGAGAGCATAAAGGAGGTGGCGCTCGAGTAGGCGAAGAAGGTTCCCGGGCGGTGGACGACGGGCGTGGAGATGAACTTGTCAATCCAGCTGGATTCGATGCTACGCCACGACCCGCCACTCTCGCCGTGATCATGGCCGGATGTTTGGGTGAGAAGGTCCTCGACTGTCATCTGGTCAAGGAAGGATGGCGAGTCTATGTGCCCATCGCCAGCATCGCCATCGCCAGTGGCTGGGGGCATCCTCTCCGGAAACACCGAGGCCACCGTTGTGTCAAGGCCAAAATACCCTTGTTCAATCGCAAGGCCTACCGCCACAGCCAGGAAGCTCTTTGTTGCCGAGTGCATGACGTGCGGCAGATTGCGCTCGTAGGGCCACCACCAGGCCTCAGCAATGACGGCGTTGCTGGCGTACAGCATGAAGCTGTGCAGCTCAACGCCAGAGGCGGCAGCGTCGTCGACGAAGCCGAGTATAGCAGAGGGGGAGTAGCCCAGGCTTTCGGGTGAGGAGCGAGTAAATCCATCGTCATGGAGCTCAGAGGCGGCCATGGTGAGTAATGAAGGCTAAAGACTACGAGATGGTCTCGAGGCAAGTGGCAGCCTCAAGAATGGATTCCCACAACCCCTTAACCTTTCTTTCGACGCCGTGTTGGATGCCATCAGCGACTATAAATTGCAGTCTCTCGTGATCCTAAGAATGGTAGACGCAGGCGAAATTGGCAAACACACCGGAGCCGCGTGAGCGCTTTGGTAAAGCAGTACAGTAGCCTCGGCCCACCTTGCTGTGCAAAGCACGTAGCTCGATCCCTCTGTTTGTTGTAGCTAGTTGCCTAAGATTGCTGGACCATCGCATAAAACTTCAGCCTGGTTCCCTTGTCGGTGTTGACTCTCTGGCTCGCTCAGCCCGGGCGTGCAAAAGATATGCGAAAGTCGGCTCACCTAGTCTCCGAAACGCGCTTAAGATACATAGGTATGCGAAAGTCGGCTCGTCAGCTACATGTACTGCAGCCTCCGAAAAGCGCCCAAGTTGTCCGAGCTAGTACTATGCTTCTGTTCCCAACGAACTTGGCGGCGTCGAATGCCAAGCAGTCGGAACTCCGGTACATGTAGTCGTCAGCCTCGCGTGGCGATAGCCGATGACTATGTACGTAAGTACGGATCCAAGCACGTAGATGCCTTCACGCGCCAGGGGGTTTTTTAAGCTTGTAGTTAGCTCCGATCGAGCGTATCGCCCCTTGTTTAGGCTGATGCGGGGATCTTCGACTAAGCCACCGTCGTGTAATGTACAAACAACATGAACAACCAAACAATCAGCATCTCCCTCGACGAACAAGTCCACAGCCACGGCCCAGGCCACGACGATGTGAACAAGATAAGAGCCGTGGCTCCCAGCCCCAAGCCTCCCGTCGCTACCTTACAGATATCGTCAAAAGACTAGACATTTCCTTTCCTTGTCAATCATAGGATATTTATACATCTTTCGTTGTCTAATCATCCAATCTCGTTATGCAACCCAGCAGTTCCAGAAGGCTGCTATCTCCAGCAGGTTCTGTTACCGCCGTCAAAACCCACGACAACTCTCAACATGTGGACTATCTCGAGATGACCACCACAGCTCAGACATTGCCTCTCTCGGAAGCCAATAGCCCGAAAATGTCCCTGTTCGCTGTTGTGCGACAGAACCCGCGTTTATCGTTGCTGAGCTTTTGGCTGATGCTCATCTTCCTGCTCTACGGGTATGAGCTCGTGTTCCTGGGGTCTATTGCTAGTCTGCCGGGGTTTCAGTGAGTCTATTCTCAGCTTGATTTTACAAAACCATGTTTTCCTTCCTACCCCAATTGATTAGTCCAATTTCTGGCAAGTGTTGGTTCGACTGAATTTCACCGGAGTCGGATCTCCATCTTCACGTATCGCGCCTCTCCAACACCCGTCCGTCTTTGATCCGCCATGTGAAGCCATTGCTGACTTGACCATGTCCATAGAGCCGTCTTTGGTGTCTCCCAGGAGACCTCCGTCACCGGCTTCATCATTCCCACCTCTTGGCTCTCCATTTGGTCCGTCTCCGGCCCCCTCGGTAACATGATGGGCGCCTTCATCAGCGGCTGGCTGCAGGAAAAAATCGGCCGTCGTCCCATCCTTGGCCTCTTTGGCGTCATCCAAGCTGCTACCGTTGCCATATGCTACATCGCTGATCAGGCTCCCAGCGACAACGGCCGCCGCGGCCTCTACTTTGTTGGCAAGTTTACGCAAGGCATTGCTGTGGGATCCATACTCTGCGTCGCCCAGACGTATGTGTCCGAGGTCCTTCCACCTCTGCTGCGTGGGCCGATGCTGGCTTGGCCGTCCGTCTTTACGGTCCTTGGGGAGATTATCGGCGCTCTGGTCATCCGGTCGCGCGTGGATGTCGCCGGTCCCGAGTCGTACCGAGTCCCCATCGCCGGACAGTGGGCCTTTTCCGCCATCCCCGTACTATTGGTGGTATTCCTGCCCGAGAGTCCTGCCTGGCTTCTCCGCCAGGGCAAGGAAGACGCTGCCGTGAAGGCCTCTCGCAAGCTCCAAGGCTCCCGCGCGCAAGCCGCCTCCGGGGACCAAGTGATGGTTTACCTTTGCGAGGCCCTTGCTCTTGAGGCCGCCGAGAGCGCAAACCGTCTCGAGCATTCTTATCTGGACTGTTTTCGCCCCGCGCACGGCAATCTCCGTCGCACAGCCATCGTAATCTTCACCAATTTCATCCCGCAGCTGTTTGGGCTGGCGTTCCTTGGCCACTTGACGTATGTGCTGGAGGTGACGGGCATGTCGGCCTCTACAGCGTCGTCGTGGTTTACTGCAGGAGCTGCGCTGAGCTTGGTGACAAATCTGGCTGCCCTGTGGCTGCTGACCAAGGTGGGAAGGCGATTTATGCTGCTGTCGACGCTGGGCTTCATATGGCTCATGTGGTTGATGGCGGGCATTGCCGGTGTCCTCAATAGTGTCGCATCTAGTTGGTATGAACATGAGGCCCAAAACAACGTTGAACATTCCTCTTTGGGAGACTCTCGCTAACATGGTAAACAGGGTTCTAGCTATCGCGGCAACCCTTCTCAATGCCGCTGCTTGCCTGGGCGCGTGGCCCGTCTCCAACATTGTCGCTGCCGAAGTCTCCAGCTTAAGCCTCCGTGCCCAGACCCAGGGCATCAGCGTCTTTGTGCATTCTGCCGTCACCGTCGTTTTTTCATCCTTTATACCCTATCTGTACAACTCGACTGCTGCCAATCTCGGCGGCAAGATCGGTTTCATCTATGTCGGCTTCGTTACTATTGCCATTGTGGTATCCTGGTGGATTATACCGGATATGAAGGATCGCACGCCAGCCGAGATTGATGAGATGTTTGAGATTGGGCTGCCAGCGAGAAAGTTTAAGCAATATTCCTCTCTCGATGTGGATGGGAAATTGGTACGCGTGGAGCGTTAACGAGAGAGGAGACGATAACGCAGAGGGAGGGAACCAGTAGCAGGCGATGATAATTAAGACCTTGGTACGGTTCGTCACAACAGGGGAAAAACCAACTACTTGGAATCAATATTGAATTAAAAAAATAGTTGACAAATAAGTAATAAGGAATATTATATCAACAGTTTTACACTACATATATTTTAAGTGAAGCCTGGTGCTACAAGGTCCTCCAAGTTGATGTATGCTAAGAAGCCCCAACAATATCCTCGGCATTATAATGCTGCTCAGTCTGTCCTCCTCTTCACTTCTATTACCGTTGTTGGGTCGGACAGCATTTCAAATCCGTAATACATGATTTGTGGACGCTTGCCTTGTGGTAATCGGACATCATACTGCATCAGAATCGTAGCCAGTGCGGCCTTGAGCTCATTTGCTACCATGAACCTGCCAGGACACACCGATGGCCCAAGCCCAAAAGCGATAAAGTCGCTGTTGACAGAGACAAGTTGAGCAGCGTTGCTTGCTGAGCCCCCAGCCTTTCGAATATTGTAGAATCGGTATCCATCATATACCGCTGGGTCCTTGTAGATGTCCGCGTTCCACATGTTTGCCGTGTCCACGGCGACATTTGTGCCTTTAGGCAACAGGCTTCCATCTGGTAGAGTAACATCTTTGAGAGCCTTGCGTTCGAGATTGACCAGTGATCCGGGTTTCATCCTTTGCGATTCCTTGATGACGCTATCCATAAGCTGCATCTGAAACATGCCGGCAGTTGTCCAGCCATGCTGCGCAATTGCATCTTTGGCTTCGTTTCGCAGGGGATTTATAAGCTCGGGATGCAAACAGATATCTACCAAGGTCTGCTTCAGCAGTTCAGTAGTGGTGTGCATAGCCGCAATCGCAAAGGCGAGTTGAGTCGCAGCTGGATCGAATGGTCGACCGGCGGCAATTTCTTCGATATATGCGATGGTATCGTCGAACATTGGTGGAGGCTGTCCATCATTGATTGCTTCATTAATGGCTTCACGTCTTTTCATCAAAACTGGCTGTAACAGTTGGCGAGCGAGTGCCAATTGCTTTCGACAAGTCCGACATTCGGGGAGGAACCAGTGGATGAACATGCGCGTAAACCGAGGCCAGGTGCGCAAGGCTCGTACGCCATTGAACAGGTTGATCGTATAAGTAAGGATGAGATGCTGCCATTGCGCATCGCGTGCTAGCTCGGCTCCCACGAAGACTGCAGATGACATGCGCCCTATGTAGCGAGCGACATCTTGGCCCCATGGCACGGGCCGCCAGTTGCCGTCTTTGCTGGACCATTCGTCTTCGAGGAATTCGGAGATGTGTTGTTGAAAGACTTCAACTTCTACAAGTGGAAGTTAGCCTTGGAGATGAGATAGACATGGTGATGGACTTGCGCCAGTTCTGGTTGAGCTTGGTCTTCGTAACGTTGATCATCATCCGGCTGGGATCAACAACGACGCCATTCCCATCAAAGCCAGGATAGTGTGCAAAGTACTCATCGGCAACCAGTTGAACATGATCCAGGTCCTTGCAGTTCTTTACCCAGTCGGCGAATCTGGCTGGGAGGATGACTCTCGATCCGAGAGTGGTGATGACCCGAAATGGTCCGTTGTACTTGGCAACACCATCGCTGATGAGCTTTCTGCAGTTGGTGAGGAATTCGGCATGGGCCTTTTTCAGGAAAAAATCGCCACTGTACTTGTTGATGACGGGAATGGACGCTGATGTAGTCCAATGCAAGATTACAATTGCAAACAGGCCGAGAAATGCAGAGACAAAGATCAACGGCAGAGAAGGTCCAAAACCATCTAGTGAATCGGAGATAGCCAGAGCCATTTTCTGCCTAGCGTCGTGTTATTTTGGGGAACTGCTGAAAGTGGATTTAAAGGGTTGTAGTGACAATGTATTTATTTGAAGGGACACTGGGTTGTGTGGGGAAACAAATCACGGCCAAGGGGTAAAACTGTGACTCTTCGCCGAGCGGTAATGACGCATCCGGCCAAGGCAGCTTATTTTACTTTTAAGATATCAGTACCCTGCCAATGCTAATAAAAAAAAAGCTTTGTTATAGGTAGTCCTTAATTAGATGATAGTTTTATGGCTCTAGTTTTTTCTCAGAGTTTTCAAAACCTGCTTTACTATTCATGTCCCCTTGTTATTGAAGTGAAGGCTAAGGGTAAGGATTTATTTTTATATATCAGTCTTCTCCCATGCATTGAGACATTCTAGTCGTCACAAGACTCAGTCAAATCCGATCAAGTTCAACAATCTCCCGACCTGTACCATTTTTGTGCTCCTCCGGAATATATTCGGCATTGCGCTGGCCGTCGGGAACGCCAAGTATCTGAGCACCCTTGTCAACGTGGTTGGCGCCGCCAAAAAGAACGTCAATCTCCTCAAGTGGAATCTGCTTAGTCTCGGGGATGAAGAAGTAGACAAAGGTGGCGAGGAAGATGTTCGTAGCCATGAAGAAGTAAAGGCACTTGAGACCCTCGTTCTTCAGAAAGGTTGGGAAGAACTGCTGGAAAATGGTATTGGCGACATTCTGCATCTGCGAACACATTCCGATGGCCTGGGCGCGGACATTCATACTTGGAGTAATCATTAGCACTGGTTTATTTGACGGATGAAAGGTGCATGTCTCCTTACCTAAAAATCTCAGAGGTCCAGATCCAGGTCGTAGCGCCCCATGATGGCTTATAGAAGAAGATGAATAGGAAAAGCAGGAATACAATAGATATACCGACAGATTTGGACTTGGTGCCATCAATGTCAGGAGTGGTCTGTCCGATGACAGGGACGATCACTAGACACACGTTAGCATTATAGCAGCTGGAGGCGGGCTACTGGCAGCCAAGTCCGAGAATAGCCACTTACTCATGCAGAGGCCCATGCCGATAGCACCAACTATAAACAGCCAGCGACGACCAAACCGGTCAGCTGTCCATGTTGCATTGAGCGTGAACCTGTGAGAGAGGGTTAGACACTATATCCCTTTACCATTCCAGAAAACTGTTTATTGGAGACAAGCAGACGAAGGAGGTGCTTACAAGATTCCAAATGTGGCGTTAAGAGCGTTGATAAGGTTGATCGTTTGAGTTGATGTAAAGACCTTCTTATAGATGGCTGTGGAGTAGCTATTAAGTGTCCCTTGACCGGTAAGCTGCTGGCCAACATTGATGATGAACGCGAGGTATAGTCGTTTGCGCACTGAGGGATCCTTGAACAAAGCGGCATAGTTGTGGCTGATGGCTTCCTTTTCGTACTCGAGCGCTTCTCGGATCGCCATGACCTCGTCATCAACCTCTTGTTCCGTATCACGAATCTTGGAGAGGGCCGCCTTGGCAGCGTCGACATCACCGCGCTTTTGGATATGCCAACGTGGCGATTCGGGCTGAAAGGGCAGTAGGACCATGATGATTATAGGGACCATGATCTGGAAGATGACCACCATCTTCCAATCCCATTCGCCAAGAGCACTGCGGTGGAGGGAGCAGGCATAGTTGATCCAGTATGCGATAAAGGACCCAACAGAGTAGAAGAGCTGCCAAAAGGCCATGATAACGCCGCGGATTTGTGGCGGGGCCATCTCGCCTATATAGACGGGCCCAGCAGTCAGAGCCATGCCTTGGCCAATGCCAATAAGGACACGGCCGGCGATGAAACAACCGAGGTTGTGTCTTGGAGAAAAGGCCTGTATAAAGGTAGCGATGACGGTGAAGAGACAGCCAATAAACATGCCCCATCGTCTTCCCAAGTAATCGGCCTAGATACAGTACACAATTGTTAGTCAAGATAGTTCCCAAATGGCTGCGCGTCAATGCACTCACAGTGGGCCCGCCTAGGAAAAAGCCAGAAACGATGGCACCGATCGTATATGCCGTGTTGATCAAACCGATTCTATATGTGTCTTGATCCTATACAAAAAGTTATTTAGTCAGGCAACATAACGGCCAGCCAAGTCATTCGACTACTTACGGGATCGAGATCAAAGTAGGCCAGCCAATTGTTTGAGCCCTGGAGAGAGTTGAAGACCGAGGCATCGTAACCATAGAGGACCATGCACATCGCTGCCACCAGCGAAATGTACCTAGAGCTTGGAGTGAGCCAATCGGATACTGTTCGAACGATCGCAGGCGTCCTCACCAGTTATAAATTCTCTTTGAGGAGACCATCTTGGCGGCAGTGCGAACGCAGAAGCCTCTCCTTTGCTGTACCTATTTGACAAAGTCTTTAAGCACATGCAAAACAGAGTCTGCGACACTGGAGTACAGGCGTGGACGATTTGAGAGCGAACAAAGGACGGGCAGTTAAGATTATAAGATGTAGGAAAGATGAGACAAAAAGGCTTATGCGCCTACGGAGGAGCTAAATGTAAATCCAGGGTTAGACGATTGCACATGATCCATTGATCGAAGCCTACATGGATCAAGACTTTGCCAGCTCTAAACTCAATAATATCAGCTCAAATCGGTTGCAGATATTAATCCGCCAATGGATTCTAGCTTACCAGGTAATTGTTGAGGGACAGAAAGACTGACACCCGTAGTTTACTAGCGCCAGCCCACGGCTAAATCCCTTGCCAAGTCCTCGGGCCATGATACCCCGAAACGGCTTGGCGATGCAACTCGTTTCTTTGTGCTTCATAACGGCGTGTGCAACCTTTCATTCGACATGACCAGTTATTACTTGATCAACATCACTTGTAAACCAACTTTCCCCCAGTGCAGCTGTAATTCTTCAGCACTTTATATGAACTACATCTGTACATCTGCATTACTCCCCGCTTATAAGCACAGGCAAATCATATGGTCACACCCAACAGTACAATCTTCAAGTGCTCTGAAGCACTGTATATGTCGCAAGCTTAAAATATTTATCCATGAATAACTACTGGAGCAACACTGCTTCCCACATAGATCACCCACTGGCACCAGAAGTGCACGGCACTCCAAGAGTACTCGGCGTATTGGCACATTGAAATACGGCTGATCCTTTCGGCGGCGTGACAGTGATGTTGCTGAGAGTCAGACCACATGTCCCAGCAGCCGGGCAGTCGATGTTTGCGACATTTGGCGAGTAGTGAGTGCTCGTTGTGCCTGAAAAGTTTCTAACCACCACACCCGCTATCTGCGCCGTGCTGGGATTGGTCTCACAGTACGACGCGTCCTCGCCGTAGCAGCCTTGTACCTGGAAAGCGTAGTCGGTATTTTGCAAGACGAAATTCTCAAAGGTCACGTTGGACACGACCGCCGTGCCATGATCTGGTGGCCCTGGATATAGCTTGAGACCCGCCGCCTTGGCCGAGTTGATCATGGTTGCGCCGCTGACAAGGCAGTTTTGAACCGTGTCTTTGCTGTTTACGCCGCTGCCTAGGCTACCAACGGAGATGCCGTGGCTACCTGTGCAGGAGATGTTTGTGACGGTGGCAGAACTACAGCCTGGCTTAAGCGCGACACAATCGTCGTCGTTGGTGACAGTTGCGCCGTCAATGGTTACATGCGTCGACTGGCCAATGTCCCAGCCGTCAGTGTTGTGAGCGACATTGGCGCTGGAACTGACGGCGTACAGGGTAATGTTCGAGTAAGAGACGTTGCTGGAGCCACCAGTGACCGAGTGGAAGACGTTCGGGGCACTCTTGAAATAGAGATTCGATAACTTTACATTCTTCGAGGAGTTGATGTAGAAGAGCGTCGGTCGTTTGTACGATGAGTTAGCTGCAAACAGATCCCAGGCGGCCTGACCGTTTCCATCGACGATGCCAGTGCCTGTGGCAGAATACACAGTAGCCCCAGTGATGCCATCCATGAGAAATATGGCGCGGCGTCCTCCCCAGTAAGTGGTGTTGGAAGTCGCCTGGAGCGTGCCCTCGATCTGCAGAGTGCACCCAGAGCAGCCCGCGAAACTGAATGCCGTGTTGATGTAGTAGGTGGTGGATTTGGGGATGACGATAGTTCCTGCTGGACAACTGGCGATGGCGGACTGGATCGCCGGCGTATCATCGACGGAGCTGGAATGTCCAGCAACTGGAGTGCAGGTCGAGCCTCTCTTCACCACCAGGGTGGGAGGTTGCGATATCGTCGCTGTCGCACCATTGGCTGCTATAGCCGCAAACACGAGAGCAGCTGCTAGAATCATGATTTGATGCAGATGACAGTAGAGTTTCTGCTGATGATTCCTAAATGCCTAGGCACCTAAGTAGGTATTCATCATGTCATATTTTATAGGTGCTACATGATATGCTTGCAATTGGCACAATGTGCTTGAAACTTCGAGTATACGCTACCAAGGCCTTGGTGTAACACTAACTATTTGTTTGGGTTAATCTTTCTCTCAAACACGCAGCATTTATCCATAGCTTGATCTGTAGCGTTACATCCACCTCTGGGTATGACACACCTGGAGTGGCCTTTGAAAGCAGGCATGCTGTTCAAGGTTTTTCAAGATCCATCTCCGGTCGCTCATTCTTAGAACGTCTTTCGGCCCACGATTCCCGAGGCTGCATTAGCCCCGGTTTACCAACTCGGGAATTTGGGGTAATGCCAGGATGCCACGTGTATAATGTGGACGATGTATTCAGTAGCGCACCAATTATATCCCATAGACTACAGTATACTCATCTGTATTCCATCTCAATGGGAAAAATGCCAACCGAGTTGTAAAGAGGATGAAAGGCGTCACTTCACAAGACCCCCTGCATAGAGCCAAGCAATAGCAGGAAACTTATCCGTCTTCCTCAATCCTAGCCAGACGCACGACCCCAACGCCAGTTGATGTCTTTCCGTTGTACGCTGATTTGAAGCCTTTAGTCGGCACTGAAGCAGTCTTGGGGATAGACGGGAAGAAAGAAATAGTGCCGTCGGGATTTTCGCTCGACTTTTGAGCCTTTGTCAAAAGTTTGCGGTCATAATGATGAGTTCATCAACACTTCTCAATCGAGTCCGATTGTATCCATGAAAATGGTAATGATAGTCTATTGGCACTGTCGAGCTGCTACGTTTGGCTCACAAAAAACACGTCTAGAAATATTATTTCTCTCTTTCTGTTCTTTTCGTACAAATTATTGCTCATTGTAAAGATAACAATAATAGATATAAGATGAAACTCAGGGAAGCCCCGGGTTTTGAGGCTTTCTTTTCTCTCTTCGAAACGCGGCATAAGAATTATATCCTTGTTGTATGGAGCCAGCAATACCCTCCATGTTAAGTGTAATCACTAAAGTAATTAAAGAGACAATTATTGCTGTCAATATGAATGGCGTTCTTGTGCTTGCGTCGGTTATATCTGGGATTGCCCAGAGTGCCTGTTTGTTTGCGGTCAATATACTAGGCAGTAATTACAGATATAAATGGTAGGAAAAGGCAAAAATAGACATATAACAACTTACAGCGCAGAATCCTAGCGGGAGGTAGAAAATGCTAACATACGTAAGAAGCATAACGTTTTGACCCAGTTTGGTTGAGACTCTTGTCTCGTGGATTGTAATCCACGCGAATTCCTGTATTTTAATAAACACAGATGATCCGATTGTAATATTAACTATTTCACTCACAATATTCAAGAGGTCTCTAACTGTTTGGTCCAAATCTGCAATCCTTTCGGTTATGTCAAGCTCAATATCGTTCTTGAGAAGCTCAAGTAGGCTTTTGGGAATATGATTTGCGTTATAGTTCGAACAGTAGCGTCTTATGAATGTCTCAGCTGCAGAAGTCTGACCAACTAGATCAGTACGAAGGTTGCCTAGATTTTGGGCATATTTTGCCAGGAAGTCTATCATCTCTGGGTTCTTTCCCTTGTATTCCATCTGATCTAGACGCTACATGGCTTTTTGTTAATTTCGTTCCAAAATGATATGCATAAGTGTGTAATTAAGAAAGATTTACCCTTTTGGCCAAGTGGTTGTCAAGCGTCTGGCATAGTTTCAGCCATTGTGATTGAATTTGGTCGAGGAATTGACGAAAAATATCGACAGCATCTTCTGGAATCGAGCCACCTGGAAGTGTACTAATGCATACCACTATGTTCCACGGTTTGCTCGGATTTCTCGGTCGCATACTTCGCCATATTATTCTACTCACTTTATTATCACCCATGGCACCCATGGCGCCCAAGGGTTGATCATACAAGTAACTGTTGATAGATAGCTGCAGAGAAATGGAGAAATCCAAGCTATTACCATTGACCATTGGGGGCGTTATTTGCAGCTTATTAGGCTCCAGTCGGGTCTGAGAAAATACGTCAAATGGAATTATTGACCAAACTGAGCTATTCAAATCATCTGATACCAAGCTGGGAAGCATTAGTGATCTACTGGAGAGATGTACTGGGTTGAAGTGGATACTTACTACAGATGGCTCTTTATTTTAGCAGACATTTGCAATTGTGCGTCGCCCGTCAAGATTGTCGTGGGAAAATTGACATAATGCTCACCGTCAAGTCCTCTGGACAATAGAATCATGTCTTCACTCTGCTTTTTAAATGCTTTGCGCCACTCTTCGGCTGTGATGCCCTCTGGGTTAGCCTTGAACGCCAGTAATCCTTGAATGACATCCCCGTGTCTGCGTTGCATGGATAGCTGGAGTGGCGTCTTTTCTTTATCATCTTTGGAGTTGACGTCAACTCCTTGTAACATCAGAGCTCTTGCAATGTCCTGATGTCCCAATGACACGGCGAGATGCAAGGCAGTTTGGCCGTAATCGTCTTTCTCCTCTAGGCTGAGTGGTTTGTAGCACAATATAAAGTCTATCGCCCTCTTGTTCCCCTCTCTTGTTAAAAGGAGCAACGTTGCAGTGTCATGGGGTACGAGTTGCTCCGCAATTCCCTTGTGCTCGTTTTCTGCAGCCCACGCGAGCGGTGTTCGACCATCGCTATCCTTGAAATTACAGTCAGCGCAGTAATGTAGTAACATCGCCACGACTTCCTCGTGCCCTTTCTCTGCAGCCCGTGAGAGCGGCGTTCGACCTTCGCTGTCCATTGAGTTTACGTCAATGTCGTCTCTTTCCAATAAATATTTCAAAGCTTCGAAATAGGCGTTTTCGGAGTACCGCGTTAATGGAGTTCGGCTAGGATATTCATTACATTCCCTAGCTAGCTCATGATTCATCACATCATGCCACCGCATCTCTGCAGCCTGATTGATGAGGTAACCACTGCGAAACTCAGTTGCTTTCAGATCAAGATCATCGCTGGTGATTAGCAGCTCAGTTATGAATTCATGCTCATTTTGTAAAGCCAAGAACAGTGGTGTTTTATCATCGCTGGTTTTAGCATTGACATTGATGCCATCCGCCTCGAGGAGCCACTTCACCATATCTCTATGGTCATTTTCTGCAGCTATATGTAGTAGCGTTTTACTACCATCGATTTCAGAGTTAATACCACTTTCAATCCTGGTAAGGAGTAACTGAGTTATTTTTGTGTAGCCTTTCTTCGCAGCAACGGATAGTAGAGATGTTATAATGCAACCTTTCGCCCCATTATTCTCAAGGAGTAGCCTGACTGTTTCTGCATGACCATTGCTCACAGCCATATGCAATGGTGTTTCCTTAGAGTTGTTTTCAGCATTGATATCAATATCATTCCTCGCAAGCAGCAGCTTTACCATTTCTCTGTGGCCTTTGTATGCGGCCTTATGCAATGGTGTGTTTCCCAAGCTGTCTTTAATATTAACCATAATGTCATTCCTCGCAAGCAGCAGCTTTGCGGTTTCCGTACAATCCTTCCTTGAAGCTAAGTGCAATGGTGTGTAATACAGCGAAGGGCTGATTGTGGCATTGAAGTCGACTTCATCCTTTGAAAGCAGCCACTTCACTGTCTTCGTGTCGTCTTTCTTTGTAGCGTGATACAATGCTCCCTGGCCGTTTATCCTACCGGCTCTGTCACTTGCATACAGCATCTCAGCCAAATCATCACGGCCCAAATCTAAAGCCGCACTAAATGCCGATCCGCCTGTAGAATATGCATGTATATCGATATCCTGTCTCTCAAGGAGCACTCGTACCACGTCTTCACGACAGGCCTGTACGGCTAGATACAGCGCAGTGTTGCCACTGTCGTCTGTCCCATTGATTTCGATATTATATCCTCCAAGCAACAGCTTCACAATTTCTTTGTGGCCACTTGCCGCAGCTCTGTGAAACATCATCTGAGCTTGTTCATGTTGTAAGTCATAACTATAAGTTTGGATCAGATGTTTCAAGAGAGAGACATGTCCGCCTGCAGCAGCAGACAATACTGTCTCAGAAACTGCTTCTCGGAATTCGGAGTTGAAAAAGTTTTTATCGTTGAGTAGAAGCTCTACTATCTCCTTATAACCATTCTCGGCAGCGCAATCGAGCGGAGTTTTGCCTTCCGGATTTCGTATGCTTGGTCTGGCATCCTTTGCAAGCAGTAGCTTTACAAGGTCCGTATGCCCCTTTCTCGCTGCTATTGACAAGAGGGTATTCCCATCTTGGTCTTTATAGTAATCGATGTCTTCATCTTCTGTAAGTTCTTGGAAAACCCTGAGATTTCCATCGGATGCTGCTTGCAGGAGATCAGATCTTTGGTCCATGATAGTCTTGCTGCTTTTGAAAGGCCAGATGATTTGAAAGGCGTTTGATAAATAGACGGTTACAGGTCCAGATATATAATCTAATGAAAAGTCGCCGACGAAGAGAGAAAAGAACCCAAGTTAATACTCTGCTGCGATATGGGCAGAAATTTCTATGATGCATGCAAGGTGTTACTCGAAGTGGGGATAATGTCGTGGCCAGATCGCATTGGCTTATGCAAACACCTACATACATAGTGGATAAGGATATATATAGGTACATAGGTAGTAGTAACAACAGCCCTCAGAGCCAAGATTAAGACTTATATGGACTAGCAAACAACTCTTACAGAGCAACATGTACTCATTTGCTGAACTCTATCGCTGCTCCATCGATGTAGGCAGCCCCTGCTTGCTGAGGAGGATTTCATCTCGACGAAAAAAAATTCTCAAATCGCTTGAATTGATCATTCTGTCCCAAAATCAGAAACTACAATCACTCTAGTTGTGGCTTGGCATGCACAATCTTCATTGAAGCCTCCCGCAGCTATGCTTGCATCTCTGAGAACCTGCAATCCTGTAGCGTAGATTCTCACCCTTCCTTGATGACGTTGGCTTACAATGGCAAGCTACATGTACTATTTGCTCAAGTTCAGTTCGCTCTAGATAGTACATGTTCACAGTGAAATCACCGCCAGTGATACGCGGACCCGATGGTGCTGTGGCTTTTTGCCTTTATTAGAGGATCGTTAATGTAGCTGTCATGGGACAGGCCAATCCAACCATGAAGAGTGCAGTGGCTGATTTGAAGCAGGTGGCTGGAAACGGGATTTGGTCAGAATCGTGTGAAAAGCGAAAAAAAAAAAAAAAAACACATATATAATAGAGCCTGAAGGCAATAAGAAAAGAGCTGTTCCATGTAGAATTACGAAGCATTAAACATTAGATCGTGACTCGAATTAAATGGATCCATAGATGATGTCATAAAGGAAATCAAGTATATGACTACATGCAGTACCTATGGAGTGGTCAGGGAAATAGCACCTCACTAAATACAGCGCCATAGCGCCTGAAAGACCGCTGAGTCGCGATACATGTAGTGAGGCGAGGATGGGTGGCATAAGCCGGCCACTGGAAGAACTCCGGTCGTCACCCGCGAAATCCGTGAAATTCATCAACAAACCACTCCATCAGCCACGTTCATCTAACTCAACCATCTCATCATGTCCGAACGCATCAAACGCCGCAAATTGAACCTCGAAGCACAACCACCCCCAAATTCCAACCTAGAAAACACTCCAAAAATAGAACATTTCCCGGAAAAAATACTCTTTCAAATCATCGCCAATATTCCCGGTCTTGATACCCTGTGGAACCTTCTGACTGCATCACCTCGCTGTCTTCGCCTCTTCAACAACCAAGCGCTCAACATCATCGAACAAATCTTTGCGAGCCCTAATTCCATCCTACCGCCGAAAATCCAGGACATTGTCCGTGCTGTAATTCTCACAAGAGCGGGTTCTCTTCCGTTCAAGAGCCGCAATGAGTTGCGTTACCAATTTATACACCACAAGCTGCCTCTTCGAATAGTAAAAGACAAAACATGCTTGAATTTTGGTCCCGATCGTTTGACCGCTTCTGATATACCGGCCTCAATTCTTCGTTCCGTCGTTGCAACGGCTCACCACATTTCCGCTCTAACACACGCATGTCTATCGTTCTACCTCGCACAAGTCTACAACCCGAGTGTATTTGCACCTCAACATGCTCAAACTCCCCTACCTCTCTACAAGGTTAGAGGTTCAAACCCTCCCGCGGGCGATAAAACACCTGCTTGGCACCAAGTTTTCGTTGGAACGCCCTACACGGTAGTTGACGCGGGACCAGCTAGTTGGGTGGAAGAGATGCGTGTTACGCGCGCCATGTGGCTCATTCAGTTGGTGGGAGACGTGCGGTCTTTTGTGTTTAACAATTTCAGTACATCAGGCTGGTCGTACGATGACATCAACACGACGTTCCCGACATCAACAGACGGCCTTGCTCAGGATGGAACCATGAACAGCGCTGCCGAAGAGATACGATCTGTATTGGCATATCTGGAAAAGCTCGGCATCCAAACAAAAGGCACACCATTCTACAAACTACCCAAACTCCCTGCAGATGCAATATCCGTCAACCCAGTAACTCCTCTTCCAGATCCATGCGAAGCAATGTGGGGAGGCTTCGGCATCTGGTACAACCACGGCCACAAAACCATCAAACTGCCCCCCACGCCCGAAGCCCGAAAACGAGCCAAAAGCCCCAAACTCAGCGAATCTTCTCTACGCGGCCAAACGAGAGCCAGTCTCGAAATTGAAGCTCCCGCACTCACCATGCTCCGACACTTCACAGAGGGGAGATACGGGCTACCTATAACAAATGCAAGGTTCGACGCGTATCGGCCGTTTGGACTGGCGTTTTGGGATAAACGGAGATTGCATCTATTGGGTCTCTTGGGGGAGGGGCAGCAGAGTGAGCGGGACCTTGATTTTTATTGTTTTGCGTGGGAGAGCCTGATGGAGGCTAGTTGGGTGAGGCATATCATGAGTGTGTTGAGGGACGGAGTTGAGCTGGAGAATGAGAGCGAAGGTGGTGTATCTGGTGTTGGGTCTGATGATGAAGAGTAAGTGTACTCAGGACACAGGGCATTCAATGGAGATCTACAGTGCTATGAAGTCACGGCTATTTAAAGAAACTCACGCTCTTGCTCTGTCACACACCTCCATACATGCATCATACATTATGCGACACCTGTACCTCCACCAACCAATCCATCCCCCAACTCACAAGCACACACAATAATTCACTCATTCCCTCATTTGACGAATTATGCCAAAAATATCCCACAAACACAAAAGACAAACCTCCCATCAGAGTAGTTACATGACACGTGTCGCAACAGTGCGTAATAGACTCGGCTTGAACCAGGTGGCAGTAGGTGGCAGTAGGTGGCAGCAACCCGCCTAGTTTCATCGTCCGTCCCGATTAGATGCTGGAGTTTGTTCATATCTTCAAACTAAATCTTTGGCAGGGTCGGCAACCACATGATGTAGGGCTTGTATCGCTGGATGAATACTCATTCGTTAAACATATCGCCGTTCCATCGATGCAGACAGCCGTTGCTTGCTAAGGAGGATTTCTTCTCAACTGAATCATTCTAAAGTCGCACAGGTTCGCCATTCTGTCCCAGAATCAAAGAGCACACTGACCCTAGCTGTGGAATAAGACAAAGAAGCCTCCCGCAGCTCTACTTGTGTATTTGAGAGCTCGGGTTCCAGTTCTGCAGTGTAGATATTTTTCACTTTTTCGTGACAACGTCGTTAGTTGCCTCTATAGTGAGCTCCTCTTTAGTCAGTTTCTAAATGTCAGGCTGAATGCACCACCCAACCCTGATTGTGTTTCTGGCCATTTGCCGCTATTGGAGAGCTTCCCTGCTATAGCTGTCTACGGGACGCGCTACGTATTCCAATCATGAGGAACGCAGTATCAGCAGATTCGAAGCGGCTGACTAGAGTAGAGTTTTGCCAGATAGAAGCACAAAGAGCAAAAAGAGAGAGAAAAAAACGAGTCCGACTGGCAAAAATAGACTTCAGTCAAGATGTAACTTGAAGCAGCAGAAATCAGTTTGCGACTTGTATTAGACCATGGATGGGAGATGAGATGCTCAGGGGAGTTAGCACCGCTGTATACCAATTGATTCAGGACCCGGGCAGCAATCATGTCAATATCGGATTAACTTCGTTCTACCGCAATATACTGGTGTAACCTGTCACGATGTACTGCCGTCTCGGTTTACGAATTTGATGTCATTTTGTCACTCCTTCTATCCCATCCTCGCAGGTATCAGACTGCAGCCCCCACGCTTTTGCCATCTCTCGCCAGATCCACCGCACTTCTGTCCCTTATGAGACCGTGAAGCTTCCCGTCAACCGCAGATCTCTGCTGCTCGCTCCAACGCTCACGCCAAAGGTCCCCGACGGCACCACCCACTGCTGCGACGCCACGTTCCAGTAGGTCAGATCTCGCTTGCGAATGTTGAACGTCGCGGTTCCGCTCTGGCCAGCCGTCAAGCTGAGCTTGTCGAAGCCACGGAGCTGCCTGACGGGGGTTCTGGGCGCAGAGGACGGGTAGGTGACGTACAGCTGGGCAACCTCGGCACCAGTCACGGCTCCAGTGTTCTTGATGCTCACGGTGACGGTGGCGACGTCCTGGAAAAGATCGCTGGGGCCGCCGGGAATCACAGCGCCGGTGGCTGGTCCAGACTTGGCGTTGGAGGTGATGGAAAGGCCGGAGTAGGTGAAGTTTGTGTAAGCTGCGGTATTTGTCAGTCACTTTCTTCTAACAGCTATGTCGTGTTACGCAGCTCTTCAGCTGCTCTTCTCCATCGGGTCAAAACTTACATAGTCCAAAGCCGAACTCATATCGCGGCGTGATGCCGGCGTCGTCAAAGTGCTTGTAGTCGATAAACAGCCCCTCGCTGAAGTTGTCATCGCCCGACGAAATGCGCGTGTTATAGTCGCTTGGGCTCTTTGCAATCGTATACACCAGCTTGCCAGACGGGCTGACGGCTCCCCACAAGATATCGACCAGCGCATTGCCGTTCTCCTGAGAGGGAAGACCCGCCCAGACAATGGCCTTTACCTGAGAGAGAGCGACAATCTGCTCCAGGTTGATGGCGCCGACAGAGTGGACAACGACGATGACATTGCTGTTGACTGCTGCCACGGCCTGGACCAGAGCAGTGCCGCTGTGCCACGCGTTCAGATCGTTTCGGTCGCCTGCGTTGCCCTCAACAGTGATGTAGCCCTCGCCTGAGTCTGCGGTGATGACAACAATGGCAACGTCCTTGCCGCTTGCTGCAGATGCGCCAGCCGAGGTGTTGTCAGTGTTGCTCAGAGTCAGTCTGGCGCCAATCGAAGAGGCCTTCGTGTTGATGGCGTCGTAAGGCGCCACAAAGTATGGGTAGTTGGCGCTACCAGATCCCCATCCCATTCCCAGGGCACCAAGGTTGCAGCCATGGTCAGAGCAGGAAGCTGAGTTGTTTGCGTGGGCGCCGACAATGGTGGCTGATCCAATGAGGGCGATGCTCGATGGCGTTTTCAGTGGCAGAATGTTACCGGTGTTCTTGAGAAGCACGATGCCATCTCTGGCAATGGATCGTACGTTGGTGTTATGGCTTCCCTGGACATTCCTGCTGAAGCTGACTGATGGAAAGCCGGAATCTTGGCCCGTCAAGTACCACGCAGCAAGGATACGCGTCACCATGTCGTTGAGTCTGCTCACAGGGACCTGGTTACTGTTCACGGCATTGGTCAGAGCCGATCCCCAGTACACGCTGCCGCCGTTGAAGTCAGTACCAGGCATGGACATATCGAGACCTGCCAGCGCACTCTGCACGGTCGAGTGCTGCGCGTTCCAGTCAGTCATGACGTATCCAGGGAATCCTAGCTGGTTCTTCAGCAGTGTCTGCAGCGTATACGTGTCCTCGCACGCATAGGTGCTGTTGACTCGGTTATACGAGCACATGACGGCAGCCACGTTGGCGTTTACGGCGTCGGCAAAGGGCCACGCATAAAGCTCGTGAAGGGTGCGATCATCAGCGTTACTGGACATGCTCTCCCGGTTCAGCTCTTGCTCATTAAGGATGTAGTGCTTGGCTGTTGCTTGCACTCCGGCGCCCTGAATGCCCTCAATGGTTGCAGCCATCGCCAGCCCAGTGAGATATGGATCGGGACTGAAGCCCTCCCAGTTGCGGCCGCCCTGTGGCGTCTTCCCTAGCGGTCCAGCCACCGGCCCCAAAGTAACATGAACGCCCGCGGCTTTATTCTCCTGGCCAATGAACTGGCCGCGCTGGTTGATTAAATCTAGGTCCCATGTTGAGGCGGCTTGGACGCCTGGCGTGAAAGCAGTGTTGCCCGTTGAGAACCGGATACCCAGTGGTGAATCCTGGAGACACAGCTGAGGATAGCTGATGCTTGACGCTGGAGATGTATTTCCGACGCAAGGTCCCCTGTTCCAGCCAACGCCAGTCACGATGCCGACTTTGTCCTGGAGCGAGAGCTTGGCCAATGCCGTCTGAGCTTTGGAATATGCGGTGGCCCAAGGAGAGCCTGCTGGAGGAGTGACTGCGTCTGCACATATACTTTAGCATCATGCCATACTTAACCCAGGATGTCTCAGCTATTAATCACAGCATGTCTCAGCCTCTGGGTGTACTCACTCCCTGCCCTTACAAAGGGCGTTGTGGCAATGGCCAACGCCGCTACGGCTGTGTAAAGCATTGTTCCGCGGGATCAAACACAATGAGACGAAGAAAGATGCACATATGCTCCCAAGGCGAATACCGGAAAGCCACCTCCCTCCCTCCTATTTATATGATTTCCATCCCGGCCTTGCCAAGTTTTCCGCTCTCATTCTGCCTCATTAGCTTTTAGTCGAGGCGTCAACGGCCCGGATACGTTACAGGGACGATCACCGGCTCGGCAACATTGCGGAGAAACCTAGTCGTTCCAATACCACCCACACTTATATGCCTGTATAGAGTACCGGCAAATTGCCATAGTCAGGACTTTGACGGCGCAAGCGGTCTACAAGATAGAGGCAATTTGCCAACGGTCGGCACACAAAAATACTCCTCACGCACATAATATTCGCGCTATTGTTCTGGCAGCTGTGCTCATACTACCCTAATGTAGGTGTATATTCATTTTGCGGGCCCTATTTTTTTCGCAGACCGCTTGCGGGGCATCGCGGCGCTGATGCGTTACTGCAAACAGAAGATGCTGTATTCGGAGTCGTCGCAAAGGAAGGTTACATTTCGCCTTGAATAGCGAAAGGCCGATGATAGCGATGATTATTAAATGAGAACATCCAGGTCCAAAGCCAATACACGAATATTTGCTCTGCAAGCTTAAGTGAGTGCCGCGATTAGGTATTCTCCACCGCCCAGCCTTAGTGGGTCAGAGGCTTGATGAAGGCTTATTTTGCTTCTAGCTGGCTTCTGCTTCTAGCTGGCTAAACTAACGGCTGTGGCCTCGGAGCTTCTTGGTCAGACGCTTATCTCAATGTCGTCGGCTGCGGAGTGTGGTTGATCAGGGTCATCAGCGACTTATTGCAACCAAGCTTTTGCCAACGAGACAACTGCCGGACGGCTTCTTGACCAACAATTTTGCACGAAAAGCCAAGAGAAGAACAACAGCCAAGGGACATGGCGCGATTCTGGTGATGCTTCAAGAGGCAAGTGTTCGTTCGGCATCAGCCGCTACTACCAAAGAAGAAGGTCACCTGGATTTCGTGCTCTCTGAATGCAACTCTAATTGTCAAGAAAATGTCAACAAGAATTGAGCTAATGAGCTTGGCCTCGAGTTTTTCCAGAGAGCAGCCGTCAAACCGCGCATGATCGTCACCTTGACACGACTTGGCTGCCCGGATTGGCCAATGGCTGCCAATGATGCGATTGCCAAGTTATGAATAGGATTGCATGTGATTTATGGTTAATTGATGCTGATGGCGGATTCTGAAATAGCATGAATGACAGTCTATTAGCAAATACGCCGCTCTATCAGCATAAATGGCTGCGCATTAGCATGAATGCATCGTGGTAGCGCTCTGTCGATCCGCTTAAATG